TTTGTCTTGTGACCACGAGGAAGAATATATCCATTATTTCTAGTTATTTTTTATTTTCAAATGAAAACAGTTTTTCAGTTAGATATGATCACATTAAAAAATCGAATGGTCTAAAACATATGTTGTCTCGATTTCATTTGAATTTTTCTGTTCTGTTCGTTCTCGTGTGTGTGTTTTTTTACTTGAAATTGAACAATAAAAATAAAAATGAAAATTGAGAACAAAGTGTTTTGCAAAACTCTTTTTTTATTGTGTGCTTGAACTTTTCTGAAATAATTAGATGTATGTGAAGATTTTTTTAGACATATCGTTGCAGGGCTGAAAAACTATAAACTGAAAAATTATATCCAGACATGTCGTTTTGCAAAAACTGGTCTTCCTGTGACTTGGGCCTGATTGAAGTATGAACGAATTGTGTAGGCTTTTTAGCTTTTAGGGCTTTTGTATTCTATTTTTCCCTGCGGTTTCCCATGTGCTTTTCCGATTTTTTTCTGAAATTTGAAGACTGTCCGATTCAATATAATATTTTCCTATCGTTGCAAAATAGATAGCCAAAAAAACGTTTTTTTTTTCTGATGACACACCCACAACCTCTCAATCTCACATTTTTATGTATTTCTATTCCTCCCATAATCCATTTGTGTGTGTGTGGGTATGTCTGGAACAAGAATCAAAAATCCCTTGCCTTCCTTTTCCTTTCGTCCTTCATTCACTCATAGATAGATGCTAGCAGAAATTCAGATTCCCTCCAATAAATAATTAAATCATATTTGCTCTTCTCATTTCTTTTTTGAATATCATTGTTTGCGTTAGTTGAATACGTCAGATTTTAATGGTATTTGGCAAAAAAAAATTCTGGAACTATGTGTATTCTTTATTTGATTCACTTTAGTTTTTGTATTTGTATGTTTATGCATTTTGTGTACAACTTTTGTAAATTTCAGAGTTTCTGGGATTTTTTTTGAGAATTGCATCCACTGGTTCTAAAATTCTGGGAAGATTTTCAGTAGTAGATCAGAAACTCTTTTTTTATTATATGAATTTCGGTCTCTGATAATCGTGCAATTAAAGTCTGAAAATCACATTTAATTTTATGTATTTTTTTCAAACGTATTCGCAGAAAAGTTCCAGTCTATAATTTTCATTTTATTTCATTTTGAAACTTTGATTTGTGTATGATAAATCTTGATCTGTCACTAATTCTAACTGTTCACGGAAATTCTGAATATCAAGATTTTTTTAAACCTTCCAACAAACCCCTTCATTTTTCTTCATTAAGCATAGTTTAAAAGCCGAACACTTTTCGTATAAATTGATTTCAAGAGATGAGTGCAGTAAAACATTGAATTATCTCTGTAAAACTACATGTGAGATATAATTATTTCCATACCCACACACTCCAAAAAATGTTCATTAGTTTTAAATTTAGCTCTCTCTTTCGCTCTCACTTTCTGAAATAACGGAGCAAAATCTGAATGAAGCTCAAAAATGGTGGCGGAAGATATGTACATATGTGTATGTATGAATAATGAGAAACGGAATGAAGTAATAAATAAGAAGGCATGAACATGCCAACAAATATATCTATTTATAAACAACCTTTCCCCATTTTTTTCCAACCAAAAACCTCATTACAAAATGTTTCAAATTTTCCAAGCAACCAAGTCAGGCAGTCAACCAATCATTTCGTGTATGTAGCTGTGAATAAATTGCAACAAAAACAAAATAAGATGAAGAAGAATTATCATCATCCTTTTGTTTCTTTCTTATTTTGTGCTTTTTCTTCACTTTTTTCTTGCTCTTTCCTTTTTTCACACACATCTTGTTTTTGCATACATATATACACCATACGCACACACACCGCCGCCATTTTTTCTGACAAACCAATGATAATCGATCATGCGAACATCCTTTTTTGGTGGTAGTGTTTTTTCATAAAATCTTATTTGTAGCTGGTGAAGGAAGGCGTCAGTCAGCTGAATGTACTTGCATTTTTCTCGTCTCGTGTTTTTGTGATCTTTCATTTGATTTCGTGTACACTTCTCATTTGTCAATTGTGACCTCATTTCACTTTACCATACGATTTTCAGGAACCATGTGAGCAAATTTTGAAGTTCAGGATTATAGTTTGGGATGATTTTTCAGATATTGCGAGACGTCAAAAATGAAACATCTTCTGTCATGAAAATGAATATTTCTGTGAAGTTAGGATAACTTGAACGAAGCGAGAAAACATAGTTTTGAATAATTCTGAAAAAAACTTAAAATTGAATTTGAATTTGAGAGTTTTTGAAATTGTTTCTGTAGATAAGCATTTTAAATTTCAGAATAAATTTAAATGTAGGTTCTTCTGATAGAATAAAAGTCAGTTATTGAGATTTTACATGAACCAATAAACAATTAAAAAAAATATTTTTTCCAATTATGGAGCTCGTTTATCCTGTTAATTCCAAACACTGAAATTGTCCTAACGTTTTTTTGTTGATATCCCAAAATTCCTAATTTCATCGGAACAAGTTCAGCCACCCATTAATACCAGAATTAGAAGGTACCGCAAACTCTTCTAATCCCTCCGAAAATTCCTGATCATTCATCACATTTTGGATGTTTCATGTTTCAAATTTGCAAAAAACTTGGGACAAGAATGCAAAACCATAGGTTTACACATTTATTTCGATTACAACACAATGGTGATACTAAAAATAACAACAAAACTACAATGTGACGAGAACAAACCTTAAGCCTTTTTGACTTTTTTTCAAAATAGGTTTAGTTTCCTTCCAGTTTTTATACTTATTTTCCTTTTTCTCTTATTCACATATGTATCTCTGTTGATAAACTAAAAAGTAGAACTACGAAAAAAAAGTCTAAAACAGGTCTCACATTAAATCGAGGAGGTATGTATTCTCGTATATTACAACACAACATTTATAGTTCTATTGTTTTAGGTATGCCATTTTCATCATCTTTATTTTATGATGTTAATAAGATACTGTGTTTTTCCTTTATTTTCTCTATATTCTTTGTAGAAAAAGGAATTTGTTGAGTAATTCTTCAAAACATCTTATTTTATTTTCAGTTTTTTCCTTGTTTCTTAAAATGTGATGAAAGCAAAAGAAGAAAAAACATTCCTCGAATGATTTTCGACAAATTCAATACAATCAAATTTTGTTTCAAGAGGCGGAAAACGTAGTGATCGGTTCAGTTCAGCTCTTTTTTCCCTCCCACTTTTTTTTCATTGCTTGCTTGAAAAAGGCACTCGACGTTGTCTCTGATTGACTATCCGCGTCCGTTTATTAGCCTTCTTCATGACTTTTCGTTTTTTTTTCGTTAGGAGATGAGAAGAGAATTTCGTTTCATGTTATTTCATTGTCTCTTTTACTACATTTTACTCGAAGTTTTCGTCTAACTTTTTCTTGTTTTTTCAATACCCTCATTGCACTCACTGATTAAAAAATTTTTCCACCTGTGAGACATTTTTTTCAATTATGAAAAAATTCACCTAACTTTCTTATACAATTATAATAATTCACTTACTTACCGAAAAGTGTTCGGGTTTGAAAAATGTATTGATGAGGTCACCTCCATAACCAGTTTTTTGCGTCTGAGGTTAAATTTTTTAAATTAAAAACAAGAAACGCGAGTTTCAAATTTGCTTCTTCTCATCATCATTTTCGATCTCTTATTTTTTGTGTTACTTTTTTCTTATCTTGTTTCCTTATTCAAATCTCTCCATTTTGCCCTTCTTTTCTGCTATTCTATGTATTTTATTTTTGACGTACTAAAATTGAATTGATCTCAAATCTCAAATAGTACAGACTTTCTTTATTGTTTTTCTCGATGCTTCTCTTTTTCTTTGCTTCGTTTTTATATTTTTTAGATGTGATGTAGATGAAACAAAAACAAAAATAAATAATTTGATTTCCTGTTTCTAATGAAGTTCATTTTACTCAAAAAATTGCATATTTTTGAAAAAAAGAATGCAAAGTTACTTTCTTTTCTAATCAAGCCTCATATTTTATTCTGTTTGTGTTCTTATAATCGAAAAAAAAACTCCTGTTTGTTATTTTTTTATCTAACCTCATTTTTTTCAGATAAGGTGTCGCCCACATTATGAACTTTTCCTAAACATTCCAGATACTCATTCAGTTGTCTTCAGTCAGGTGAGCTTTCTTGATTGGAAAATTGTATAATATTTTATTCCTGATTCATATTAACCAAAATATAAGAGCAGGTGATACATATAACATGATTTTTCACACTTAAACCCAAGCGTGTTCTCTTTAAGTGCACTCATTTAAAATTGGCATTTGTTTCAAGATCTCAGATCTCAAATCTCAAACCCATTGTGACGTTGTATTTACATAAACTCAAAATTGGATACATTCTGGGAAATCGAGAAAAATGGCTTTTCCAATACATAGCACAGCCAAAAAAAACAAGATAGAGAAAAAAATATAGGTGTCATCCATTCTAGAATCACTTGACTCGACCACTTCAACTTCAATTTTATATGATTCCTCCTTTTTTGCATTTTGAAAGAACAAGAAGTTCGGAGCAATGAGTTCCCCCCTCCAAAAAAATTTAGTTTAGTTTTCAGTCCTTCTTCAAGTTCTCGAGTGCTCCCTAATTCTTTTGTTTTATATAAATAAAATAAAATAATGTTTTGTTTTATTCGAATGAGAAAAAAAAACAGAAAAAACACACATTTTTTTGTTTCTGGCGCACATCAGGATGTGAAATGAAATGATTTGTGAATTTTTCATAGGCTTTTCCCCATTCATTTTTGCAGTTTAACACGTTTCATTTTCAATAAAAAGTTCAAAGTTTTCCAGTTTTCTCAAATCGCTAGAGGTCAAACTTTTCAAAAACTTTTTCTGGTAGATCAAATATATTTTTCTCTAATTCTCCCATTTTTTTGGGTGGTAAATCACACTGTGTATTTTTCAGCTCTTCCAAATATATCAAACCACATCACTTTTTGTTTTCCAATATAAATTATGGCGCTTTCACATCAATTGTGTCATATACTGCGAAATGAGACAAATTATAGTCTTATCGACTTTGATTCTCTGCTTGAACTTGAAAAATTGAAAAATGAATCAACAACGGCAAGCATTAACAGGGTGAGTATTTTTCAATAATATCAAATTTTTCAAATTGTATTGATTTTTTCCAGATCACCTATGCTTACATCGCACCATTCATCATAATGGTGGGAATAATTGGTGACATTTTAACAGTGGTCACTTTAACTCACCCTCTTTTAAGAAAAGCTTCAATTATTTATACCTATTTGACACTGCTAGCTATGACTGATTTGGTGAGAAAGAAAAATCGGAATTTTTGAAAATTCAAAATCACGATTTCAGCTAACTCAATTATCGGTTCTTCCAATGATACTGTGGTTGCTGAATGTTCGAGTGTGCTCAAAAGCATCGGCCTTTTACTATGCACATATTGGATTCCCATTGGTATGAGATCCATTGTTTTTTCCTTTCTTTTGATTTTTTCATCTAATATTCTTACAGGCAAATGCTTTAATGGGTGCTTCGGTTTGGATTGTGGTATTTCTGACATTATCTCAATATATGGCAGTATGTAAGCCGTTTGCATATGGTTTACGTTCTCGGAAAATATGCTTCATACTTTTTGCATTGGCCTATGTGTTCAATTTTTTGATCTACGCTCCATGGGCAGCCAAGAAACATGTTACAGATATGAGTGAATTTGTGCCAGTGGTAAATCCCTAATTTTAAAATTATGAAGATTAATTTTCCTCTAATTTCAGAGACTTCATAATGACATTTGTCCGTATGTTGTTTGTGATCTTGCTGTTGAACCCTTTTGGTTTTCCTATTATGTTATACCACGAGAACTTCTTTCAAGAGTTTTTCCATTTTTGATTGTGGCATTTTTGAACACCAGAATATTGATCACATATAGGTAATAAGATAACATAAGCTACAGTAACCAGACACTTTTTATTTAGAAAAACAAAACGTGATAGAATGGAACGATTGGCCAACTCACAAAAACGATTTATGTATGAGAAAAGCGAGAAAGAAGAAAAACGACTATTCATGTTATTATTCGGAATTGTGATAATATTTTTTGTTTGCACAATTCCCGCGGCACCATTGACATATTTAGTCGAAGACTCGAAAAGTTTCATTGTTTCGTTCCAGGTATTTTTTTGTGAAAAAAAGCTTCTCCAAATTAATACAAGTCGCACACTTATAAATAAGTGCTTTCAGGTATTCCGCGCAGTTGTCAATATTCTTGAATTCACCAAATTTGCATTGAACTTCTATTTTTATTGTTTGATCAATCCGGATATTCGTGGAATCTGTGCGCATGTTATCATGTGTAGAAAGATCACAAGGCCTCCTCGAGTTAAAGGGCAACCAACTACACCAATCTCAATGTATACAAGATCCACCAAAAATTCAACAATTCGTGACAATCACAAGGGAAGTGAGAAAAGACGAATTGGAGATGAATCAAATCAAAGAGATAGTGTTAAAAGATTGGATGATTCAAGAAATAATTCGTTGAAGTCTGGGTAAATTTTTCATTCTCTAAATTTCTAATCTAAAAAACAACCCTTTTTTTTCAGACGCGATAACACACGAAAAGGTGTTGCGGCGGATAGTCTCATCGAAAAACTCACCGTGATCAAAGAAAATGAATCGGTGACTTCAGAAACTGGTGATCGTGTATAATTTTTTTGGGTTGTTTTTTCCTTCGCTTTATGGTTCTCACTATATGTAATATGTACTTGAAAATGTTGATCTAGATTGTGTCTGTATCATGCAACAAATTTTCATTTTAATTCCACGTGTACCTTTACTCTATATTTTTCTTGCCAACACAAATGTTTCCATTTAAAAAATTCTACTGTTTCAAATAATGTTCCTTGGGTTTGTGATTCTGTCATTTCTAATTTGCACATAGTATTTATGAATGAATTTAATTTTGAAAATGGGATTAAATAAGATGATTTCGAAAAAAAATGTTTGATATTATAGCCTGATAACCCGATGTGACAGGAGATCAAAAAATTGTAAGAAAAAAGAAAAGAAAAAGCAATAATTGTTGAATTGACAGGAAATGAAAAAGAAAATTAATTGGAATTATTATCAATTGCTTTCTTAACAGTTTGGATATGTGAGAATGAATTATTTCGATGTGGAGATTTTTCCAAAGCCACATGATGTCTAGCCTTCAACGGAATCGACGTTTCACTGTTGTTTCGCGCAAGAAGTGAAGTAACTAAAAGTAATTGAATTGTCACTCACATATTTAGATCAAACAAACTTTAGTCTGCGTCAGAAAAATTCTCTTGGGAATGAGAAACTCACCTTGTTCAGTGGCCGAAAGACGATGAGAATATTTTGATGCTGATGGATGGAATGATAGTGTTTTTCTTGGTTCTTTCATAGCGATCCCATTTGGCGACATTCTCATCATTGAACGTGAACTGTTTGTATTCACAATAATACCCGAAGAGAACTCCGTTTTATTGTAGCTCACTGAAAAATTATCTTCAAAAATATTTGATTATATTTATATCAAAACAAATAGCTCACTTCTTCTTGACATGTCTGAACAATTTGGTCTTGTTCCACAAAGTGCTTTTACAACATGTGATCTGTTGAAAAGAATATAAATCCAAGGATTGAGACATGAGTTAAGATTCCCAATAATTCCCAAATATACGAAAAGCTGTGGATTGAATAGAGGGAAACACGCTTGAATGACATTGTAAATACAATACGGCATCCAGAGAAAAAAATTGCAAGCCACAATGGTGATTGTCAGACGAACTGTAATTTTTCTCTTTTTTGAGAACTCAAATCTAAATATTTCTCTTCACTGTGCTCACCAGTTTGAACGCGTTTTCTATCAAATTCTGAAGTTTGTCGGCGGAATCCTTTTGATTTTTTTCGCAATTCTTCGATGTAATCTTCAGTTGTAATACTGCAATATTAAAAATTACAATACACATAATAATATTGCAAAAAATGCTACCTTTTTGTTTCTCCAAGTTTTTGTTGTGTCTTTTGACAGACAAGGGGTTTTGATGATGACATACGGACTGCTTTGCAAACAAAATCTGGAAAATAATTGGATATTTCTAAAAACTTTGAAGAGAAGATGTTTTTTGATTGGTGAGAGTTTCTTACAAAACCTTTGAGTTTTTAAAAATTAAAATTTTTTTGAAACATTGAACTTTTTTGATCTTTCAGAGTTGATAATCTGGAGGATATAAGGATTTATGAATCATTTTTTGGATTATGAGCTCATAACCCGCCTCCAAAGATAGTTTAAAAATATTGAGCTCTCTTATTGCAAAAATCTATTCCTAGTATTTTTCATCATCTAACAAATTTTGAAAAAAAATTACAGTAAAATCCAGCAGCAAGAAGAGAGGGCAATAACCATGCACATGAACTGAAATAAAACACATAAAACATATTCAAAGTTGCGCCATTCTTTCCAAAGTTTGCTGAACATCTTCCTCTTCTGCAAAAAAAAACGAGATCATAAATCTATATTAAAATTATTTTTTTTTTCATTTCATCAACATACCCTTGAATTTCTCGTTTCTCCCATACAAATAATTGAGGAATTGAGAATAATAAAGCGAGTCCCCACGCAATGGCAGCCAAATAATTAGGACGACGATATCTGGATGATCGAAAATGAGCTAGCGGTCGGCAAATTGCTTGATAACGATCTGCACTTATAGCGACCAACAGAAAAGGGCTTGCATACATTGGAAAGATTTGGACATAACGCATCAGTTTGCAGATGAAGTTTGATCCATAGTAGTCAGGATAAGTTAACTGAAATAATTTGTTATGAGAATTTGAGATTAATTATGGGGTCAAGCAGAGTAATATTTTGTAGCGAGTCAAGCAGAGTAATATTTTGTAGAGGTGTTATGACATTATAAAAAAATCAAATCCTTACCAATGTCAAAATTTCAGTTCCCAAAGACAAAACAGCAAAAATCAAATCAGCAATACAAGTATGAATCAGAAGAAGCTGAAAATGTTCATTTGTTTTTTTTTTCAGCCTTGTCTAGCCTAATTACCTGAACTGGTGATACACGTCGTCGAGCCACTTTGTTCCCCCGCAAAATAATGAAGAGTAGAAAAATATTTCCGAGAAGTGAAGCAATCATAATAACAGTCTGATGGGCTATCAGAAAGAAAAATCTTGGCGCCATTTGTCGCTGCTGGTTTTGAGAAACTGACACTTCCGAAATGTTTGATATATTATTCATGACCTGAAAAATGGTTGAGTTGAGTTGAGTGCAGAAAAAACCTTTTTAGTCTTTGTGTTTGGGTTTTCACGCTATGTATGTACATACCTCGGAAAATGGATCCTGATCTGTGAAACGTGTTGAAGTGTTCATTATCACCTGGAATTTTTAAATTGAAGTAGTGTTTTGAACAACACAAAACGTGAAAAACGGGAACTTGAAATTCAGAACAAACCTATGACATCAAGAAACAGATGAAAAATGAAGTGAAGGAATGATTTTTGAGGTTTGAAAAAATCTTTTTTTTCAGAGAAAAGCATCTAAAAAATAATAAACAAAATGAAAGCGCAATTATAATTCGAATCGAAAAGAAAAGAGCAAAGAAAAGTTTCGTTTCGAACTTTTTACTTGGAATAGAATAAAAAGATTCCAGGCAAACACAATTATTGTGCACGAGTGAATTCAGACTTGCAGAAGAGAAATTGAAGGAAAAATATTTTTTTATTTTTGTTAGCAAGTCAAATAATCGAGAACTTTTAAGATTATCTGGATTTTGTGAAGATATATGTCAAATTCATGGAAATCTTAAGGAGGTGGTGTAATTTTTGAGTTTTTTCGACGTAATCAAAAATGTTCGTTGTCTATCTAGAAAATCAATTCATTGTCAGACCAAACTCCGAAATAGAATTCAAAAAATAATCCGGAATTAACCGGAAATTATCAAAAAAGAATCCAACATGTTAGTTTTTGGTCCTATGGATTCTTGGAAGCTACATACCTGATAAATAAGGAAAACATGAAAAATAACGATATTGTTTTCAAAAGCGCAGGTGAATAATTATTGAATTGATAAATGTTTTATTGACGCATGTGTAGTTAAAAAATTTTGCTGAAACATTCAGCTGTCTAACAAGAAACTTATAAATTCGTTCCGTGTTTTTTGGAAAAAAGTGCTAGATTTTTGTTTTTGTTTTGTATTATAAATCGAGAGAAAAGCTGAAAATAAATAAAAGGATTTATAGATAGATCAAGATTTTAGATTTGAGAATCTTGAAAATCTAGAATTTTCTCAGCGAAAAAAATAATAGACAAATTAGAGAAAGGTAAAGCTAAGGACACTAACAATTCAATTTTCCCATTTCTCCAATAAAAAAAGTGATGCCAAGAAAAATAACAAACTTATGGTAATAAACAAAATTTCTGCGCGAGAAGCAAAGAAACAATTTATTTAATGATGACACCTCATATAAATTATTTCAGTCGCATTTTTTTCATCTTACGCACAGACCAAAAAAAACAATTATTTTTTTCCGGCCTGAAGAAAAATGAACAAAAACGAATTTATGCATATTTTATATTAATCTTAGAATCAGTGACACAACTTTTGGTGGCTGCTTTCTTTGCTCGTTTTTTGTGGGGAAAAGTCAATTTTTGAACCAATTTTTCATTTTAGGGAGATTGAGAAAAACAAACAGACAAATAAATAAAAAAGGAACCTACTCCCTACCACCACCAAAATAAGAGGTCATTCATCGAACGCGAAAATTTTCGCATGCTTATCCATATATATTCTTCTTTTTTCTCTTTTACTTATTCTTATTCTTCTTCTTATTTTCAGTGCCACCACCACCACAAAAATGAAAATAAAAAGTGCAGGTTTATAAAAAAAAACCACGCGTTGACACATGAACAAATTACACTACATTTTGTTAGATCATTGAGAAAAGACAAGCAAATATGAATATATTACTCGAAAAATATAAATAACAAGTGAAAGGAGGAAAAAGTTGGTTTTTGCTTGCTTTTCCTAGAAAAATACGAATCCATAAGAGAGTAATGAAAACAACGAGTGGGTTACACAAAAATGATATTTTTCAAGAAGTTACATGAACCCTAAAAATTGAAGACTTCCGCTGAATGTCAATCAGGTGAGTTGCAGGTTCAAAAATTGGTCATTGCTCAAACCAGAGAACGTTTTTTTTTAAATCAAAAGTGGTAATTGGAATCTGGAAAACATTTCTCGAAGGATTTGAACACAATGAGAAAAATCCGACTTTTATAGAATCAGAAATTGTGTGTGGGTGAGATATCTCAATTGTCTACAGATTCTGCCAATGAGCAAATTTGCTAGAAAACGATGTTTTTCTAGAACGTTTTCTGAGAACTTGAAACTTGAGAACGTGATCAGTAAAATGTTCTCGTGTCAATTTTCAAATTAGATATCGAAATGTCTTTTCAATCTTAATCTCTGCTAATATCATAATTATTATTGAAAATTCATGGAATATAATTAATTGCTGTTCAAACCTACAATTTTGTCTTATAAATGGGACTGAACACGTTTTCTGAGAATGTGCACTTTTTACTATATAACTACAATATTCAGCTATAAGATCATGCTACAAACCATCAAAATCTTGATTCTATGATTTGGATTTTTTGAAAATAACAATCAACGTAGAGGAGATTCTCACTAAATGGAAGTCAGGATCATATAAGGTATTCAAAACAGAATTACAGTAGTCGGAATGAATTTGAATATTATCTGTTTATACTTCAATATGTTTTTTGCTCATAAATCCCGGCTGTTTTGAAAAACAACTATCCATCCTCAAACATTAAAAATATTTTTCCGTGTTCACTTTTCTAATTTTCTATCAACTATAGAAAAGTCCAACAAATGTCCTAAAAGTTTGCAAATTCATGAATAAACCGGAAAAATATCTATCTATGCAGCAAGCTGAAATTGAGTTATTTTTCGATTATTTTCCGAAATATGTAAAGGTGCTCACTCACTTTGTGCTGGAATTATGCAAAAATGAGAAGACAAGAATAACAACGTGAAAGATATTGGAGGAAAGAGCAAGCGAGAGAGTGAAAAAACACTAAACAAGTAAGTAAGAAAGAAGAAAGGTCATCAAAACATTGGAATAAAACTAGCTCATTAATTCGTCACTAATCACATATTCATCATCTTTGGTGCAAAAAGGAAAGAAAATTAGTTGTTTGATGTTTTCTGAAAGTGATGATTGTTTTTCATTCACCTCTTATTCTTCCGGATTCTCACTCTGATTTCAATTTCAATTCTCATTTCCAAAATAGAAGAGATTAGTAACCTTTTTTTTTTTTGAACATCAAAAAATGTTCCGAGAAAATATATGTAAATGTGAAACAGCGAAAAAAAACGAGAGACAAAAAAGCGAAAGTCATCGGGTTAATAATTAGCTAACTACATATGTGAGCAAAGTCTTTTTGGCACCATCGAAATGAAAAAAAAGTGAGCGAGAAAAAAAGAAGAGAGTTCAGGAAGGAATGGATATATAATTGGAAACAAGACACCCGGTAGACATTATTAACTCGATGGGATGAAGGCTATACTCTTTTTCATCTTTTATGTGATGTCCACTGTTTGATGATGATGATGAGGATGATGAAAAAAAAATGAAAAAGCACACATATTTTCCATTTTTAGTTTTCATACACGAATTCAGTAAATTACTTTTTTCCGGGAGAAAAAAAGAGTTTATTAATTTATTGCCGAAATTTTTCTTCTTGAAATATTAGCTGGGTGCAAAATTGAATTTTGCTATAGGGATCTTCAGAATTTTGAGACAACATTTGAGATATTATGTCAAAAATCTTGTAAATCACAATTAATCCGGAAATATTATCCAAATTTCCGATTGTTGAAAGAAAAGTCAAAAATTAGCGAATTAAAGAGAAAAATGTTCCACGAGGAAAAAAACTAGATAAATTTGTCGAAGAGATAAAAGATTAGCTCGAAAATGGATTCAAGTGTTCTGTTAATACAAAAAAAAATCAGGTGATTCATAAATTTTCGAACTTCATTTCAGATTCTAGAATACATATATTTTCTAAAGTAATCAAATTAAAAATGATCAATTTTATTTTTTCGAACAAGCCAAGTTCAAAAAAATGCTGCAATTTTTCAAACTATTGAAAAAAATCTAGTTAGTAAAGACAAAAAAGTTGAGATTTTTTAAAACTTATAGTAGTTTGATAGAGTGTCGTTGTTTTGATCAGACATTACAGGAAAATTCTAAGAAAATAATTAGTTCAAAAGTTATCACAAAGTGCATTTCTAATACGAATTAAAAAGTCACATCCCAGAGGACTAAGCCACATATAAATTTTTCATAAAAGCATACAGTAGTTTTGATTCTCGGAGATCAAAGTTACTCAAAAATGAAATAAAAAGATTTCTGGCAGATTGACGTAAAGCCCAGGTGAGCAGCACAATTTGATCGATAGTAAATTATATTAGCGTGGGGTTTTTGAACCAGTATTATGTAGTTTTTGTTTTGCTACGGAGTAAAAAAAGGTCAAACATTTTTTTTTCAGAATGACACTATTTTATGATCTTTTGAACATCAAATTGATGCTAATAATCAACGTTCTTTCATCTTTTGTAAAAAAAATGAAAACATATAAAAATGCCCATAATAGAAAAGTTTTGATCCTTGAGGCTTTATCAAATCGCATTATCTATGAAACTTAATCATACAATTTTCGAGCATTCATACGTGAAAAACATAACCTCAAAAAAACAGGAAAAAGCTGCAAAATACATATACTTGAGCATCTTGTTCCCTCAAAAAAGATGCGCAAAAAGAGAAAAAAGAGAAAGGTTTCATTTTGTAACTAAAATTGATGCCCCTTGATGAGATCATTAGAACTAAAATACTTTTTTTGCCTTACTACTACGATAATGAATAGAGAGTTGAGTTGCAAAATGTTTTTGATGTCAAGTTTATTTTTGTATTTTTTGGAAATAAAGAATAATAAAAAAGTTTTTTTGTTTTTTGGTTCTATAATAATGAATACATTAAATTCAGCTTTCGCGCAGAATAAAGAAGTATAAATGACTTGCGTTCACCTTTGACATTTTCAAAATTAATGAGTCTAGGAAACCTTTTTGAGGGAACTTTTAAAATTTATAAACACTTTACTGCAGAGAAAAATTGAACTGAAAACTCAATTTCAAATTTTAAGAACCAGTTACAATATGTTACTCCCTACTTACTGTGAGAAAAATTAGCCAAATGTTTCATAAAACTTTAAAAAATTGTTCCTTTGAAAAGAGCAGCTAAAATTCTCCTTCAAAAACCAGACTTTTCAACTAATAAAATATGTATTTTCTACAAAATGCATGCATTTTTCTTGTAAAAATTGTTGCAAAAAGTGCAAATTTGCTCTTGATGTTGTTATTTATAAATAAATATGATATAAAATAATTTGATCTTCGAGAAATTGGATACTTTCAACCTACGTATTCTCAAAAAATGAGATTATTCAATGAAAGAAAAAAGGATCAAAGTACTAGATGGCAAAATGTTCTAGACGACCGACCGGCAACACAAAATAATAACTTGTAATCCCACCGTCAAGGGATCTTTTTTTTTCTTGTTTTTCCGTTTTCACACTATCTATCACTATTTTTTCTTTTATAATTATGCAGGAATTCTAATTACAAGAAAATGGAAGAAATAAAAAAAACAACAAATGATGAGGAAAAAATACGGAACGAAAAATTAATGATTTGGAATGATGAAAACCAGAAGTTAGATTTTCTGTTGTTTTTTCACACGTTTTTTAGTGATGGAACTTGATGAATTATTTATATGAATAATTGAATATTGAATGAAAAGTGCAATAAAGAAAATATGAAAAAAAAACAGAAGTAAGTTGACATCTGGGAAACAAAACACTTTTTGAAACTCGAAAGAAAACATTTGATGAATTAGTCTGGAACGAATGAATTTGAAAGAGAGAAAACTTTTGAACCAGGAAATTGATGATTGAATGTTCTGACAAAAAATTAGGAATCAATTAGAAAAAACTTTGAAGATCAAAATTTGATCTTCTTGGTCTACAATTAGGATTTCAGACTGAAGAAAATTGAATATGTATTTTTAGGATTCTAAATGGAACAATGGTTCTTGAAATTTCTTAAATGTTTCGATTAAGACACATAAAAATTTCATTGCTTAAAATGAATGTTTCATTTTTCCAGACCAATTAAAATACGAAACGTTGGTTAATTTTCTGACTTCTTTCGGAAATCAAAAATGGGCTATCGTTTACAGATTTAATTTTCTATAAGTTTATGAGCATATTCGCAACAAAAAAAATCTAGACAGCAACCCAGGTTTCTGGACCTGGAACTGAATCCTCCAGTAGAGTGGGCTCTATCATTTCTTGATTTCAGTTCAAAAACTGCCTCAAAAACCATTAGTTTTCACACAACAAGTGTATTACATCGTTTCGTTTCTGAACAAATAAACAACACATTTTTCAAAATGATAATCATGTCATAAAAAAACCTAATTTCTTACGAAAGATCAAAAACAATTTGTTCTTTGAAAAAAACGCAAAAAAATGTGAAGTAATAATCCGAACGATGTGCACTTGTTTTTTTTCGAGTTTTTTGTATGGGTCCAACTTATCAGCGGGGTTTTCAAAGAAAAAATAAAAAAAAAAACAAAAATATTTTTATCCAGCTGAAAAATAAATAACGTAACTTCTATGAGAAAAGTCACAAGATTTTTTAATATCAAATTTCAGAATGATTTTGAACATGAGATTGCAATGAATTCAATCAAAAGAAATCTAAGAAAAAAAACTTCAATAACAAGATATGAAAAATAAAATACTAAAATTGCTGAAAATTGAAAAAAGGAAAGTCCAATTTAACATCCAAACAAAAATAGCCGCGGGGTCGAACAAACTGCCAAAACATTTCATTTTTAAATACCCATTCTTGAACTTTTGTCCTTTTTCGAAAAACACCAGCACACGCCCTATGATTCTTGAGAAAAATTGAACCTTCGAAATTAATGAATCATTCATCATGAAACCACACTAAAAAATCTTGTGTGAAAAAATTCCCACTTTTTTCGAGAAAAACACACATTGTTGTTTTTTCACCTATTTTCTGGATAAGTGACATTTTTACTTTTAAAAGTATACAAATAGCTAATTAATGCAAGCCACAATTGTACTTATTTAGAAAAACAAAAAGGAAAAAAAGAAAAATAGACTAATTACACTTGATAATAAATGAGTTCAGTTCACAATATAAAAAATTAGTTCTGGAAAAAAATGTGTTCCGGATTAGGTATTCATTTCTTATGTATGTATAACTCTAAGAACAAAAGGATTAGTCAAAACCATTTCTGATGAAAAACTAAAACACGAAAATTTCACGTTTCTATACGATGTGTGGAAAATATGAATATTAAATTGAATTTCCGAAGAACGCTTATAGCAGATCAAAGTTGACAAGCTCAAAAAAACAAGCTGTGCAAAATAAATCCTATTTTTCAAAACGTATGTATAAAATCTGAATTCATGTTGCAAAAAAATAAATACTGGCTTAAAAATTATTTTGTTTGTGGTGGTTTTCTATAGTTTTCAAAATCTGAACTTTATTATTATAGCTATAAGGTTTCAACTAATTTTGAAAACATTCATAAAAAAGTTATATTCTAAAGATTTGAGAAATTACATCTCGTCGGAGCAATCTCAAACACCTTGAAATTTAGAATCCCTTTCATAAATCCCAACTTCAAATCAAGAATTTTTTTCAAAAATATTATTTTCCCAGGTCAATTTTGCAATTTTCCTCACGAATTTCCGAAAAAAACAACAATAAAAATATTCATTTCTTTGAAGATAAATAAAATCAATTTTTCAATGACAATGCAAAATAAATCGACGAAAAACAAAAAATCTCATTCAGAGAAGCTTAAAAATAAAATTCTTGAAAAAAGAGATGCGAAGCTTTGCTCAGCAATATACAAGATTACCGTAAACTACACACATTGAAGGAAAATCAGAAAAAAACACGTTGAAAGGACAATGGAAACTAATATTGATACACGAAGGTTTTGAAGAAATCACAAGAATACCTAGAAATGGATAAAAAACAGAAAAAATAAAGGGGTTGGTGGGAGAAAATAATATATGTATTGTGATGATGTATGTTTAGAAGGATCCTGAATGAATAAAGCTAAACAGCTGATAGACAGAAAAAATGAAAAACAAAAAAGAGAAAAAAAGATTTAAAAGTAGCGTGCTTATAGCATATTTTTCAAAATAAAGAAATTACATTTTCAACTATCAGTTTTGTTTTTCAACAACTTCAAGTTCAGGATCCGAACTACTTTCTTTTGCATCGCCTTCTGGTTCAGCATCATCTTGTTCAACTTGAACAATACTGTCATCATCTTCATTACTATTTGCCGAATTTAAATCCAATACTTCTGGGGAAGATTGCCCATTACTTTCATCGACAACAACAGCAGATTCACTGTCTCCAGAGCCTTCAAAAAAAAGATGAATATTTTTTTTCAATTTTAGCGAACTCACCATTCTCAGCAAAACGCTTCAAATCAGCCCATCCTTTACTGAAAAGCTCATCCGGTGTTGTGAAATCAACAATCTTTCCATTCTCCATAAACAAAACACGATCCATTTTTCGAACATTTTCCAATCGATGAGCAATCGTCAAAACAGTCGCATCTTTGAAAGATTCACGAATAACATTTTGAATGATTTTATCAGTGGCAAAATCAACAGATGCTGTTGCTTCATCAAGAATAACAATCCGACTTTTTGTCAAAAGTGCTCTTGCCAAACAGAACAATTGTTTTTCTCCAACAGAGAAATTCTCTCCACCAGTTCGAACTTCGCCTTCCAATTTATTCTCAAGTCCCGAAACAACTTCATCAATTTGACATTTTTTCAAAGCCGCCCAAATTTCCGAATCACTGAAATCGTTCGATGGATCAAGATTGAATCTAACAGTTCCAGAGAATAGAGAGGGATCTTGTGGAATTGTTGAAATCGATCTTCGAAGTTTAGTCAATCCAACTGTGGTGATATCAACACCATCGATGAATATTCTTCCCCAAGTGAGGGGGTAAAGTCGACAAATAACACTGGCAATTGATGATTTTCCAGATCCAGTTCTTCCAATAATTCCGATTTTTTCACCACTCAAAATTTCAAAACTAATATCATTCAATGCCAACGGCAACTTTTGGACGATATCGGAGTCTGAAAATATGAATTTTCCATTATTTATTTCAACTGCAACGAGTAATTACTTACTTGACATCTTGGAAAGTGATTTTACCATGAGCAGGCCACGAAGAAGGAACATCAACACCTTGTTTTGTATCAAAATCTCCATCAGATCGGATATTCTGAAAGATGTACAGTTTTTCATATCTAGTTTCAAGAATAGAAAAAAGTTAGTATTCCCTTTAAAAATAAAACTCACTTCAGCATAATAGGCAACTCGTTCAACACTTGTCATTTTAGCCTCTAATTCAGTTTGTGTGCGAACAGCAAATTGGAATATTCCACTCATTTGAACAGCAAACGTAATAGCCATTCCAGCATCAGCCGGTGAAACGGTTCCAGTCAACATAACAGTCAGAAAAGCAACAATTGCAGTCATTACAACAACAAGTAAATCCAACCAAACAGCTAACCATCTCATTGCAGATTGAAACATAAAAACTGCACCGTTATTTGCGTCGAGATGTTTTTTCAATTGTTCCAAGAATCGTTGAGTTTGATTCATTGTATGAATACTGGCAATTCCTTCTAAACTTGTTGTGACGTGATCGAATAGTGGAGAACGGGATAAATGTTCCGATCTTTTCAAGCTGGAAGTTGTTAGTTAGATGATTGAGGTGTTCAAGATAAAAAAAAACTTACTTTCTGATACCAGCTCGGAAACATGACACGAATAAAACAAAAATCAAGAACAATGGAATACAAGCGATCTGAAAATATTAATTTTATTATGATATGCACTGTGAAAAACATTAGTTTGATACTTTGATAATTTGGTAAAAAAAATAGTCAGAAAAAAGAAGCCAGAATTTTAAATCCCAACTTCCCCAAGTACGGTATTTCTATGGGTCACTATCACAATTTGAATTTAAATTCGACGCTTATTTTTCTTTCAAAAAAATCGTTACTTAAAAAAACTTCAATCTTACCAAGAATAATGGGAAAATATAGCAAATGACAATGAGGAATCCAAGACAAGTAATCATATTTTGCAAGAAAATTTCAGCGGTGAATGGAAGCTTGACGTCAACTGAAAAATTCAATCATAAAATTTCATCCAATTTCATAGAGTCATTCAACTTACTCTCATCCATATCTTTCGAGAATCTGTTCAAAATTCTTCCTGTTGGAGTTGAATCGAAAAATGCGATTGATCCACGTAGTAACGCGTTGAACATGGAGTTGTGTAATTTGCTCGCTGCATCAAGAGAGACTTTCACAAATACACAAGCTTTGAACAATCCGGAAATTGTCAAAATCACCAAAGAGATTGCATAAACCACTGTGTAGAATGTCAAATTTTCATTTTCGGCCATGCTTTTCAATGATCTGATTTGTTCTGTTCCATTAATATTGACAATCTGAAAATGAACCTTTCAGGGTTGAATTTTTGTAATTTTGAAAAAACTTACATCTTCATCATGACCCTTCTTGAGCCATCTTGCAAGCCAGAAAGTTGAGAAAATATTAGCAACAACGTTAATAATGAAACCGACAACAAGACAAGTCCAAATTGGCCATCTTCCAGCAGCATTTATATATGTCCTAAAATTAACAAATTATATCTGCAAAACCCCAGGGAAAAAAATAAACTAACATATAAATTTTGAACGATAGTTTAGATGTTCCTAAATCTTCCTCATCGGAGATCAAAATATCTCTTTCCAAATGTTGCACAATATTTTCTGAAGAATCGTGTGCTGCGGGTGCACCAACTTTCTCAAATTCCTCTTCAATTGTGCTAGACAATGGTAAACTCAAAGTTGTATCAAAATTATCTCGATTGCCATCATCTCCTGAAACAAACACAAACCATGTTTAATTAATTGTTCTTTCAATCGCGATAATGTTATCAATCGAACTTTTTATCATTAATCAAACCAAACCATAAAAAATCACCTTGACAAGCATCCACAAATTGTTTATAAGCTGGATGATCTTCGTAAAGTTGATCATGTGTTCCATCAGCAACAATATTTCCAGCTTCCATAAAAAGAACACGATCAAATTTTTCAAGAACTTCCATGTTGTTTGTAACAAAAACAACAGTTTTCTTATGCAAGAAATTCTCAATAATTTGTTGGAAAACTCCATCAGCAACACGTCTGTCTAAACTAGCAAGAACATCATCAAACAAATAAAGATTTCTCATCGCATAAGTCGCTCTCGCTAATGAAATTCTAGCTTTTTGTCCTCCCGATAATGTTGTTCCACGTTCACCAATTTCAGTTCGATCACCAATTGAAAAGGCACTCAAATCTTCAGTGAGTTGTGTTCCACAAACAACTTTATAATATCTTTCTGAACTCATTTTGTCACCGAATAGAATGTTGTCTTGAACAGTTCCGTTGACAATCCAAGGGGTTTGTGGGACATAAGCAAGGTTCTGACGATCAACAATCATATCAGTGTTTTGCGAGAACATCTGGAATTTTTTGGAGATGGTATACTTTATTTGTTTTTGAAAATCACTCACGTGTCCTGAGATTGCTTTGAGCAATGCTGATTTTCCCGATCCAACAGATCCAACAACCGCAACATGATCACCTCGTTTAATCTTAAGATCTTTCACAGCCAAGCCAAAAGCTGGAGCTTGTTTATCAAGTGTCTCTTTCTCAGTTCCAGTTTGCTCTAAAAATTTCAAAATAAAATTATTTTTTTAATGTTTATAGATCTCACCGTCTTCTGGTTCTGGTTGATATGTATAGAAACCTTCTTTGCAAGTTACAACATATTCACTATCACCACCAGCAACAAAACTATCCCAACTTTCGAGCTGAAAATGTTTATGTAATTCTCAACAAAAAAATCTCCTAAAACTCACCACTAAATATTCTTGAATTCTTCGCATAGCAACAACAGATTCAGCCAAATATCTCGAACCATATGGAATCATTCGAATACCAAACAACATCACAAAATAGACGGTGATTGCAGAAAAAGCGTCAGATGCTAGCAAATCATTTCCAGCTAAAACAACACCTAAGAATGTCAAAACTGCAGCGACGACTGGAACGACTGGTCCGCAAGCGATAGCCAATGATTGAGCATAGCCTGACTTTCGGATAACGATTTTCTCACTGTGTCGCATGGCTGCAATATTTTTATTATAATGGATCAACAAGTAAAATGACTCACTTTCAACTTTTTTGCTGAAAACATCTTCCCATCCACTGACTTTAATCACACGAATAAATCTGATAATTTCCGACATCAATCCGATTCTCTCTTCAGTTCTCTTGATTGCCTCATTTCTGCAGTTCACCATTGTTTTACCAAGGCAGAACTAAAAATACATTTTTTTGAAATCATGAATAATAATAATGATGAAAGTAACTCACTTGAATAGCATCAAAGATAAAAAATACAGCAATACCAAGAAGTGACCATCTTCCAATAACAGCAAGAAGATAGGCAACACCTCCAAAAAGTACAAGTGGTCCGACAATAACAAGAGGAGCAAAGGTTACAGCATCAAAAAGACGTTGACCATCATTGGCAAAAATATTGACAACATCGGCCGGGGTTTTTCCACACAAATCTTTCGAGTCGAGAACTTTTTTGTATAAAAGTGCCAAAACAGCGCCACGAACACGAATTCCAGTTCTGAAATTTGATATGTTTTTGAGATGGCATGTTTTTCTCTACGACTTGTTAGTGAACATATTCATAATTCTGATGGGAATATGAGAAACATTGAAAAATGATTCCAATAAAAAGAAGGCTAGAAAATCTTCAAAACAAAACCCCTTTTTAAAATTGATGTTTCTTGTAGGTTTTTCAAAATCAATAAATAAATTATACTTTTGAGACACGGATAGCCTGAATTGATAAAAACTAAGATTTACCTGTATGAAACCGCCCAAGTTGCACCATATGATAAAACTCTTGCAAATTCAACAAGTCCAATCGCAATAACCAAAACAACACCATATGAATAAACAATATTCAATTCTTCATCTCGTTCAGGATTTTCAGTAAAAGCAATCAATCTTCGAATAAAACATGTTGGTCCAATGAATCCGAAAATCAAACAAAACAAAAAGACAGCGCATGAGAACCATAGCCTTGTTGAAATGAATCGATAAATCACTTTGAAAAGTGACGGTGATTTTGGGTTTCTTGCTCGTTCCTCTTCCCATAAAACTTCAATTCTTGCCATATTCAAACCGCAGCTATCATAAAAACTGCAACTCCAAACTTGATCTCGATCCATTTTTCCACGAAGTGCTTGTAGCAAATATTGGAAAACCCATGAATATGTGACAAATGATAATAATCCAGCATCATCGATTCGTGATCCACCGTTGTTAAAATGTTTATGACTTGTTCGAATTGGTATCATATTTTGAGCAGCTGAATTGTATCGAGCCAAATTTTTCGTCCGATCTGCATCTTTGTTATATCTTGCTAAGCGATCACCGTATGCGCTGAAATGATAAAAAATTGTTTGATTCAAAAATTTCCATTTTTAAATTTTTAAGTTTAAAAACTAACTCTTTTGAATATACAACACGTTCATAAACTCCGGTACCCGATGGTTCAAGTCGAACCCCATCATCGCCTGATGGCATCTGCAAAAAATCCGCAAAATTATATTTTGTAGTTAATTTGAAAAATAAAAGGGTAAACCAATAAAAAAGTAACCTGATAGATATTATAAATTGGTGGGTTGGTAGAGACTTGAATTCTAACAAACATTATTTTTTGCATGGTGTGTGTATGTATGAATACGAATAAAATATATGAATGAAATATATCTCACGTTCAGAATTTGAATAAGAATAAGAACATATAAGGGAGGGAAGAAGCAGAAAAGACATATGATTCATTCGGCATAGAACAAAAACAGTGCAATTTTTTCGCATTAATATTTTTCGGCCCATAAAATTGGATATATGGCTTTATATATATATAAATATATATAGTGCTTTGTGATTTGCTCTCCAAAAAACTTCAATTTGGAAAAAAGGGCAAATAATTGATGATAAATTATATAATTGACAAGAGAGCGTAAATATATTCCATGATAAAATTACTGATATGAACATACATATATCTTCATTATGTTCAGTTCATCACTGTATTTCTGTAAAATTTGAAGAAAAAACTTGAAAAAGATTATTTTCTTGTGTGTTTGAAAAAGATAAGCTATCGATTCGAAAAGCGGTCAAAATTTCCAAAATTTTGAAAACGACAAAAAACACATTTTTTGGAAACATTTGGCGAGAAAGATAAGAGATATCTGTGCCGAAAAAATATAAACAAAAGTCTCTCGAAAATGGCAGAAAAGACATCATCATTAGAGAGAGAAAGAGAGGAACCCGAACGGCCCTCCGCAGTGTTGAACGAATAAAAATAGAAAAAGAAGAAGAAAAAGGAGAAAAAAAACGAAGACGAATTGAGCATGCTGGCCAAGCTCTTTGCACGCAGATAAGTACACCGAATTAAGTATTGAGGCATTTTTATAATAAACAACTTTGACTGGAAATTAAAACTGAATGACTTTTGTAGGACAGAGACAGCACAAACAAACAAACTTGATTAAAAAGGCCAAAATTAGATGTTTTCTAACACCTACGTGTTTTTTTTTAAGAATGGCGTAGAAAACATTCCTAATAAAGAGCGGAATGACCTTGATTTTTAAATTTGAGCCCAGCTAAAAACAGGTCACATCATGGGTTGTTTGGTGAATGCTCCTACCTAAATAATTCCCTATGGTCGGAATTAAAGCCATAAAATGTACTAAACTTAAATGTCGAATTTAAGTTGCTTTAAAAATATACCAGGATTATAAAAAAGAAGAACTAACCAAAAAATTCATCCACAAAAAACAAGAAAAATAATAAATATTTCACTAATTCTTGTTTTTTAAACAAGACATGTACTTGCACTCAAAACACCGAGAAAGAAAGAAAAGACAAATATTGTTTTCAAAAGTATTTTTTGTATGCTAAAAATGATTTGGTATCAGTTGCAAAAATTGATAATATAGAAAATAAACCCGCCATATGACGAAATTCAGTTCAAAATGATAATATGTGTTTTTTGGCGGTTATCAATATTTAACACAATTTCATGGAACAAGTAAGATGATTTGATTTCATATCTTTTTATATGTGTGGTATTTGTTTGAAAAAAAATGAAGAAAAAATGGAAAACATTGGAAAATAAAAAAAAGAGATAGTTGACAGGGATGAGACGCTCAACAAGTTATTTGAATTTGTGTGTCACAATAGAGCACAGTTACATCATTGACATTTGAACGAAGAGAAAAAAGGAGGGGGGGGGGGGTGAAAAAGAAAAAAAGGAAAAGGACAAACAACATTTTTTGTTGTTGTTCTTGTTGTGTATTTTTATAGAAGGACAATCAACAAAATTGCGGTGTTCAAAGAAATTAATTATTTTTTTAAAATGAAATATCGAAAAATTGAGGATTTTTCTAATGATAATTCTATGCAATTTTTTCAATTTTTGAATCGAAAATAATAAATTTTGGTTATAAATTTTCAAAATTATAGAGAGAAAATATATTATAATTGATAGTTACGAGATTGATAAATATTTCAGCTGAAATAAAACATGAAATTCTGCCAAAAAGAGGTGGAATTGAGGTTGAATTTTACAATCTTTCATGATATTAAAAATCAAGCAAGCTTTTTTTTCAGAAATTAAAACTTTCACAATACGTTTGATTTCTGGTCAAGGTTTGTTCAGCAGAAAATTTTTTTTGATTTTTCCAAAACATAAATAATGTATTGAAAATTTTATAATGAAAATTGTATGTAATTTTTTCAATTTTCGAATCAAAAAGGAATATTGTGTTTTTTTAATTTTCAAAATTATACAGCAAAAACAGGACATAATTGATAGTTTGAAGAGTGAGAAATGTTACAAGAAAAATAACAGAACAATTTGATAGAAATGAAGTTGAAAAGGGACCGCAATGATGAAAAATTCTTGAAAATTAGTCATGAAAACTATTGTTTAAAAAAAACTGTTGGAAACAAATCAAAGTCAAAATTGTTTTTAACCACGTGAAATTCTCAGTCAATTATTTCGAAATCAAAACTTGATAAAACTTGGCCAGAAAAATGCTCAAACCTTGGATAGAACTCTCTTAGACTTTCAGAATTTCATCATATTTCCACTTTATATTATGAAATTTATTCTAAAAAAAATAGAATAAAGAATAGAGCATGAATACTTCATAATTGTTCAGAAAATCATTTGTATCTTTTTATCTCGGGTTATTTTTAGATAAAATTGTTATAATGGATATCTCCATGAAATTCTTTAAAACCTCATTTTGGAATATAAAACACTTGAACCAAATATGTAGAAACAAAATTGAAAAAAAAAGAATATGTCTCGAAAAACTGACATTTGAAGAAATGTGCAAACATGTTCGCCTCGCTTGTTTTCTGCACTTTCATCATAATTGGTTATATTTTCGAATGGTTTGTGGTTTGTTCTGTGTTTTTTCTTCCTTGCTTTCTGATCAAACGTCAATCAAAAAAAGGAAAAGAAAATGTTTCGAAACAAAGGAAAATTAGGTCCAACATAAGAATGGGGTTTTCCGATAAATTATGTATATCATTTTATGTTAGGTAGATATTAAATGATTCAGGCTTTCATTTCTTCACAAAGTCTTTTGCTTAAAAATGAGATGTTTTCGAAAATAATTTCGAGAACCTTCCTTATATAAGTAATGTTTCAAGGCTTATTCAAACATTGTTCATAACAAAGTTTAAAAAAAATTCAGATCAAAACGCCCCAAAAAAATATTCATAAGAAAAAATCCCTCGGGAATTACTAGTAATTTATCTCATGAAATAATGAAAATTAATTTTTTTTCTAGATATAAGTAATCATCAGCGTCATTAGTAAAAACAATTATGCGATTTTTCACCAAAAAAAGATTGTCCAAAAATAGGTCTTTTCAAAAATTCATTTTGTTTAGTCACTTCAGTCTCTAACCTTTTCATAATTTGCAGGTATTCCGAGATCAGATCTAGTAAAAAAAGAACCAAGTTTTTTTTTTTGAAAATGTGGTCATCTTTGTCTCAATAATTAGATCTTGCCCATTTTCTCAGTTTTGATTGGAAAATTTCCAGACCTTTAATCAAAAATCATATTCAACATCCATAACAAACGTTTGTTTTCATTGGAAAGTATTTGGAAGCTCAATGTCAGAATTATTTCGCAATATTAAAATTTTGTTCTGAAGGCATATTTACTTGTGTTAAATAACGCGTTGAAGTTTTATCTGATGAAAAACAATTTTGTTGAAATTACTTTCATTTTGATCAAGAATGATAATCTGTTTTATATGCTCCAGAGAGCCTTAATTGCATTTATAACTTTGAAAATTTTGAGAACTTCATGCCTAGATGTTTCAGTTCCCAAACTCTATAAAAAATATTCGTCATTGTCCATTTTTGTCCAGACTAAAATCACAATGAAAATACAAATTTTTTGAACAAATCCCAAGAAAGTATCAAAGAGTTTTATAAGCTAATCTTTTTTTTTTGCATTAACCAAATTGTTTATAAAAATACATTCAAAAGAGATTATCTTTATAGTTTTAGAATCAGAATTGAAATCTGAAAAGGACGACTGTTCTTTTTTTGGTTCCAGAAAAATATTTGGCTCAATCTATCTATTAAAAAAAATATATATAAGGGTTTTCTGAAAATAAATTGGACTTCCAAATTATTAATAACAGCCAAAATTTAATCATTTGCAAAAAACTTAAAACTGTTATTTTCTCTAGTGAAAGGGTTCACAAGAATACAGCATGTTTTCTTGGTTTTTGAATTTTTACCTCTGATTTCTGAAACTTTTTTTGACTTGATATTTTTTATTTGAGTTACCTTGTTTTTTCTATTTGTTTTTGAATCGCATCTCAATCATTCTTGGCTTGACATCATTCTAGATAAAAAATAATTGGATGCTGTGAACCTAGAGTGTCAAAAATAGAATATGTTTTTTAATTGGGTGTTGCAAACCTACCATTTAGAAATATCTCGGAGTTAGAGTTTGTTTCAGATATAAGAAAAACGTGTCTGCCAGATTTATAGAAGTTCTGAATATTTTTATCAGAAATTTCGATCTCTTGTATCTGGAAAAATAAGAAAACTAATATCATTTTGCTGACTTTTATGCAAACGGTGCTGGAAAACCGTTTCAACAGTGAAAAAAATTTCTTGCTGCATTTTTTCTCCTGTCTTAGTCTTTCTTTCTAAATCCATTCAACCACAAAATTTTTTTTTCCATTGTGTTCATTTTTCACTCATCAAACTACACTAATCATTATTAGATTACTTTTTATCCATTTGGTAATAAGTTAGAATTCCTATAATAACTTTCAGAGCAGAAATTTTGGATGTAGTCTGGTCTGGTTTTTTTTAAAGCCCCGCCCCATTTTCCCATTCTCAAAAACACAAATCTGATAACAAGTTGCGTAGCTCGAACTCCATTTAATCATAAGTTATATGGATTGAAATTTTCTTAATTTCGCTAGGCAATTTTTTTTACAAATAAACTGAAAAATGGATTTATTTTATTCTGTGTCCAAAAAATAGAAAATGTTGGCTTGCATTTCTTCTCATTTAATTGGATAAATTAGGTTTAAAACATTTCTGATAAAGGTAATTTGTATATGTTTTTTCTAACTTTTGTGTGAATCCTTTTTGTTTATCTACCTTTTTAATAAAATCCCGATTGGGACTGTTTTTTAAAGAAAAAATGTGTTAGTTTAGTGTTATTGATAAATCAATGAAATCAAAACAAAACGATCCCTTCTAACATGAGACAATTTTTGCTCCTCCCATTTTTATGAATCATATCCCATTCCCTCTAAAAATTATTTATTTTTGATAGTTGGCCTTTCAGTTTTCCCTATTCCTGATTTTTTTTCAACAAAAATGTGGGTCTCTGTTTTATTTCTATATTACTGACAAGGAATAGTTCCCAAAACCCCCCTAAAAAAGTTGTTTCTATGCGGTAGTTATACTATCTGGTGACGTAAGAAAAAAAACCCAAGTGGATTTTGCAACCAAAAACTATACGTATCTTTTTGCGTAGAGTTCGAAAATTGACACTAGAATACTGGAAACATTTTTTTTTGATTGTATTAGAGTAACCTTTCTTGAATTCGCGAAAGAAGGGAAATTTGTTAAAAAGGATGGAATCTATTTCATTATTATTTTTAAAAATTGGTAAATATTATATTTGAATGTACCCGAATTTGACGTAAAGATTTCAAACCACATTTTTATATATTTAATAAATAAAAACAAAAAGATCCATTCCAACATAAAACAAATTATGCTCCTCCCATTTTATTAATCATTTTTTTTCAAATATCCCATTCCCATTGAAAAATGTTTATTTTTGATACATAGATAAGCGGTCCTTTTCTTGTGTTTTTTTTCAACATAAAAATAGAAATTGATAAACGTGCCCTTTACAAAAAATCTAATAGTGTTCTCCTATTTTCATTCACATGATAGAAATTGTTAGCTCCCAAATAAAAAAGCAAATTTGATAATGGTCCATAAAATCCGCCAATGAATAAAGTCCCAATTCAAAACAATTTGATTCCAGGTACAATTTTTATACAAAAATCTGAATTGAACCCAAAATAATTTTATCCAAGCATCCCAAATATTTCCTTTTTTGATAATGCTAGTTTTACAGTCCGATTAGGTATTTTTGTTGAAAAAATCACGCGGTTTCCTTTTACCATTCTGCCACAATCATTCGGGCTAATTGTTGAAAAAGCAGAACATTTTTCAGTTATTGAAATCAATACTCGTTACTTTCGTAAGCAAAACGGGACAAAATTGTTTATGAAAAAACAACAAAACAATCATCCGGAAAAACTTTATGACGTTCCAGTAAAAACAGTTTTTTTTGTGTTATATTTTAAAATGTTTCTTAATGTTAGCATATACTTGCGTTTCTTTTCCGATGATCTTTTCACCCTCTATTTGAAATATGATACATTTTCAGATAATTTCACATTTCTCATTTTATCTATTATCAGAATACCATTTTTATTCCATAGTCTGTCGCACTTCATTCGCATCATATTTCTTCATAAAATTATTTCTCACTGTTTCAAAACTATTTTTCAGACCTCATTGCTCTCTCAGAATGAGTTTGCTCTCATCTACGGATGATCTTGTAAAACAATATGCCAAAAAGTTGAAAAGAGACAAAGATGTTGAGAAAACTTTAAAACTTTTATCTACAACGACTGTTTCATTGGATGTTTTGAGAAAACACAATATCAAAAATCTGGTGAGAAAGTAAGTTTTGCCAAAATTAGTTTTAAAAATAGATGATTGGTTTTTATTTTCCAGATATTTGAAGGATCGTAATTTTAATATTAGATATCACGCCATAAAAGTGAAAAATATTCTGAAAAAACTGAAAGAGGAAGAGTAAGTGTTACTTTTCAATTCATATTCCTACGAAAAAATATATGTTTAAGAGAAACAAATGACAAAGATTTTGAGCTATATTGCAAGATAAAATCAGACCAAGAAGATTTGGGATTGGAGTTGAGCTCGGAAGATGAGGAAGAAATACAAGAGGAGCATGTAGAAAAGAACCGCAGACGAGAGAATGAGCCGCCAATAATTCCAGCGGTAATTTGAAAAAAATTGATTCGGGCTTAATCAAGAAAACAAATTATAGAAAAAAGTGCCAATTTTTTGCGACATGTTTGAAGCGAATGGTAAACCAAAGGGAAATGCTGAAAGAAAACGTTTGGATGAAATCAAACCGAAAAACCCTGATGCCATGACAGCTCCTTCATCACAAAAAAATCAGAAAAATAACAAAGATGGCGCGAAGAAAGAAACCGAGCAACAGGTTATACATAATCCCAAAATTGAGAAATGTATGTTTTTTTGAAAATGATAAATTCAAAAATCGAAAAAAAATTTCAGTCGATGAGGAGCAAATGTTCAAGCCTAGAAAAGATATCCAAAAAGTATTCGCGGGAAGAAAAAAGACTGTCGAAGAGATTTCTTCTCCTGAAAAATTAGATAACAGCTCTATGATGCGCAATCCAAATAAATGTGAGTTTGAAAAAAATCATGTTTCTACCACAATTTTCCTGACTCGATCAATAATTTCCTTTTACCAAATATATTAGTTTGAATATACGTCTCCTTCCTCTCACTAATTCTTTCTATATTTTCGACACTATCTCACCTACTTTACTTCTCTAACATTGTGTCCCCCTCTTTTCTTCATGGTTCCAATTATTTTATTTTAAAATAACTTAAAGATTTCCTTATTATTTTTTCCTATTTTCATCCGTTTTCGCGAGTAGGTTAGGTTTAGGTTTTATACTCGAGCAAAGAGGCATCACTGATGAGACCTACCTCTTTACCGTCTGATGTAAGCTTAACACGGCTCTTCTGCATCTTTCAATTTAATTCATTTCTTTTCCTATTTCTTATTTAGTTAATTTTTTTGAAAAAAATAACTGTTTTCCAAAGTCAATAATTTATAACACCCGGCGTTATTTCTAAACGGAGTCCTTGTTGCTTTATCAAAATTCATATGATCTGTTTCAGTGGTTCGCTGTTGCAGTGATGCTCCATCCAACCTTATTCGACCTGCTTCTGATAGTTTGAGCAATGAAAACAAAATATCTTTGATCAAACAAAACCCAAAGAACGAGGAAAACGATAGTGTCTTTGAGAAGATGACAAAGCAAAGTTTTCCACACGTTGAGCATCTTCCGAAAGAGTTTTCCCATTGGCGTGAATACTTTGCGAAATTGAAAAAAGAGAAACAAGAAGAGGAGAATGCAAAATTGGCAAAGTTGACTCAAAAAATTGCAAATAAAGCGTATGAGCGTTCTGATAATAAAAGAAAAACGGTCAGTTTCTCATTGAAATCATCAAAAATACCAATCTTTATAATTTATAGAAACTAATCGACGAAACTCATTTTTCAAAATTTGGTCGTCAAAAACAATCAAAACCTATCATGTCGTCTCCTCTCAAAATAATGCCTTCTGCAAAAACGGTCTCTGAAGCTAGAAAAGCTGTTGGAGGAGGAGATAGTTCCAAACTCAAAGCGTTACAACCAGCCGTCATTGGCAAATCTTTGAACTTTGGAGCTTCAAAATCGAAATTTACCTCAACATCTGGTAAAAGCAAAACAGTTGCACCACTCATGGCTAAATGCATGAAAATGGCTGGTCGTACCAAGTTGAAATAACTTCATGTTTTTTAAAATATTTTTTGAATGTTCTTTTCAAATATTTGGTTACTTGTTTCATCATTTCTACTTCTATTATTACACAACTTAAACTACCACGTGTTTTTTCTACCCCGAGTTTTTGTGTTTCTTTTTCAATACCGATTTTCATGAAAAATCCTTTTTAGAAAGTACTAATTGCAACATAATATCTCAATTGAGCCTAACTTATTTCTATCTCGCACTTCACCTTTAAATACACCCATTGTTTTTTCCTCTTTATGAACCATGTCTTTAATAGTTTTAATTCATATATTATATTCATCACTAAATATATACTATTCTAAATTAGTCTGCAAATATTTAAATATGATGAAAAAAACAATTTGAGATCACAAGGTCTGCAAAACTTTAACGGAAAATCTTTTTAAGAACCTACGGTGGTCATGTGCGATGGTTGTATACGCACATCAAGTTTTCATTGGAAAGTTTTTGAAAAACTCAAATTTTCGTTGTATCGTGCAGCTGAAGATGTTCTTTATTTTTTATTGAAATGATACAATTTAGAAAATTTGAATCAATAGCGCAAAAAAACATAAAAATTTCATGTTATATTCTCGAAAAAAAGTTTATTTGGTCAATTCCCAGTTTTCACTGTTTCAGAAGTTGATTTATTGGATGAACGCTGAAATAATTCATAAATTTTTTTATCCTCTCAAAACAATTTACTCACTAATCTATGCTTTATAACAGATTGAGTCATAATTCGAGTGCGATACTAAAAATTATCATTATTGGTTTTAGAAATTTATAGAAAAACTACCTTATGAATACATCCAGAATGACTCTTGATTCTTGGAATTTTGTTAGAGGAACTCTTTCTAGGGTTAACCATGATTGGAAAAAAGTTTCAAAATGATTTTTTTTTCAAAAAAGTACATGTATTGTTTATTGAACAATTGAACCAATATTTCTTTCTCTATGATTGTCTTGTAATTAAAAAATATTAGAAAATTATTCGATCCATCAACGAAAAGTAGACTTCAGAGAACAAAATCCTGTCCACTCAAATGACCAATTATTTCATTTTATTTTTTCTTAAATATCATTATTGCCATTTTATTTTTCATGGCGATCAAAGAAAAATTCAACTTCTTGTTTTGGTAGTCGTTTGGTTTTTGCAAATTTGAACGCAAGAAAAAAGTGATGGCATGTTGAATGTTGAAAATGAAAGCTTCCCATCTCATTGTTTGATTTTTGTATGTTAGAAGAACGAACGAAAATCTGAAAGAGAAACAACATTTTCCCTTTTCATAATCTCGAATGATGATCAAAATAAGATGGCCTGGATGACAATTGTTCCACCTCTAAATTGTCGTCCTCCTTCGCCTTCTTCCCTCCCATTTTCTTTTCATCCTCAAAATATCCAGTTCGGAAGCTGACTGACCTAGAAAATACCGTGAAATGTGAAGAGGAGAAAAACATTGGGGTCTACTTTCAATTATTGTTGCCTCCTCCTCTTTCATTTCTCCTCTATTTTCGGATGATTTTTTTGGAAACTTGTTTTTTTGTTGTGTGTTTTTTCTCTAGTCAAATGAATTGCATAACTCGTTTCGTTTCATTTCTTAGAAAAATCCTATATCTTATCATGAAACAAAAATCTGCCATAAGTACCTTTCTTCTATTTTTTTTAATTCAAGATGTGTAGCTTTTGTAGTTTCGTAGTTTATAAATATTTTCAGAATGGGTTCTACAGATCTCAAGGAGGAAGAAATTAATAATAATGTAGTTGAGCCATCGAAAAACTATGAGAGAAAACGAGAATTCAAAGAGAAGGTTTTTATTGAGCGAGAATCACTTCTAACGTGAGTTTTGGTGAATAATTTTCTGAAACACTGAATTTTTTCAGAACAGAGTTTCGAAATGGTAATATGAAAATTGTTTATAATTGGTTCACCGCTGTTTTCATTCTATTTTTCTTGCGAGCACTTGTCGATGATATTTTTGTACATAAAATGTAAGTTTTTCTTTTTTCCTTGTAAAGACTGTGCTTCAAATTAAAGAGTATGCTAATTTTGACCTATAAAAATACCACCAAAGATAATTGTTTTCAAACTCACTTATTTTAGGCCATTATATCATACTTGGCTAATATGGTGGAATTTCGAATCATTTTTTTCGACAATGTCCGTTTGGACAGGAATGTTCCTCTCTACAATTGGAATTTATTACGCTTTTCAAACTTGGGCAAATACTCCTTCAAAAACTGTTAACAAGGTAATCCAGACTTTTTTCCTAAAATTAAAAAGTATTGATTTTCAGTCATTATTCATCTTCGCCTACTTAACCTACCTCACAGCCTTTTTCTATTTCCCATTGAGATTTTTATATTTGGCAGAGCTCAAATGTGCGTGCTCATTTATCATCACTTGTGAAACGGTTAGTTAATTTTTCATCAGTTTTCCTTAAAATTAAAGAAAAAGTATACGGAAAAAGATGATCAAAGTAGACAAAAGAAAATATTTCAGACAAGAATTGCAATGAAAGTTCATTCTTTCATCCGAGAGAACTGGGATCGGGCTGTTTTGTTAAAAACTGGAAAAGAAGAAAATGTTCAATGGCCTAGCTTGGAACAGTTTTTGTATTATCAGTTCTGCCCATCATTCATTTATCGGGACGAATATCCAAGGTGCGTTTGGGGATTTATGGCTTTGGATAATGATAATTTTGAATAATCGAAAAAGGTTTAAAAATTCGTAAAATTCTACTTTGTCGCAAACTTTAGAATAATCATGGCCGAGAAATGTCGGAAACTCGGTCATCGATATAATTCAGCCATATTTTTTTTCCAACGTTTTCAAATTTTTGCACTTTTTTTGCAGAACAACCTTTTTTCTTGCTAGGATATTTTAATAATGATTTCGCTCTTATAGTATAGCTGATTCCAAACCAATCATAAATTTGAATAAATCACCTTTCCTAACCACCAATGTTTTTCAGAACCGAAAAACGTGATTTGCGAGCTGCAGGACTCTATTTCTTGGAATGTCTCCTTATCATTGAATTTGTAAATCTCGTCTTCACCCAATGGGTTTTCCCATGGTTACACATCCAAGAATACCATAGTTTGGGACTTTCAACGATTATCTTATCAGTTTTCACCGGAATCATCCCTGGAATTTTGTGTTTATTATGTTTGTTTTATGGTTTACTGCATTGTTGGCTTAATTGTTTTTCGGAACTTATGCAATTTGCTGATCGACAATTCTATTTGGTGAGTGGATTTAGCTTTTTCCATTATCATGCGATCAATTTTCAGAATTGGTGGAACTCTTCAAACATGGCGGAATACTATAGAAATTGGAACTTGGTAGTTCATGATTGGCTATATGCTTATGTTTTCCGAGATCTTTCAAGTTGTATCAAAGGAAAAGGTGGTCCAAAGAAAGCGCAAATGGCTGTATTTTTCTTGTCAGCAGTTTTTCATGAATACTGGTTAGTTATTTACTGAAATATTGAAATATAAAATTTGAGCTCACAAAACTGATGTGATGAATTTTTTAGGTTTGGAGTTGCGTTCCGAGTATTTTACCCGGTCATGTTTATTCTATATTTCATTTTTGGTGGTGTTTTCTTCGCAGTTTCTCGAATGATTACAAATCGATCTGCATGGAACACAGCTCTTTGGTTTAATTTATTGATTGGTACTGGTATGTTCATTTCATTTTATGGGCAAGAATGGTATGCTCGAAGAGGACATTGTGAACCATATTCAAATGTGATTATTGATTCAATACTTCCTCGGCATTGGAATTGTCGGGTTTGAAAGAAAATTCAAAAAAATATCGAAATAGTTTATAATAAATTCTTTTAAAAATATTTGTTTCAAAGCAAAAATACAAGAAAAATTGTTCGATGTTCTACAAAGCTTGACACGTATCGCAACTATTTACAAGAAAAAAACAGAGAAAAAAAAAAAGAGTTACAGTAGTTTATAATTTAGAGCTCTCTTTGGTTGCTTTATTGATAACTGATCGCATATCCATCAAAGCTTTGCTGAGCTCTTTGGAGAATTTTTTTGAACTTGTTGAACCGTATGATTTGAATGTTGAGATTGTGAAATGTAATTCGGTTTCTTGGGGATTATAACAAATTCCATAGCAATCTAAGGCGGATGGTCCGAAGCACATTTGAATGAAATGGCGGGTTGGAACTTGACTTGTTGAGACTTGGAAATGAGTTAGTTGTTGATAAGCATTTGATCCATATAATTCAGGAGTTGGAAGATTGTTTTCGACAGCAATCATTTTCCAGGCGAGCAAATGTCTATCCATTCCAGAGCCATTCATACAATCAAGCTGAAAAATTGTGAATTTTCGGAATAAACAGAAACATAAAGTTCAGTATTTTTTCAAAAAAATCTTGACTTACCGTATATTTCTTATGTTGATTGGCTGCGTGAACCAGAGCATCGTAGATCTCACTGACAGGTTTTGGAGGCTTCGAAACCATTTTCTTGACAAATGTAGCTGTGGCAGTATTTGGTGATCGGATGTTCTCAGTTCGACCTTCAGTAAACTTCCGGAGAGTTGCAGTTTCATATGTTGGTGGTACTGAAAATCATTAAAATAGTTCTTCACATCAATTTTGAAACTCACATGATGAATGAATTCTGTGGAATGCAAGTTGATATGCCAATTGGATGAATGAATCGGGTGAAATCTTGGCAGATTTAGGGAAATTTTTACCATATCCCTTGAAGGTGTATGCCAAAATATCAAGATCGGCAGCAATTCTATCCATAGCATCAGAACTTTTCTTGATACGTTGATTAATTTCATCATCTGTTTTCAAATCTAATTTCTCAACTTGTTCACTCGCATTACTTCCAGATGTGGTGAATGTATTTCCTTGGAATTGATCACAAATAAAATCCATAAGTGCAGCAACTGGTGGTCCCTCAGCTGGTGTATGTTCATAAGTCATTCCAGTATATCCATTAGTTCCAATCACAAATTGAATAGTTTTATCAAACCATCTGTTAGTTGCGTTAACTTTAGCCCCTCCACCATGCAACGCTTGTCTACTTTGCTCATCTTTTTCAGTATATCCAGCTGGTGGATCACTTGGTTTATCAAGGCATACAGCAAATAACGATTTTTCAATGGTTTCTAGATTTTTAGCGTTTGTTGAGTCTTCTGGAAAAAAGATCAGAGAAATATAATTTGATCTATCAAATATTTTTCTTACTTTTAAGGGATGTGTACACTCTTGCCCATTTATCTCTACCATCAGATGACACAATTCCAACGGGTGTTGGGTTTTGTGTCGCACTTTCCGCCACGACTTTAGACAATTGTTCGATGATTGCATTGATTGGGAGAACTTGGTCGTTTTGGTCGAGAATTTGGACACGGAATAACTGAAAAAGTGGAGCTAATATTGAAAATTATGTTTTTTGTTAAAGGAGTGGTTTTGAAAGAAAATTGCGATCAGTTCATAAAATTGAACAGAAAAAATTGGGGGCTGTAAAGTTTTAGACAGTATTTATATTGATTTTGAAAATGTTTTCTTGTCAATCAAAAATAAATTACTTACATGTCCGTTTCGAATAACAACAATATGTCTCAATTGTTCTTTATAATCACATCCATATTTAATTTGATCAACATTCAATTGTGGTACTCGAGTTGTTCCAAACAAAAATTTATATTGACTCATATCCAACGGCGCTCCTCCCGCCACATCTTGTTTCAGTTGCTCATTTTTTGCAAGAAGATAGAACTTTGTTGCAGCTTGCGCAATTTTTGCCGCATATTCGATTTGACCTTCTGGTGTATTGAATTCGAATTTTGGGAACATGACACCTGGAGATGTGACAACTGGAAGAGGTGTGCGAGCAGCTAGATAAGCTACATTTAACCACCATGGTGTTAACTGCAAAAAATAAATTGTTGGAAAAAAAACAAATTAATTTTGCAAAGAAGCCTCACCCAATTAGGCAATTGTTCAGCTCTTTTTTGAAGAAGCTCTTGAAGACGAGGCAAATCATTTTCCACAAATTTTTGAACGACCTAAAAGAGAACATGACTAATGGAAAAAGAAAGAATGGACTCACTTTTTTGGTTTCCTCAAAATCTTGTTTGTCCTGAACCGCTTGCGAATAATCGAGGAAATGTTTGAGGGTTTTGACTGGCTGTGGAGCAGGAAGATGAGGGAGATCTGAAATTACTTTCGATTTTTTAAAAAGAAAACAGGGCTAAAGATTTACTAGGTTACCTTGTTTATACGCCGGTGTTGTGGCACTTATAGTTCTTGTCATAATTTGCTGAAAAATGAAAAATAAATATCATAATCATAAAAAAATAAAAACAGTAACAAAAGGGTGAATTTCGGCAACACTTTGTAATGAAAAAACCTTATCATTTGTGTGTAGCGACTACACTATAATGTGGCCTTTTTTATTTGAAAAAAATTGTTTGTGTGTTTTCTGATTCCGGAAAAACAAACATGTTTTCAAACTTGAAACTAACCGTAATTTGTGGACGTAAAGCAGTAAGATACCTCATTTTCAAACAGAACCACGTGACTTCTGAAAAACCTCAAAAAATTCTCTGTTACAGAGAACAACAAAGATATTCTTTTGACAAATAAAGAGAGGGAGAACTAACTAGTGACTAGGAAATGAGTGGAGAATTAGAGACATTGGGGGAGTGAAATAGTATGTGAGAGAGATAAACAACAAGAACAACAAAAATACCAAGAGAGAGCGAGAAAATTGAGGATGGGAGTAGAGGACCATCAAGTTTGAAATGGAACCATGAAGGACCTTTTTGAAAAAAAAAAGAAAGAGCAACACAAAAGCAAACTGATTTGATTTATGTGCTTATTTTTTTGAAAAACATTGAAAAATAAAAAGTTCTTCGTTGTTGTAATTCATCACCCCAAAACGTTTTTTAAAAAATCCGAAAGTGAAAGATTCAGAGAATAACATTTTTAATCTACTAGAAAAAAAAACAAACACAGTGGGAAAAATCTTCATTATCATCTGTCCAAAAATATTTATAGTTAGAAAAAAAGTGATTTCCTTCAATTTTTATACTTATAGATAGATCTATATATTTTTGGGAATGCCCTTTCAACCAGTTTAGACAACAACAAGAAAAGTACACAAAAATGGTAACAAACAGACAGCAAAAAAAACGTGGACATATTGATAAAGAAATTGTTTTTGTGTAGTGATGTAAGAAGCTCTATAGATTGATAAGATTTTGTTTTGGTCCGAAACCAAACAATTTTTTTCTGTTTTTTTTAGCGTGAGATGGAAAAAATGAGAGATGGAAGCAGACTAAATTCATATTTTATGAGCAGCAGATGTCAACACAAAGTGAGAAAGATGAACGGATATAAATAAATTGATTGTTTTTAATACAAACCCAAACACGTTTTATCGTATTTTCGAATATTTTCTACAAAAATTTGAGTCGAGAAAGAGTCGTATGTATAAAACAAAATAAATCGAGAAAAACATAATATGAGGATGTGATATTTTCCGGTTGGAGAGAGTAAAGATTTACGAGATTTCCTGCTTGAAAAAGAACACGTATAATTATGAATAATAAAGGGGTTTGATATTTTCGAAATTTTCATAGAAACGCTTGATGTCTAATTATATAGAAATAGAGAGTTGAGTGGGAAATAAAGATGTTTGAGCAAAATGATGAATTTGTTCCAATTAGTGAAGCCTTGCTTGATTTCCGAGGGAATCACGTCATTTTTTAGTTGGTCAATGATTCGATTGAAGGCAATTCAAACAATTTCAAAAATCAAAATTTTCTTTACAAAATTAAGGCACATTGCCAGCTTCAATTTCTCATTCTGAAAAACTGCAATAATCAATTGTCATTATTTCCAATATTCTCTTATGTAGAGCTATTCCAATCTTCGAAAAACCACTTCTTTATTTTTTGCGAAAATGATAATTTTCTTTCTTTTTTCAATACCTTCCATCACAGTTTTCAAATGTTACAGCAGTCCATTTCAACCAAATAATATAAATTATATCAATAACACTGTTTTTTTCATGTCTGAATATCGAAAAAAAACATTTTTTCTTTCAAAGTTCTCCGCTGTCAAATTTTCGTTTTCCTCACAACTAGTCGTCTCACAGGGACGAGGACAAACGCGCCCCATCGCACATATTTGTTCGCAGAGAGATGTTGCTAATTGTAAGGAGTATGATTTTGTTTCTGTTACGCTTCACGACAGAGACGTTTACAATTAATTTGAATGAAGGCAAGGATTTGGTGTAGATATGGTTCATTAAAAAACACACAAACAGGAAAAAGAATGGGTAAATTGACCAGATATATAGAATTGAAAAATAATGTTTATGTTTTACATAATATCTTTTTTGTTTCAGTGATTAGGCTCTTACAGGTTGTTAGTAATTTATTTTAATAAGGTAGCCTCATAACAATTTCAGGATAACAAAAAGATTTAAAATATCGACTATTCTCAACAATATCAATAGTTTTCTCCATTGTTAACTTAGAATCATCAAGCTTTGGCATTTTCTAGATGTATTGAGGTCTCACGTTGTTCAATTTCCAACCAAAAGTTTGTTTTGTTCCGTGTCTCACAGAAATGTTTGGTTTGTCGAAATTTCCCGTAATAGAGTTTTTCCATGAACTCTTGAACTTTTTTTTTCGGTAAGAATTGTATTCTCCATAACCTATATTTTACTACATCTTTAACATGGCTGATAAAATACAAATAGAGAAATGAATCATGAGATGTCACAATTCCGAATGCCCTTTGTTATTTATTCAACTTTCTCTGAGTATTTGTACAAGATGACTCATCAAAAATCCAAAAAAACGTTGTTTCAAATTTAATTTCATAACATCTATAAACTATCAATCAAATATGCAATATGACACTTTTACAACTGTTCAAAAATAGTTGCATTCACATGATAACCAATTTTACGTGTCAGCAAAATAATCCCAAAAAAAGTTGTCTTATCTGATGATTAATGTGACATAGATGGCGGAATGTTCAAATATTGAAACGCTATAAAAGGCAAGGCAGCCATTTCATTCCAACTTGTGTACACATTTGAAAAAAATCAAATCAAACCATGCACGTTATCAACAACCCTGTAAGTTTTGCTTTTTCAACGAATTTGGTTTGATGTTTGATTTTTACAGCAAATTCCAAGTGCTCACGCAATCCGTGAAACATTGAGAGCTGGAAGTGAGATCACTGTTCGAGGACACGTCACTCATGATCATCACAAGTAAGATTTCCCAGAATATTTTATGAATATAATTCAAAATTTTTCAGAGATTTCGCTGTTGAATTATTGTCTGGACCACATATAGTTCTCCACGTCAATTTCCGTTTTGAACACGAGCACATTGTTGTTGTCAACACTTCAGTTGCTGGACAATGGGGAGCTGAAATTCGTCACCATAATCCATTGAAACACCACGATCATTTTACTTTGGCAATTCATATTCACCAAGATTACTACCAAGTAAGTTTGCGGAAGAAAAACACAAAAGGAAAAACAAGCAATCCGAAATTTGATTGTTTTTCCTATCCTGAGTAATCAAATCAGAAAAATTCTACAAATTTTCTTTTTTTTTAGATTTCTGTCAATGGTGAACATTTGTTCGATTTCCCACATCGTCTTCCAGTCGAATCAGTCCAAGCAATCGGATTCCAAGGTCACGCTCACGTTGATGAAGTGTCATTCACTGGATTCGATTTTGGAGTTGACTGGAATGCTCCACACGATTTTGGACATGGTGGATATCATTCATATGGAACTGAATCATATGTTGCACCAGCTTTTCATGAGTCACACTCATATAATGCATATTTTTAATTCTCCTCATCAGTTTTTAATCGACCAACCAAACTAACTTTTTTCTTTTTTTCAATTATTCATAAAGATGTTTGATGCACTTTAAATGGTTTTTCTCATTAGCTTTGTGTGTCTGTCTGTCTGTAGGCTTAATTTCTCATTCTGAAAAACTGCAACTGAAAATTATATATACATATGTAACCCGTAATATAATCCGTGTTTCTTTTTTTTGCTGTTTCTGAAAGTTCACATCTCACATCTCTAATTGGTTTTTTTTCCGTCTATGCTGGTAAACAAGTCTTTGTGGCAGAGCAGAAGGAAAATTGTACAAATTTTATTGAGCAATTTGGTCAAGTTCTTCTTCTTCTTCCTTCTATTTTTTTGGCGGGGCAAAAAATTCAAACTTTTCTTTTTTCTTTTCCGGCTCGTATTTTATTGGCTCATTTTTTTGTGTTGTGAGATTTCTGAAAATTATGAAAACTAGAATAAAATTCCTATCATTATGAAAAAAATTTGCAGGAAATAGGAGGAGAGAAAATAATTCATCTCGGAACAAGGAAATGAAAAAATTTCTCGGTGATTTTTGCATTTTCAATAGAATTCTTGAAAGAGCCCATAAATTTTAACACAAACCTATAAACCTTTAAATTTTCGAATTTTTCGGTTGAATTCTTGAACTGTTCTTATTGTTCGAACATTCAAACATACATAGTTAGTACAAGTACAAAAGAGCATACTGGTTGCAAAACAAATATAATCCAATAGATGGTTTTTGATATTTTTTTGACCCGAATCAGTCAAATATAGTGTGGCAAAAAGCAAAAACTAAACAAACTTTGAGCTAAAAATTTGTTCAATAGTTTCTATATATATCTCTGACCCTAGAGTTCTCTTATTATTTTATACTCCACATAAGAAATAAAAAGATTGATATAAAATTCATACCTAAATTTTTTCCTTCTCTTATTTTCTCCTTTTTTCTTCTCCTTATTCATTTTTTCTTGCTTCTCACTCATTCTTCGTTCACTTCACGGCAAAAGGCTCTCCCATATAAAAAATGAATAAATGCGAAAAAGCTTAAGTGCCATTGAAATCCGTATATTCACATCATTTTTTTTTTCTGATCACTGGACAAGTATTTGAGAATTCCTGAAGACGAAGAAAAAGACGTCGCACTTCGCTTAAATTGTCTTGAATTTTGAGAAATATTGAATTTCTTTTGATGGTTATTCTCGAATTTCGTTTGTTCTGTTCTTCTATTTTCAATTTTCGTTGTTTCAAAAAATGATTTTGTTTCACCAATGATCATTATTACATATCTTTTGGATTTTTTTGTTGTCATTTTCAGAAATTTTTTTTGGAATTCCTATAAATTGTAGAACATGACTCCTAGTCCCCAAAACAAAATATATTATATATCTTTGGCAGAACGTTTTGTGATCTGTGATCATTTTTCGAAGCACTTTTTGATGTTGAAAAAAAGTCCCTGAATGTATTTGAAGTATAAGAAAATACATAGATGTTCTGTTCTACTATTCACCTACTGTTTCGTCACTAGCGTACTCTCTGACCTTTTTTAATCCAAGTTTTTTAATCAAAGCTCTCCTAATTGCTGTTTCAAACAACACATTTTTCCTCACTCATCTATCTTGTTTTTTTTGCTTCTCCTCAAATAATTACTTGTTTTTTTTTACTTATTCGCTTTTTTTCTTATTTATAAATAATGGTCCTAATTTATTTCAACTTGAAAAATAACTCATCCACTTGACTTAATCTCGAAGCTTTCAAAAAATTGACACGATGAATAATTTATTAGCAGCTTTTATTCGAACATTTTTTGGGTTTTTTCTTTCTGCTTTTTTTTTATTTTCCTCTTCGACTTTTTTATTTCTTTCATTTTTCAGCACATGCAAATATTATGATTTGAGAGACAAAAAGCATAATGATCTATTTGTTTATCGGATTTCTTGCTCCAGCAATTTTATTCCTTATTCTTGGCCTTTTTGCATGTCTTCGAAAAACGACTAGATTTGACGATAAAGATTACCAGTCAATTCATTCAAATGATGAAAATAATGTGTATGTTTATGTTTTTATCTGATTTATAGAAAATATGTTGGGTTGAAATTCCAAATTCTGAAGAAAAAAATTTTCAGACGTATTCGTATGCCATCGCCAGCAGTCAGCGATGCTTCAAGCTATCAAATGATTTATGAAAATCCACATTTTATTGAATACAAACGTCCGCCAAGTTATCAGGAAGCTTTACGTCAAAAATCATGGTACCTCATTTTTTTTACAATTTTTTTCTTCAAAATACTGTGATTTTCAGTAACTCCAGTAGCCGCCATTTGCCTCCAAATCGTCCCAAAATTTTGGAGCAACCAGTCACACCTCAACAGTCATATATCGTGTATTAATAAAATGTTCACACACAATAATATTATTACTTTCCTTGATTTTTTTTTGAAATGAAGATTTCCAAGACTCATTTATGATATTGAAAAAAAAAACATGAAGCTGATTATAAACTTTCAAATAAAAAATAAAGCGAAAAAAATTTAGAATGGAGTTTGTTTTCTTGTGGCGATGTAGGATTTGATGTTTGGATGATTGAAGACACGGTTGATCAAAGCCTAAATTAAAAATTGAAATGATGAATTATTCATATTCATAGTTAAATAGTTTTCTCTCACCAAAATATGTGGATATGCATCCAAAGCATCTGGGCTTCCATAATCGATAAGTTTGGCAAAACTTTCAGCAGCAAACACATCGACCCAAGTTTCACGATCACCTTGGAACAAACCATTGTTTCCATTATCCAAAAGGAATTTTTCCACAAGTGGAGCGTATTTTTCAATTTCTGGCACAACTTCAGTTTTGAAAATGTGGGTCTTGTCTCCGCCGATCAATCCCAAGCTGACTTTTGGGAAATTGGCAAAGCCGCTTGAGTTTGTCATTTCTTGAATGACGTCAGCGATCATATCAAGACGAGCACATTCAACGGCGTTGGTTCCAGCGCGGTCTTGAAAGTAAATTTAAAGATAAGTAGAGAAATGAATTATTAGAGCCATTTTTTAATTGCTTATTATGCTTTAGAAACTCTATCCTGTTTTTATTCCAATTTAAAAGTTTTCCATAGGCGAATTTGAAGACACCTCTCATACCCTTCGTCACTCACGGAATTGATGTCCCAGATATCTTGCGATGGCAGTGGTTTGTCCGATCTTGACACCATCAATATCGAGAACTGGGATTTGTCCCAAAGGCATTTCTGAAAAAACCAAACAATATATGTTTTTTAATTCGAGTCGTCATTTCAACTTACGTGGCTTCAAAGCTCCCCAAGTTTCGAAAGTGACACGTTCATCGGTGAATTGTTCTCCAGCAAGATGGAAAAGAAGACGAATGACTTCACCACGTCCACGGAAATCAAAATAGTAGAATTTGAAGCTTGGCATTTTCTGGAAAAAAAAGAAAATAATAGAATTAGATTGGCTACGAGAAAATAGAGAAATGACACGAAAAATTGATAAGAAGTGTGTGTATTACACGACAACGAGGGTAACAGAAAAATTATATATGGCAAAATACTTTCCGTTTTGTGTTGTGTGAAACAAACAACTAACCGGTTGATATAATCCATATGCAAAACCAAAAAATGATCAACAGTTTCAGTTTTCGATGTGAACAGACAGAAAGGCGTTAAAAAAACAACTAAACATACTTTAGTTAAAAATGAATGTGTTTTTATATAGAAATTTTGAGGTAAAAATTTAGGTCAATTTACCACAAAGGCAGGCGCCACAAACAAAAAAAGTAATAAGATTAGATGAAGGAGGTGAAATAATGCAAGGACGATTGGGTCATACTAGAGTATAGTTAGGTTAGGGACCAAAGAGATGAAGATATATACTTGTGTAAACAAAGAAAAACTTGGTATCAACATGTTTTTCTATTTTTATGAATGATTTTTTGAACATTTGAGAATAAGATATTAAAAAACAATCTCGATCAAATTCATAAACAATTCGATTGTTTTGACAATATAAAAATAGTGAATCAAGTGGTTTTCACCATTTTCAAAGACCAAAACAAAGAAAAGATATGTCAAGGGTTCAGAAACGATTTTCACTATTCAAATTTGATTCATTGAACATATTGTTCATTAGTTAGTCAGGTAAATTATAATGAAAAAACTTTTATTTATTTTCTGCTCCTTCTGTATCAATTCATCTCTACAATGTGTTGCGACACAATCTTCTAGTGAGTTTTTGTGAAAAATTTTTAAATCAAGAAAATATATAATATTTGTATTCGAAATGGAATGCTCTTATATACTATGCTATCAATAAAATGATGATATTTGATAGAAAAATGGTGATTTGCACTGTTTGAAGTGTGAAATGATGACAATGCTTTTTTCTAAATATTTGAAAACTTTGATTGAATAAAGAAAAAAACTTTAAGTTTTGGTAGGTAAACATTATGAAATGTTCTTGTGTTTTTATAGTAGACTCAATTAATTTCACTTGACTTTTGGACTGGAATTATTTTTTCTCTGTACATAATTGCATTTCACACATTTGAAAATAAAAATACTTAATTTTGTTAAGTGGAAAATTTAGACAAACGAGTTTTCTGGAAATAAACTGTACATAAATAAAACAAATGTTTTTTGGAAATTGAAAAATAGGAATTTGCAGCAACACTTTCAACAACAACAGCAACAAGTTTGTGATTTTTTTAAAATTATTTTTTGAAACTTTTTTAACAAGGGGGTGTTGGTCATATTTTACTTGTTTCTTATCACTTACAAGAAAATTGGTTTTAGAAAACTTACTAAACCCTATATTTACAAATATAACTTCCTATTCTTGAAATTTCCTGAAACGTTTTCCAGCTACAACTGCAAACCCTTGTACCACATGTACAGCTTCATTGATTACTCTAACAACTGGAAATGATGGTGATACGGTATGACGAAAAACATTTTGATTTAATATTAAAAAAGATAAAAATCATTCCAGCCATCTTCATATTCAACTTCAACAAATGCGGATGGTTGTGAAACAATAACTTACACTTGCCAAGGAACTCCTGTCAACACTGATGACCCAGTTTTGTTCACCGTAGGTTTATTTTAGAATTTCTCAAATAATTAAATTAAAATTTGCAGTTCTACAGTAACTCAGCAGATCCTCGTGATGTTGGAACAGCCTCTGGAACAGGAACTATTTCTCAAACGTTTACTTGCGTTGATGGACATTGGGAATTAGATGGAGTTGAGATTAATGAAGTGGAATGTCAAGTTATCACATAATCAAAAAACCACAACTAATAAAAAACATCGGAATTCGAGTAATAACTTTTATAAAGCTATAATTTATGCAAAACATAATGAAGAATAAAATTATTTTCAAGAAAAAAACAGAATTATCAAATAAATGTTAGGTTATCCTTTGACCAAAATACTCTGCCCATTGCTTCTCGTGGTTGCATTAAACGCGGAGAATTCTGAAAAGTGTCTGGATTTCGAAATAGAATCAAGTTTCTCAACACTATAAAATTTCACCTCTTTGAACTTTAGAACTGGTGATTTTGGTGGTTCTTCATCTTTTTTCAATACAGTAAGTGTTTCTATAGGTGTAGTTGTTTCATCCTCGGAAAGTGCCGATTTTCGAGAATTTGCAGCTGCATTACATGAGCACATACATTGACCATTTATAACAGCTCCAGGAGTATCAAAAACTATTCTAGCTGGAGCAACTTGTTCCTGAATGGTTTCTGATGAAGCAGCATCTAAACTACTGCTCATCTCAATCACCATTGATGGTGCATGTGAACCTTTTGATTTTACACACTGCAAAATTGATGATTGAATATCATTATCGTATTGTTCTCTAACTCCACATAAACATGAACGAAGTCTTGATTTATCACGCAATCGACAAACTGATTGAGTTCGAATTCTGTAACAAAATTAAAACTTTGTGAATTTATTTTTAAAATGTGAATAGGAAATTACTCACGTTTGAACACAATTTCTAATAGCATAATCTCGATTATAGACAAGTTGGACATATTGAGAATTCAAGTCTAAAGCTTCACGATAACACTTGAGTTCATCTTCATCAAGCATACAAGAGCCAGTGATATTGTTACTGAAAGTTTTTTAATTGAATCTGAAATTTACATTTATGTAGCATACGTTTTAGGATCTGAAGTTCTAGCCATTCGATTGATTCCACTTCCAAATAGACGGAGTGCTGGATTCTGAAGTAAAGTTATGAATATTCATTCTGTCCAAATATACCAAACCTTATGTCCACATACACCAAGAGTGTCTAAACTTGGGCGAGTAATTGTCAATTCTGGAAGACCCCACAATCTATCAGCCAAATCAAATTGATATATAGCTCGCGCATAACTAGCATCTTCATCAAGAAGTGTTGGTCCGAAAAAGTTACGTTTTGGAACAAAAGGTGATTTTACAAAACATTGATCAAGAGATGATCGATATTTTACAGCTTTTTCAGTAAAGAATTTTTCCAAAGTATCTTCGACTACTTTTGATGTTGTATCTCCATCATTTGTTGGTGATGATAATGAAGATGAATGTGTTGCAGAAACTGATGAATCATAACATTCATCAAATATCTTTTTTTCAGTATGACAAGATGGTCGTCTAACACATTGCTTAAAAGCAGCTTCTTTGAATTGCAAAATTTGTTCAGTTATATCAGCAGCTGATTTGGCACATTGTTGCAGTAAATCAGCACAATAAAATTGCCCAGATACCTTAACCAGATCAATTAAATTATTGAAGTCAATAAGAAACTGTAGAACTAACCACTGAATATGTTATGGAAAATAGAAAAAGCAGAGAGATAAATTGCATCGAAATACAATTCTAATTCAAAATGAGAAAAATGAATAAACTAATTTTTTTATTTGAGATATTTGAATAGTCACGCCGTGTGTATCCTCTTCAGAAAAATATGGGAAGGAATTACTAGTTTCGAAATGATGAATAATGCACTTGTACTTCCAAGTAAAGGTCGTTCAATGGCAGAGACACAAACTTATGTATTTACAACAAAAAAATGAGAATTAATAAATAAACAAGAATTATGAATGATAGTTTTTAAATGTTGATTTTTTAAAGGTTGAATCAAAGTAATTAGGATTTAACAACAATTTCTTGAATCATGTCGACGATGTGGTTGCTCATCAAGATTGACATTTCCTTCCCTACTGAGATACGGGATCTCGTATTGTCCTCCTTGTTCAGTTGAGATAATCTGGAATAATTATTGAAATGCTTTCATTTCAACAGAAAATAGAAATAGTTACCGTGTGCGCCAAACACTTGAATGCATCATCAATTCCAACATTTTCTTTTGCTGAACTTTTGAAAGATCCGACAAATCCATTAGCACTCTCCAATTCATACATCTTCTCATCGGTGAATTGACTATCCACGTCACACTGAAAAATAACAATTTGTTTCGAAGACACATTTGAACGAAAATAAATAAAAACCTTGTTGGCTAGAAGAATAGCTGGAACTGGTGAACCATCAGCAAGAGTGACTTTTTGATCCAAATCTGATTTCCATCTCAAAGCGCCTTCAATTGTTCTTTCTCTGGAAACAATACTTTTTTCCTTGAAATTTAGTCTTTTTCTCTACCTGGTTGAATCCAAAACAATAATTGCAGCATGTGCATCTTTGTAGTAGACACGAGTCATAACACCATACCGATCTTGTCCTGGAAAAATGAAAATTATCAGTGTTGGAGAATTGTAGTTTTTTTTAAATGAGGAAGTAAAGACTTGGGTATTGTTTTCCAATTATATTATTACAATTTTGTAATTTTTAAAATACCCCCATTTCAAAAAATCACAACCATAAAGTCATCATTTTTTTCAGATCACAAAAAGTTCAGAACTAGTTTGTGATAAAGCAATGTAGTTTCTGATAAAACAATGTACTTCAAAATTATAACCGAACATCTTGAACACAATTTTTTGCTCTCCTTCAGTTTCACCTCTGACAGTTTGTCAATCATCACATTTTGGTTTTACAAACAAACAAACAGACACGCCAAAATTTGAACAAGCAAGAAGTACTCGAATTCGTCTTATAACAGTTGAAAACCGGAATCGTTTACTATTTCCAACTTATATTATAATAAATATACAGCATGCATGCAGAAGAGGAAAAAAATTAGTTGCGGGTGTGCGCGCGCGACCGCGCACAGATCAGAGAGGAGCAAAAAGTTGAAGGAGGCAAAAAAAAAAAGAATGGGAAGAGGTGGAGAAGTAAATATACTACAACATGGATGTCATTTTCGATATGTTTGTATATATGTTTACACGCGTTTACAGGCAAAAATTAACCGGTTGATTTTTATGTGACTTTTTCTTCACCCTTCAATTTCTACATATTTTAATTTATTCATTGAAGGTTTTTCCTTTTCTAACATGTTTGGGTAAACGTGATCTCAAAATGGTTTTTTTCACTTTCTTTTCTCTTTTTTTTTTGTTCTAAACAAAAAATTATTGCCGCTGATGTTTTCATTAGTAAGATATTTGCTCAACACTTTTCGAACTACTTTTTGGCATACTACTACTATGTTCTTACCTTAAAAATTTCGACATCCCAGAAAACACTAAAAATACACGTGCGAAAATGTAATTCAATACCCGGTTTTTTGAACCTTTCTAAAAAAAGGCAACATGTAGTATATTTTTAATATTTTTTTCTGGTTTATGATTCTCTACTCTGGTGATTCTTGAAAAAAGCACACGCTTCAAGAACATGCTTTACTATAAATGGCGGAACTATTTTTTTCCTCATTTTCTCATAATTTCATATGTGTTCTGTTTATTTTGCACGTCTCGCCATTGTTTTAGATCAAAGTTTTCACCGTAAATCGCCAATAAGACTATTGTCATTTTGAAACTATTTTTTTCTTCTTCTTCTTCGTTTTTCGCATGCGCGCGCCATTACTTTTTTCACCGTAATTCTTGCCAATTGTTTATAATTGTGCTGGCTGGGTTTTATTCTTTCACAAATGTTAGGTTTACCTGTTTAATGACTTTTGAAAGTTGCATTTTCGATTTAACCTCAAGTTTTCAATTTTTTGTATTGTGAATTTTTTTTTAAATATTTTATTTGACCAACGTTTGTTGAGCTCAGGTTCTAGTCATTTTCCGGTCAATGAGCCAACTTGGATCATTTTTTCGCACCTTTTGAGACTCTGAAGTTCCAAACGCAAATTGTTTAATTTGACAAAAAAAGTTAGAGATTTTGAGCAAAACATTTGATCTACTTTCAAAAATTGAATCTCAAATCCTTTCAAAACTTAATTCCAGATTAGTCTTTGCTCCTTTTTTTCCCTACACACTACGATCTACTTTGTACATACTGTTGTCATTCCTTATTTCTCTCCCCGCTCATCTTCAACAAAAGTGCATATCTCTTCTCGAATCACAATCGCTAAATATACCAATATGTTCCATGCGTCAAAAAAACGGCATAACGCGCACAAAAATCACGCGGCGGTGAAAAAACGCAAGAAGAAAGAGAAAGAAGAAAAAAAACTAGAAGTAATGAAGGTAAACAAAAAAGAAGAAGAAGAAGCCCGACATACACAACCTGACATACAAACATTTTTGTCGCGAGTCTGCTGAAGTTGAAGCTTATCAAAAAATCTATGCATGCGTGTATTTGTCTTTTGGGTTAAATGATCTCCTCACTTTGAAAGTCGTTTCATTTGTTCCATGTTTCTTCTTTGTTGTTACATATGTTTTTGTGAAACAAATTTTTCTAGTGTGTCTTTTGTAATTGTGAAGAATCAGAAGAATACTCATCTTCTTCCCATGTTCTGAAAATCTAGCTTCAAACATCCAAAGATTTAAATTGAAAAAATACGTATATTTATTCAAAATTTGCGATATTTGCACTATAATCTATCAAAAAATGTTGATATCCCGATCTATTTTATTTGCCCTCATTAGCTATACAATTTTTTTCCACACAAGAAAAAAATCTCGAACTCCAAGATTTTTGCCTTCGTTTTTTTCACACATGGTTGGGTTATGTATATTTGTCTACTCGATCCAATGACATTGTTTTCACTACGATTTTTTTGATCCGAACAAATAAAAGAAACAAACTCTCTTGCCTTTTTTAGAGAACAGGCAGGACGGGGGGCTCCACTATTCTATTCAATTTATTCTAAACATACATATATATGTATCGACTATTGTTGATCTATTTTGCACCTCGTTTTTTTGTTGTTCACCCCTTTTTTGCTCGTTTGTTGTTATTCTTTTTGCCTTTTAACTTAAGAATTCTTATTTATTGATCTATAATAATTTACAGTAATCTCCAACCGGAAACCAACCCAAATTAAATTACAAACAAGAAAAACACCACCTACTGTAATATGAGCGCACGCTCGGCATTTTTGTGTCAAATACAGGTACAGTACTTGAAAATTAATTTTCAAATAGTATATTTTAATTCAGGTGTGTAATGTATTTCTAATTGTCTCTGGATTATTGGCCGTCGGCTTAGCTGGAAGTCAATTTTCAAAAGTTGGATTAGAAAATTATCGTGATATTGATTTTCGATTGCTCAATTTCATTCATGTTGTAACCGGTGTCATTGGTGAGTCGTTCTTGTCTGTTTTGTTGCTCAAAAACTTGTTTTCTTCTAGGATTTTACTCACTTTGGAAAAATCATGGAAGTATTGTTACCAAAACTTTGTATTTGGTCTCATTTGTTATTGGATTTTCTACAGCTGTTTTCTACGGATTCACCACATATCGAGTGAGTTACAAGAAATTTTGGGATACATTTCTAACAACTCTTCAAGAATTTAAAAATTAAATTTTATGAAAGTTCCCAGAACAAATTGTAAAATTAAATTTCTAGGTGGTCCGAGCTGGAGAACATTTCAACAGAATCCAAAATGCGCAAGGTTTTGAAGAGTTCCAACCAGAAGAGCACAATTATGCTGGTCGAATTGTTATTTCGGCTTTGATGATTGGTGCGGGAACAGTTGCTGCCGTTTTTTCACTTTTTGCCTTGTTTTTGTTGAGCAAAATTATTGTCGTCACTATTCCTGTTTATCCAATGCAATCGAGAGAACAAGAATTTGCAATGTCAATGGCCAAAAAAACACTTTTATCGATCGGACTCATCAAATTCATTTTATGTTTTGGAATCCTTGGACTTTGTGTCTTCTTGGAATATGAACATGAAAATGTAAGTTTTTTCTTTTCTTGTTCAAAAATGTCTTTATTCAAAAACTACGATTGTTTTTAGGTCGCTGGCCAAGATAAATACATTAAAATCGGTCTTGATCATGTTGCTGCAATGCTCGCAATTGTCAGTGGAGCTATGGATATTTGGGCAACGTGTGGAAAGGCTCAGCGAAATTTGAACCTTAAAGTTGCACTTGCAATCTCTGTAGTTGCTGCAACTTGGTGTTTGAAATCGATTGACAACAATGCGATGCCATTTTATAAAAACGACTTGAAATCGTATTATGAAGGAAGAGAACTTGGAGATGCGTCAGTTACTTCAACTGATTCACCAAGATATATTATTGTTATTGTCGATGGCGTTCTTCTTGGTTGTTTTGGTATCGCATTTTTCTTATGCACTTTGTCAGCAGTTATTGTCGGAACTTATCTTCAACTAGATTTCCATTCAATGCACACAGAAACCAGCAAAACTATCAAAGTTGCTACTGCGTAAGTTTTTTTTTGTTCGATTATCTCAAAAATTTATCAATTTTTCAGTGTCTTGAGCATTCTTCATGTTTTCTTCGGAGCTGCTATGATGGCTTTGACGATTTTGGGATTATTAGACACTTGGTGGCGTGGAGAGTTCCTTGGAGCTGATTTACTCTGGGTCTCTGTTTTATTCATAACAACGGGATTGATGACGTCGAATAACTATAGTGTTATGATTACTACAAAATTCATTTTATCTACAGTTTGCCTCGGGATTTGTGTTGAAAAAACTTGTGCATCTGCTAATTTGATCTACCAAATGGCTTCTTACACTGGATATAAAAATGGAAATAACCGCACTTTCGTTGCACAAATTATTTTATATTCAATTCAAGCTTTGATCTACCTTTTGGAAGGCCTAACATCACTTGCTGGTGTTCTTCTTTACGGACATCAATTAAGAAAACAACCAAATTTAACCTATCGTCATTCAAATGGTGTTCACGGTCTTTTCTCACTTGGAACTCTTTTCTACGCAGTTGTCATCACTGGTTGTTATGTTGTTTTTGAATTAGGAAAATGGAGATATAATGAAGTTCCAATTGAAGTTCCATTCTTCCGACTTGGAAATGGTCCACTCGCTGGAGCTGTTTTCATTGTTCAAGTGAGTTAACATATTTAGAAGACTATAAATTGAAAAATGTTTCAGTTTTTGTGTATTCCATTCCCAAGTCTTCTTGCATCCGCTTCAATTCTCAATGTTATTATTGCATCGATCGCTTTATTCACAGTTTCATCAGCTGTTACGAATGTTTACTATTTGGTGAGTGGGAATTATGAGGGAGTGAGAATATTTCTTGAAAAAAAAGCGTGAAAGAATTGAAAAAATCCAAGTATGAAGTTCTAACACATTCTGGGAAATGGTTTTTTGGCTGAAGTGTCATTATAACTTGCCAAAATGATACCGAAATCTGGGAAGCTTCCCAAACTCATCTTCCCTATTTTGAAAATTTATACTTGTTGTGGGGGGCAAATCCAATTTTTTATAACTCATTTTTTAGCAACGATATTTACAAGCGACGGATCTCATTCCAACCACCGAAACTCAACAAACAATTTATCAAGTTGCTATCATTCTAGCAGCCGCCGCCGCTTTGGCGTGTGTGATTTGCACTATCTGCGCAATCATTTGCTCTCTAAGGTAAACAAGAACACATAAATTATCTATAACTGATAACAAAAATGACTTTTAAAGATCGTCCTATATTCTGCATCATCGATCAACATCACCTGACAGTACTGTTGTTGCGCCATTGAATGAAGAAACTTATGGAAGTGGTACATTGAGAGTTGGAACACATATGAGAACACCATCGAGATCACATCCAATGCCTATTAGTCCGGTAGAGATTTTGACAGAATAAATTTATGAGAAAATTTTTTAAAAAATCGACAAATTCAGAAAGAAGTGAAAGAAGGAGGGCCTTCCTTTTTGAAAAGTGAATTCAAAAAAATCAAACAAAAACACAATTTTTTAATCCGCTGTTTCAAAAAAAGTTGAAGCTTCCAAGACATTCAAAGATCCAAAAAACCTGCATCTCCCTTTTCAGAAAAAAACTAACACTTTCTCTTCTCTCATGAAAAACCTAAAACCAATTACAGACAAGTGGAGTTCAGCAAATGGAGGAACAATCTGTTTACTGGAGCGCCGACGAAAATCCCTTCTATTATCACACATCAAAAAGATTTTATGGAAAACCATACCAAATTGAGTCCGGGTAAGTTTCATACATTTGGAATCCTGATAAAAGTATGAATCATATTTTTCTAGATTTTATGGATACGCATTAGCCGGACCTGGACAACCATCACAATCTCAACAACAACAAAGTGGAGCAGCAGCAAGTCCATCGTCAGAATTGAATCGGAGGGTACAATCAAGTGCATCACAAACACAAATAGGCCACGTGTTTAATCAAAATTAATTAATTTCACTTATCCTTAAATCAATTGTTTTATGTTTGCCCCGAAATTGCCCCCATCCACCCATCCATTTTCAACTTCTTCTTTCTCCCAAACATCCAGCTGCTTATTATACCCAAATTATCTTTCTATGCTCATCATCGAAATATTCAATCATTTTCTTGTTTTCAAATAAGAAAATGATTAACATTTTGGCACCAAAAATCATAACATGACTATGCTTAACAAACTCTCAAAACAATTCTTTCTATAGTTTGCAATTTCGTTATCCTATTCTTTCAAAAACCAATATGTGTGTATATATTTGGAACGTTTTCATTTTTACTGGATAATAAATAGAGTTTTTTTTTAATATTTTTTTTGTTCCAAAACGGACATTTTTGATAATAAACAAGATTAAAAACTAACCTGAAATATCCCAAATTTGCAGATGGACCACTGTATTTTCATCAACTGGCAGTATTTTCAACGCGAAGTCAACACCAATCTGAACAATATCGTATTATCATTATTTAAAAAAATCAATAAAAATACTCACCGTGGTTTTATAATTTGATGAAAAAACATTATGAACAAATCTTCGAATAATTGAGGTTTTACCGACACCCGGGTCTCCGATAACCAACACTTTATATGACACTTTTTCACTGACTGATGAATTCATGCTGAAAATTTAAAGTTAGTGGAAGTCTTGAATATGAAATAGATAGAAGAAATAGAAAATATTACGAAAAATAGAGAATGGTATCAATATAACTGAGGCTATCTTTTGTTATCTATAAATTGTACCTTGTGCTACTAGAGCTCTTTTCACATCATTATAATTGATATCAATAATTGTTCTGTTTTTCTTTGTTCCTCTTCAGTATGTTTTTACCTGCTCTACTTTCTAACCGCACACTGTTTTTCTCCCCATTGAATTACTATTTTTCTGATATTTCTAGAAATGAATCTAAACCCAAAAAATTTCAAAAGAGAAAGCCACACAAAAAACGAACTCATTGAATGTTAAAAGTGCATTTTCTGGATTATCTAAAAAAAAAACGGGTGAAACGAAAAATTCATTCAAAAATCTATCAAGGACAGACGAAAAATTGATAGAGCACAATTTTTTTTTTGATAAGAACAACCCGTTTTTTTTGTCCAAGAAAAAAACTGATTTTTACCGTATATATTTTTAATTTAGCTTTTATGTGTGTATATGTGTTTTTCAGGAACAGGCGAGCAAAAATTATCATCATTCAGTTCAATTAATTTTGTGTTTTTTGTTATTGTATTGGTGGTCGAAATATGGAACCGAATTTATCGGCCAAACCAGAAGGGCTCGATGCTTTTTGTGGTGAAAAATATTGGGTTAGTTTCTGACATGGAAAGCTATCCAAAATTCCCCCCTGAAAATTCCTGTTACTATGCGGATTTTTTAGGTCCTGGTGGGTTATGAAAACTCCCAAAGGGATTTTGTCTACAAAAATTTCTAACAAGAGTTCCTGGGGATCCAATTTTTTTGGACCCAAAAAATTTTTTTCACCTAAAAAAATTCGTAACTTGGTTCAAACTCAACTATTTTGGTCGATCAAAAACGCATTCTAAAGCTAAATCCATGATATTTAATAAAAAAATAGACCTACTAACATATATTTTGATTTTCACATCGAATGTGACCAAAAATTGAGGACACCTCAAAAAAAAATTTTCAAGTTCGGCATGATAGGGCAAAAATCAGAATGTCTAGTGTGATTTTTCGAACTCCTCGCACAAAGTTACGTATATGGACATATTAAAATCATATGGTCCCGCACCTCCCAGAGGCACTTTACTACCGATTTTGTGCTTTTTTCTCACAAAAAGTGCATTTTTGATAGGAAGACTTACTGGCTAAGTGCCTAATTCATAGGTTATTGATCAGGAGGTCACAGGTTCGATCCCCGTAGCCAACATTTTTTTTATTTTCAAAATAAAATTATTTTTTGTTTCGAGTTAGCCATACAAATTTTTGAACGAAAAAAAAAGTTGATCAAAAAAATATAATTTTCTTTAGACAGTACTTAAAAATAGCTCAACAAATGAATTTCAATTATTTTAAGCATAAAAACTTGAAATTTGGTTTGATAATAATGGATTTGTAAAACTGGAAGAGCTTGGAATTTTCAATGAACTTGATTGTAGTTTTTATTGTTAACATCTTCCGAGTACTTACAAAACGAAAAAAAAATTAAATAAGTTTTTTTTTCGAAAAATTGATCGATGACGTCATCCATGGCAAAATTAGGAAGCCTTCCTAATTTAGCCACGAGTCATTTTTTTATCAAAAATTTGAAAATTTTCGATGAATTCGCAGGCCGATTTTTATTTGAAAAAACTCGGGCCGATTTATTTGAAAAAATTTTTCTAAAAAAAAATCGGCCCGAATTTTTTCAAAAAAAAATCGGCTCGAGGTTTTTCAAAAAAATCGGCCCGAGTTTTTTCAAAAAAAAAATCGGCCCGAGGTTTTTCAAATAAATCGGTCCGAGTTTTTTCAAAAAAAAATCGACCCGAGTTTTTTCAAAAAAAAAAAAAATCGACCCGAGTTTTTTCAAATAAATCGGCCCGAGTTTTTTCAAAAAAAAAATCGGCCCGAGTTTTTTCTAAAAAAAATCGACCCGAATTTTTTCAAAAAAAAATCGGCTCGAGGTTTTTCAAAAAAATCGGCCCGAGTTTTTTCAAAAAAAAATCGGCCCGAGTTTTTTCTTAAAAAAAATCGGCCCGAATCTTTTCAAAAAAAAATCGGCCCGAATTTTTTCAAAAAAATCGGCTCGAGGTTTTTCAAAAAAATCGGCCCGAGTTTTTTCAAAAAAATCGGCCCGAGTTTTTCTTTAAAAAAATCGGCCCGAATTTTTTCAAAAAAAAAATCGGCTCGAGGTTTTTCAAAAAAATCGGCCCGAGTTTTTTCAAATAAATCGGCCCGAGTTTTTTCAAAAAAAAAAATCGGCCTGCGAATTCATCGAAAATTTTCAAATTTTTGATAAAAAAATGACTCGTGGCTAAATTAGGAAGGCTTCCTAATTTTGCCATGGATGACGTCATCAATCAATTTTTCGAAAAAAAAACTTATTTAATTTTTTTTTCGTTTTGTAAGTACTCGGAAGATGTTAACAATAAAAACTACAATCAAGTTCATTGAAAATTCCAAGCTCTTCCAGTTTTACAAATCCATTATTATCAAACCAAATTTCAAGTTTTTATGCTTAAAATAATTGAAATTCATTTGTTGAGCTATTTTTAAGTACTGTCTAAAGAAAATTATATTTTTTTGATCAACTTTTTTTTTCGTTCAAAAATTTGTATGGCTAACTCGAAACAAAAAATAATTTTATTTTGAAAATAAAAAAAATGTTGGCTACGGGGATCGAACCTGTGACCTGCTGATCAATAACCTATGAATTAGGCACTTAGCCAGTAAGTCTTCCTATCAAAAATGCACTTTTTGTGAGAAAAAAGCACAAAATCGGTAGTAAAGTGCCTCTGGGAGGTGCGGGACCATATGATTTTAATATGTCCATATACGTAACTGATGATTTTTGCCCTATCATGCCGAACTTGAAAATTTTTTTTTTTGAGGTGTCCTCAATTTTTGGTCACATTCGATGTGAAAATCAAAATATATGTTAGTAGGTCTAATTTTTTTATTAAATATCATGGATTGAGCTTTAGAATGCGTTTTTGATCGACCAAAATAGTTGAGTTTGAACCAAGTTACGAATTTTTTTAGGTGAAAAAAATTTTTTGGGTCCAAAAAAATTGGATCCCCAGGAACTCTTGTTAGAAATTTTTGTAGACAAAATCCCTTTGGGAGTTTTCATAACCCACCAGGACCTAAAAAATCCGCATAGTAACAGGAATTTTCAGGGGGGAATTTTGGATAGCATTCCATGTGAGAAAAGAAATTTGATGGAATAAAGTTAATTCAATGTGTTCAGGATCCTGCAATATGGAATGTGTCGGGTATTCCAATTCTCTCACAATGTTATCAACATACAACACTTGTCTGGATTCCAACAGCAGTTGTTTTTTTGTTGGCACCAATTTTGTCAGCGCAAATATTTTACAAAAGACCTAATCCGATTCCATGGTCAACTAGAATGAAATTAAAAATTGTAAGTTTTCGGGTATATTTTTCTTTTGAAGATTTAGGATAACATTGATTCATATTTATTGAAGTGATTTTTTTCAATTATTTTCAACATGACTCTTATTGCAGGGTGTTTCAAGTATTCTGATAGCTGATTCAATCTCACTGTTTGTTATTGCAATTTATGAAACGATTTTTGATGGTTTTCCATATGCTGTTGATTATGTATATCCACTTACTCTAACCCTAGCAATGATAGTTCTTTGTGCATTCATTGTATTTTGCCGAAATTATGGAATTGTCACATCGGGAGGTTTATTTATTTCCTGGCTGGTTTTTGTGGTTTGTGGAGTTCCTGAGTTCATGTATTGGATTGACAAAATTGTTGCTCCAAAAGAGGTATTGTTTTTTTTCGAAGTATGAGAATATCTTGAAAATAATTTTTTTCAGGCTTGGGATTGGCTTGATTACCCGAGATGCATTGCATATATGGTTTGGTGGTTCAGTCTGGTTCTTCAATTATATCTTCATTGTTATGCTGATCAATCTGTTGATGGTTATAAATATCTGAATAACAGTAGAAATCCAAGTCCTGAAACAGTTTCATCATTTTTGAACAGAATTACAATGTGGTGGTTCAACAGTTTGTGTGCTTTGGGAGTCAAAAAACCACTAGAAGTCAATGATTTATATTCATTGAATGAAGGAGATATTTCGGCAAGTTTAGTTCCGAAATGGTTTGAACAATGGGACAAAGTCAATAAAAGTGAGTTATTATAATTTCCAGAGATGAAGTTTTGAATCGTATTTTTTCCAGAATATGAAGATGAAAAACGTCGCCGCAAAGCTGTTCATGAAAATGGAACAAGACGTAGAACTCTGTCGAACGATCAAACTCCACTCTTGGCAGCAACCTCATCAGATGATTATGGAAGTGTTACTTCTGAACAGGAGCAAACCAAGCTTCCCTCAATTAATTGGTGTCTTTTCCAAATGTTCAAACTTGATGTGATTGTTGCAATGGTTATCAAATTCTTCAGTGATATTTTACTTTTCTGTAATCCAATGCTTCTCAAATCTTTGATTCAATTCACTGAACAACTTGAAAGACCAATGTGGCAAGGAGTTATGTTAGCATTTGCCATGTTCTTGTCAGCAGAACTCTCATCTCTTCTACTTTCACACTATTATTATTTGATGTATCGAGTTGGAACACGAGTTCAAACTTGTTTAACAGCAGCTGTCTATCGAAAAACATTGAGATTATCAAATAGTGCAAGAAGAGAGAAAACATCTGGAGAAATTGTTAATTTAATGGCTATTGATATTGATAGATTCCAACAAATCACTCCACAAATTATGCAATATTGGTCCAACCCGTTACAGGTAAATTAATTAATACTACACAATTTTTCATATATTTTTTTTGAAAATTCCAGATTGGACTAGCTCTCTTCTTGTTGTTCAAACAACTTGGTGTTTCAGTTTTCAGTGGAGTTATTGTTATGGTTTTACTCTTCCCAATCAATTTCATCATCACAATGATCATCAGAAAATGGCAAATCAAGCAAATGTATTATAAAGATGAAAGAACAAAGATGGTAAATGAATGTTTGAATGGAATAAAAGTGATCAAATTATATGCCTGGGAACCACCTATGGAACGAGTTATTGAAGATCTCAGAGAGAAGGAGCTTGGATTAATCAGACAAGCCGCATTTTTAAGAACATTTTCTGATATGTTGAATTGTGCATCTCCATTTTTAGTAGCTTTATCAACATTTGCTACGTTTATTTACATTGATCCATCAAATGTGTTGACTCCAGAAATTGCTTTTGTTTCTTTGACACTTTTCAATCAGTTAAGAAATCCAATGTCACAAATTGCTGAATTGATCACTCAAACAGTTCAAGTTATTGTTTCCAACAAAAGACTGAAGGAATTCCTTGTTTCTGAAGAATTGGATATGAATGCTGTTGATTTCACGGCTAGAGATAGTGAGTTGTCAAATTGAATGTAAGATTTTCAATTTTTTCTTTCAGACGATGATGTTATCAATGTCGAAGATACAACTCTCACCTGGGATACATCTGACAAAAGTGCAATTTCTTTGAGTGGATTAAACTTCTCGGTTCAGCGAGGTCAATTGGTTACTGTAGTCGGAAGAGTTGGAGCCGGAAAAAGTTCATTGCTTCAAGGATTGATGGGTGAAATGGAAAAAGTTAGTGGTTCGATAGGACTTCACGGTAGATTATCATATGTTCCTCAACAACCCTGGATGCAAAATAATACATTGAAACAAAACATCACTTTTGGAAAACAATATGATGAATATTTTTATTCGCGTGTTTTGGATGCTTGTGCACTTCACAGAGATCTTCAAATGCTTCCATTAGGAGATATGACTGAAATCGGTGAAAAAGGTATCAATTTATCTGGTGGTCAAAAAGCAAGAATTTCATTGGCTCGTGCAGTTTATCAAAACCACGATATTTATTTGATGGACGATCCGATGAGTGCAGTTGATGCTCATGTTGGAGCACAATTATTTAATTCAGTCATTGGACCAGAAGGAATGCTCCGGAATAAAACAAGAGTTCTCGTCACAAATCAATTATCATTCCTTGAAAGATCAGACTTGATCATTGTAATGAAGGATGGAAAAGTTGAATATGAGGGAAGTTACACTGAATTGATGCAACAAGGAGCATTCGAGCAATTGTTGTTAGAATGTGAAAAAGAAGATCAAGAAAGAAGAGAGGCTGAAGCATCTGACGATGATTCATGTTCAGAACCTGGAGGCAGTAAGTTTCATAAATTTATAATAAATTTCAATTTTTTTTTCAATTTGTTTAGTTTCAATCGATGGAGATTCCGAATTTGATTATGACGATGAAAACCTTGAATCACCAATCATTGATCATGTTCTTGGAACAAGTCACATGTCAACAGTTTCTGGAATAATTAGCAAAAGAAGACCAAGCTTTTCGAATAAAAGACGGCGAAGATTATCAACTGCAAGATCTGGAATGTTTACACCATCTGAAATATCAGCAACAACAAATACAACAAGACAATTAACATCTGCTGAAAGAGTCGAAACTGGAAGAGTCAAAATGGACACTTATAAAAACTATTTTGGTGCTATGGGTGTTTTTACAGTCCTTGTATTTGTTGTTGGAATGACTACAAGTACAATTGTCTCAATGGGAAGAAATTTGTGGTTGACCGATTGGTCGAATGATAATATTGCCACTGGTACAAATGTTACTGGTAAAACAATCGGTGTTCGACTTGGAGTTTATGCTGCTCTTGGATTTTCTGAAAGTATGTTAAATTTTCAGATTTTTAAAAACATTCTAAATCTATTTCAGCTGGTCTACTTTTTGTTGGAATGCTATCCTTATTGTATGGTGGTGTTGCTGCTTCTCGAAATCTTCACGCTCCACTTATGAAATCATTATTCCGAGTTCCAATGGCATTTTACGATACAACTCCATTTGGTAGAATTCTTAACAGAATAGGAAAAGATATTGAAACAGTTGATGTTCTTTTACCATTCAATGTTCAGTTTTTCGCACAATGTCTCCTTCAAGTTATCTCAACTCTCATTATCATTATGATTTCTACACCAGTATTTGGAATTGTTGTTATTCCATTGGCAATAATGTATTTGATGGTTATGGTGAGGTCGAAAAGTTAGTATACATTCAGTCATATTTTATTGTTTCAGAGATATTATATTGCAACTTCAAGACAATTGAAACGACTTGAATCAATAACGAGAAGTCCAATTTATAGTCATTTGAGTGAATCGATAAATGGTTCTTCAACAATTCGAGCATATCACTTAGTTGATCGTTTTTGTAAATTATCCGAGCAAAAAGTTGATACACATGTTCAATGTCGATATTTGAATTATGTTGCAAATCGATGGTTGTCTGTTCGTCTTGAGTTTATCGGAAATTGTATTGTTTTGTTTGCTGCGATGTTTGCAGCGTTAACAAGAACAACAACAACGTCTGGAGTCATTGGATTGTCAGTTTCATACGCTTTGAATGTGAGTTTTACTTGTTTGACTGATCTTGAAAATAATTTTAAACATAATTTCAGATCACCACAGTATTAAACTTTGCTGTTCGTCAAATCACAAAACTTGAAACAAATATTGTATCTGTTGAACGGGTTAAAGAATATTCAGAAGTTGAAACTGAAGCTGAATGGAAATCGGAACCTGGAAAGGAAATTCCTCAAAACTGGCCATCTGAGGGTAGAATCATTATGAATAACTATTCTGCCAGATATCGTCCAGGATTGAACCTTGTTGTCAAACAATTGAACGCTGAAATCAAACCACATGAAAAAATCGGAATTGTTGGACGAACTGGAGCAGGAAAATCATCTGTTACTCTTTCCCTTTTCCGTATTATTGAAGCTGCTGAAGGTCAAATCGTTGTTGATGGGATCAATATTGCTGAAATTGGACTACACGATTTACGATCTAATTTCACTATTATTCCCCAAGATCCTGTATTGTTTTCTGGAACTTTGAGATTCAATTTAGATCCGTTTAATCATCATGCCGATGAAGATATTTGGAGAGCACTTGAGATGGCTAATCTCAAAGATTTTGCATTGAGCCAAAATTCCAAATTGAATTATGTGATCTCAGAAGGGGGAGACAATATTAGGTAAGTTAACTTGACAGTAAGATAATTTTGAATTTGAGTATTTCAGTGTTGGTCAACGTCAACTTGTTTGCCTTGCTCGCGCACTTCTCCGAAAAACACGAGTTCTTATTCTTGATGAAGCTACTGCAGCTATTGATGTTTCTACTGATGCTTTGATTCAAAAAACAATTCGAGAAGAGTTTGCGAATTCTACAGTTTTGACAATTGCTCATCGTTTGAACACTATTATGGATTATGATAGGTCAGTCTCTCAAAATATTAAAAATTCTGTATCTCTATTATTTTTGTAGAATTATCGTGTTGAACGAGGGAAAAATCGGTGAATTCGACAGTCCGAAGAGACTTTTGGAAAATCGAAATTCAGAATTCCATTCCATGGCAAAACGGGCTGGACTCATCTAATCAATCAGCAAAAACAACACAAATGACTTCTAAAACGGTTAAAATAGATTTTCGCTTGAGTTATATATTTTATTAATTGATGATTAATTAATGTTTTGTTATTACAAATAAATCAATAAAAACAAAGTTGTACACGTAGAGATTTTTTTTGAAATTTGAAAAATGAGAAAAAAACAACTAATGATCTTGATATTCTCTCCTGCGATCTTCTGTGTATTCATTCATCTCAATTTCTTCAGGAAGTTTCACTTTTTTTGAAATGAAATAGCAAATGATAGCAAATATGATTGCACAAATTTGGAAAAATGCATTAACTCCGTGGAACATTTTTCCAAACTTCAGGTTGTCGTAAAGAACACAATTTCCTTTTTCTAAAAAAATAGTATGAGTTGACAACTAGACAGAATTTTCAAACATTTACCGTTAGGACATTGTCGATTCCATAAAACACAGCAGAGATCAATAAAAAATCCATAAATAACGGGGGCTGGTATAAATCCAAATATATTTGTGATAAATGAGGCAAGACTAAGGGCTATAACTTTTTCTTCATCATAAACTGATCTGAAAAATTGAAAGAATAATGCAATTATATGATAGAATTCTGAAAACTTGCCTCAAAACAATCATCATTGTGACCATGAAAAATAGGTTTCCTAAAAACAGTCCGATCAACATAACAGCCAAATATCCATAGAAAATATCACATTCTGGATGAACTAGGCCGTTATTAACAGAATAGTCACCAACACATTGACAATTAGACCACTGAAAATGTATATGATTCAGAGAAGAGAAATAATTCAAAAATGCTCACTGTGTTAGTATAAATATCATACTGTGTGCAACCAGCATGACAAGGTGAATAGAAATTCTTCCCGTTGAAGCTGACACCGTCGAATTTCAGAATTGTTTCACAATTACATTCGGATAAGCAAGAATATTCTCGCTCTCGATGGTGATAGAAATCATATCTATAATTATTTTTTAATTGTGAAAAAAAAACGAGGAAGGTTCAGAAAAACAATTTTTTTCCAGATTTGAGGATGAGATTATTACTAAACTTGAATTCGTCTAACAGGAACATCCCCTTTTCGTCAAAAAAAAATGTATGAATGTTCTATCTCCTCAATAAAAATCCGAAAACTTACCGTTCGGCAACATCGATATAAGTAAGGCCTTCCATATTTGGTTGAGCACATCCAAGATTCATACCAATAATATAACTCAACAAAATAATGACCCATGAAATAATCAAGCAAATAATTGAAGATCTCGGTGCAATATTATATCTAGAAAGAATCCATCCTCCCAGTGCAGTTGAGACCGCAATTGCTCCAACCGAAATAATTCCAGAATATAAATCAGCCATACTTGCAGATCGACCATATTGTGTTTCGATATATTTTGGAAGATATGTTTGATAACCTCCAATCAAATATGATCCAAACATCCATGCAATAACCATTGTTATGTAAACTTTGTTGGTTAGCAAGTTTTTCAAAACTGATGGGAATTCTGAAATACAATACGATTTTTGATTTTAAAAAACAATAGGCTGAAATTACCTTTCATGAAAAGCTGCAATTTTTCTTTCACAGTTAATTGTTCTTCTTCCTGTTGAAAATGTGAAGTCGATTGTTCTAACATCAAATGGAATGAATCCGGGTGTTTGTAAGATTTTGGAAATAGGAAAAATGGCAGAGTTAAAAGAAGATATGCTGTGCCACAACAAATAAATCCTAACCACCAAGCACCAATCCAATGTTCATCGTGTGTTCCAATATGATTTGGTGGATCACCAAGTGTGGTGTAAACACCAGTTAAAATTGATGAGAGTAAGAATCCAAGAGCCGGTCCAAAAGCATACATCGATGTCAAAAGTCCTGGAATTTTAAAAAAAATTTGTTGTTTTTTTTCTTTTCGTTTCCAACCTAAATAGAACGGGGAATCTCTCTTATCTTGAACATTACAATCGATATAAACATAAGAGATAGTGTTGAAAGGAGCCGCAAAAATTCCAGCAAAAAGTTGACCAAAAGCCAATAGTATAAAAGCATTCTGGAAAATATTTTATTTTGAACAAAAATAAACAAAATCTATAACTTACCGTATGTTCAACATGCTCTCTTGTACAATCCTCTCCTTGACTAGAAATATATCGTTCTTCATTTGTATCACAAGCCATTTCATAAGCATATGCTTCTTTTTTCTGTATTAGCTGTTCTTCTGTGTAATCTGCAGTTCCATATAAAAATACTGGACAAGCCAACATAAACATTGAAGCTGCACTCAAAAGTACGCCTGGAAAAATATTTGAAAAATTAAAAATTTGATATTTTTCCAGAAAATTTGAAACCCATATATAAACTGAACTTTTTTTATAAATTGTATTATTTTCAATTTCACGTTTCATTATCACAATGTTCTCGTTTTATTCCACACGGCGGTCTGAAATTTGAATGTTCACCGTTAATTTTTCTTCCAGCAGTCTTTTCAGGGCAAAATGATATTACGTTTATCAGTGGCCGGATGGTCTAGAGGTATGATTCTCGCTTCGGGTGCGAGAGGTCCCGGGTTCGATTCCCGGTTCGGCCCAAAATTTTTATTTTTTTTTATTTACGATGATTTTTGAAATTTTGTGTTGGGGATATGAGCTAAATTTTTATTTTTAAGAATATTATAATAAAACATGTATATTAAACAAAATTCTTAATGTTTCTCACTTACCTATTCCAGTTATTCTCGGTAGATGATAATGAGATCCAATGTATCCAATTAGCAAAATTGCGGCAGTATGTCCGATATCGTATAATGACAGTAGCCATCCTGATTTTTCCGAACTAAATCCGAAACGTTTTTCGAGTGTCGTTAACATTCCAACAACGTAGCCCAAATATGTGCCCTTTAAAAATTTCGCAATTATTTCCCATTGAATAAAATACTACAAACCTGAACACCGATTACTAAAACCATCAGGAGTACAAAATGATTTATAGAAAACTTATATTTTTTACCCGGTAAAGGCACAGCTTCCGCCATTTTCTTGCAGACCTGCCAGAATAAAAATTTAGCAAACAATAATCATTCAAGGTGCGATAAGAAAAGAAAAAAAACTACGAAAAAAAAATGAGTGAGTCATATAAATTTTGAGGCAAAAATGGGGAGGATTAGAGAAAAAGACAGACAGTATTTACTTGTTTGACAGGAGGGCAAAAAAAATTGAACGAAAGCATAAAACATTAGAACAGCCAGCGTGAGGAGAGGAAAACAAAAAAAGTTCGAAGAATAAGTTGATGGTGTGGTGTATATGTAAATATTGCACTATGAATCATAGTTTTTCTATGATTGTTTGTATACCGAGGAATGCATGTTATCGTCAGAAAAATAAATATATAAATAAAAAATAGAAAATGCTTCGGTTTGGTTTAGTTGGAATAAGGTTTGGAATGCTTTATCAGTGAAACACAAATAAGAATGACGTATTGAACTGAAACATTCCAAAACTTAGGTTAACAATTAGTAAATCCCCACAGAGAAAAACTTGTCACATAATTTTTCTTGAACAGTTTTTTTCTAATTGTGATTTTTAAAGCTTGAATAATTACTCGCCAGCTTCCATCAAATTTTGAATTTCTCAAAAACCCCAATTTCACAAAGTACAACATTACACATTTCTTTAAAATCAATTTTTAAAATATCACGATTCTCACATAATTGATAGTTTGATTTTTTTCCAAAGCTATCATTATTTTTTTTTCTCAATTTTCACTCGAAAAAATTACCAGGTCTTCGAAATGTCAATCAATAACCATGCTCATCGAAAAAAATGATGCTGCGAAATATATTTGATTTTCGAAATTGAAAAATAACAGACAGAAAATTGGCTTGAATTACATTTTAAAAAATTGCCCTTTATTCAATCGACGATGTTTGTGTTCAAATATTTTCTCATCTCTACCAAAAAAATGCGGAACAAAAATAAACATTCTTTGCTGTGCCACATGTTTTCGAACTTTGTTATTTTCAACTTCTCTTGTTCTTCTAAAAACATAGAACACAGAACTTATGTGAGAAAATGAGAAGAAAAAAAACAAATCTGATTTTGACTCTAATTAATTTTTCCTTCCCTCTCAAAAATATTCCCAATTGAATGATGAAATCTGTTTTTTTGCTCTCTAATCGACAGAAGAAATTTCCCACGTCCAAAATGTTGAATTTCCAAAGATTAAATTAGGGATAACAAATTCCGAGAGACAGAGATTTTCTCAGTTTGAATTAGAATTAGAAAACAAAAGAATGAAATATATTATTGATTGAAGACAAAAAAAAATAAAAACAGAGAAAAACAGAGAAAAATCCTATTTTGAAAACACCATAATGGTGTATACAAAACAGAGCGACCTTGGGAATTAATGTTGACTGCGACGGCGCGCTCGGAAAAAAGTAATGTTCGAAAATAAAAAATAGTAGTAATTTAATTATTTTCTTTGTCATGAAAAATCATGATCCTATTTCATTTTATTACGATTTTGGTTTGATTACATCTCGAATGCATTTTCAGTCTTATTCAGACAATATTCCTCACGTCATTTCTAATAATTATTGATTTATGCCTTATAGAAATGAAACACTGTTGTTTGTACCACACAACCAGTTGCAAACAATCGGATTTGATATTATCGACAAAAAATATTGGTTCGCCTCCCAATTCGGAGATTTTTATCATGTGAGAAACATAGAAGCTAAGACTGAGAAAAAACTTGGAGCGTTTGTATTCCTTTTCTTTACATTTTTCGTATTTTTGAACCAATGTATATGTCCGTAAAGGTTTGTGATTTTCACAGTTACTATTTTTTTCTTCGAATCTCTTGAGTTTTGTTGATTTTTGACGCTTCACAGATACCACAGTTCTTTTAGGTCTTGAAAAATTTCAAAAAATTTCTGACATTTGAGAAATTTTCTGTAAGTAGTCTGTGAATTTTGTGTCAAGATTTGTTAACTCTCAAAGAAAGTTAACTTCTATTAGGCAAAGTGGGCAAACTTTCGTTTCAAATTCAGCTCAAATTTATAGAATTATGTATATCACTTACAAGGGAACCTTTTTCACTCAACACTTCAAATCATGATGAAATTTGGTCCATGGACAGCTTTTGGGGCCATAAGAACACCCTAAAAATTTTAGTCTCCCAATGGACCTCTGAGCCAAGTTCTGGGCTCTCAAAAACTCAAAAAAGGCCTAAAAATGGCCATAAAAGTCATCATAGCTCCATTTCAAAAATTTTTTTGGGAGAAATAAAGTTTCAGATATTGATCAGCATAGTCGATTACCTAAAAACATCAATAAAAAATATTTTTTCGAAAAATTTTGAAGTTTTTTATTTTTGGGCTGAAAATTTATGAAAATTCATATGTGCCCCTGCTCATTCTTTTTTTCAAAATCAAAAATTTTTCTGAAAATTTGATTTATTGATGCTTTTTGGGTAAAACGACCACGCTGATCATCATCTGCTATTCAGTTTTTCATAAAATTGATCGAAAATTGAGTTATGATGTGTTTTATGAGCCAATTTTGGCAATTTTCGAACTTTTGAGAGCCCAGAACTTGGCTCAGAGGTCCATTGGGAGACTAAAATTTTTAGGGTGTTCTTATGACCCCAAAAGCTGTCCATGGACCAAATTTCATCATGATTTGAAGTGTTGAGTAAAAAAGGTTTCCTTGTTAGAGAAGAACTGTAATTCCGCGACAGAACATGTCGCGAGAAGATCAGAAAAGCGGCCACGCTGGGTTTTTCTCTCTCAAAAAAAGTAATTCTGGAACACAAAAGCGTTGTCATATTCCCTAATCTGATTTACAGCGCTTTGACATAATTTTTCATCACAAATTTGTTCTCCTAGTGTCATAGAAAAAATTGAATTTCCTCAAGATTTATTTCAATTTTCAGTTGCGTATTTTTCTCCGACGGTATCGATTGGTTTTTTGTATTTTTCTATTTGTAACACTCTTTCTAATAATCAAAACAACTCGACATTCAAATCATAACAAATTATCAGCAAGTCCTAAGGTATGTTTTTTTCAAACTTTTCCATAAATTACAATAATAAAATTGATTTAGGTACTATCAGGATTAATTCATGAAACTTTCAAATCAAAAGAATCGCGACTTCTTCGACTTAGCCAAATAAAATGGCAAAAATGTATGCTAGAATTAATAGATGAACATCAATTGACGTTAGAAGACTTGGATCCATTAGATCCAAGATTTGGAGAACTTCAGGAAGCTGTTAGGCAAAATCAAGAAAAAAAGAAAAAACATAAACTTCTTGAAGATTATGATGATGAACGATTTGAAACAGTGAATTTTTTCCAATTTTTTTTCAAAAAAGTCTATTAACCTTTTCAGATGTGGGCTGGTCTCAATGGTTATGCTAAAAACTGTTGGCAAAAAACTGATATGTGGCACATTGAACCAAATTTTATACCGTCAACAAGAATCGGTTATATTTTACCATACAGTGATAAAATACCTATAACAGTTGTTCGAATAGCAAATAACAATAATGATCAAATTCAGAGTACATTGAGGGAGAATCTCAGTAAGGCAAGAACTTGTAAAACTTCGAAAAAATAACATTTAATAGTTTCATATTTTCAGGAAACTGCATTTTTTGAAATAAGCACTGATCCAGGAGCAAGCAAAAAATATACGTCTTCAATAGGAAAACACGTTACGTTAAAAATTGGTAAAAAGTTCACCCCAATTGAAAAAGTTTTCAATAATATTGTGAAAAGGAAGATTATTGATTATTTATTTATTGAAGGCATGTTTTTTTTATTGGATATTTAATTTGAAAAAAATTGGAAAAAAAATGTGTTTTCAGATATGGAAAGTGAATATGAAATTATGGAAGCGTTTCGAAAAGATGGACTTTTAGATAAATCTGGAATCACAGTGTGTCAGATTAATATACTGGTGAGTTGAGTTCCAAAAACTAATATCCTTTTTTGTGAATCTTGGTCAAAAGCAAAAGATAGACATCTTGGTAGGTTCGTAAAAAGCATACTACACATTCCTCGTGTTTTAATTTCCGTTGTAGATGAGAAAACTTGATATATATCGATGTACATTTCAGTATTCCCGTCCAACACGACCTGACGATTCAAAAAAAGAGGAATTTCGAAAACATATTGTTCGATTTATCCGCGAAGGAAAATACACTCTTCTAATGGCTTCAAATTATTTATCACAACGTGTATTCTGGGTAAATACGCAATCAATAGAATGCCAACAAAGATATCTTGAGAAGAATTTCTCAAATGATGTAGATTTTGTTTAGTAACAATAAATAATTAGTTTATTCTAGGTGAAGATGACAATACAATGCAAAAAAATAATTATGCTATTCATAACAAGCTATTCATTAACCCAGTTTAAGTCCAGTTTGGTATTTTCATCAATCGGTAATAAGGCGGGTACTCTGAAACAAAAACCACAATTTTTAAATGAATTTGAAGGGGTGAAGAAAACATACCGTATAGGATTTTGAATGGTCAATTTGATAATGCAATAAATTAAGTTTGATTTGATTTTGATTTCAATTAGGCGTGCATTGATAACCTCATTTTTGGCGCGAAGAAGTCTTCCCCATGATTTGTTTCGCCTCGATAACAGATAAATCTGAAATAGAAAAATTCCATTTGAATCTAAAATACGCCTTATTAAGAATCAATACCTCATTAAGAATTAATAAATATTTGGAAATATCTGAATAATTTGTAGATTCAAATATAAAATCTAGAATTTTCATAACACTTCCATCACATCCTTCAATTGTGACAAGTAAAATTGGAAGAGATTTCATTATTTGCTCGGACGGATCAACCAAATTATTGCAGAACCTAAAAAAATTGAAGAAATTTGCCTAACTAACGGAATTGAAACCTACAAATATAATAAATCTGCGAATCCATCTTTCAAAATTTCCATATGTCGAACATCAGCTGCAGCGCCTAAAATAAACATTTCTGATAAAACTGGGAGCAAACATTTGAAAAAGAGTTAGACTAACTTCTTAAAATTGCAGCTTGGTAGATTTTAAGCATCGACGTTCCTTTTTGTTTATTCAAAACATTGTTGTCTTTTGAGTTTGCAATGAGTCCTGAAATATTTTTTTCAATTTCCTAAACTTGAACATAAAAATAAACACTCACGATGACATTTTGTGATAATTGGTTCAACATATATAACAGAATGACATATTAATTGCACCATTGTTTCAGTGATAGTCAATATTGTTTGATTTGAAAAATCGAGTTTGGTATCAATCAAAAGATCAATAAGTTGCTAAAAATTTGTTCACTAGTATTTTCTTTCAAACAGTTAAAAAATTTACTCACCAATAAGAGCTCTATTGAAATATCATTGCAGTTCGGTTGTTCTAAGATTTGCGTAGCTACCGCTAGATAATAATTGAGATTTTGATAAACTGCATTCCTGTTTTTCAACTCCGCAACAAAAACACCAGTAAGTTCATTTATCACATCTTTGAGTGAATCAAGTGAAAATGATTGAAGCAAATATGAAATCCCACCAAGAATAAACATATTATTCCTTTCATATTCAAAATCAGCCACCCATGACATGATCATATTTTTCTTTTCCGCCAGTTCCATTTTTGGTTCAATATGTTCAATTCCAAGAACAGCGACTGATTTTAAAAGCATACATCTAACCATTTCTTCAACTTCCATATCATAAGTCATTCCACGATCGTGAATTATTTTCATTTGTTGATACATGAATTCATATGTTGATTGGTCATCAAAAAAGTCAGACAAATAGAGCATCTGCGAATTAAATTTGAAGAAAATGAGTTCGACATTAAAAATCTTACCGATCTTATAACAGATTCTAGAAGTTGATCAGGAAGTTGATCTATGCCATGTGAAAACCAATGAGAGAAAATACCCAACAGACTTCGAACATTCGAAACGGTATCCAAATCGCTAGTTGTATTTAGCAAATGTTGTGAAAGTGAAGGGCGAATTCTCTGAAATGTATTGATTTATCATCGATTTCCGACAATTCACTTACATTGGCTTGTTCAATTATATTATTCCCATTATCTTGAGGAACAGCTCCACAAATTGTCCACAGCGATAAAACGGATATTTGTCCAACTCCAAAAGATTTGGTTGTTCCATCACCCTGAAATCATTATAATTAATATCAACTTTGCAACCGTCAGTTACAACACTCACATTACTGTCTGAATATCGCTCAATATTTTGATTGAATGCATGTTTTGGAATTCCATTCTTTACACATTTCAAAATCGACAATTCAACGGCTTCATTCGATGAGAAAAATGGATCAGATTTTTCTCTCATTTTCAAAACATAATTCGAAGCTGGATCACCATTGTTTGGAAATGTCAGAGTTTGTAACAAAATAAATGTGAATATATCAACAGCCATTGCACAATAATCAATTCTCTCAAGAAGTTCCTGAAAAAAATCAATTTTTCATTTGATAAATATTAATAAATTAATATACTCACACTTCTTGGAGTGTCTGATATCTCTTCTCCAGTCGGTGTTGTTGAAAGAACTCCCAATAAACTAACGCAAATATCCTCAAATTGTGGTTTGTTTAACCATCCGACTCTGGAATTGACAAATTTGATGCTAGGATTTGAAATTTGGAAATTGAACTTACTGTAGAAGTTTGTTTTTGATGTCAGTTAAAACATCAGTGTAACAAAGACTGTGCACTTTTGGTAATGGAACTGACAATTCTTTGTTTTCTGTTACAGTTATTGATGGTTTCCATTGATTTCTAAACAACATGTCAAGGTTTATGAAAAAATCCATCATTAATTTTGACTTACTCAATCGCAGGAATTGATATGAAAAATATTGGGTAGATCAAAGGATGTCGAAGCAGAATATCACGAGTTTGACGAATTTCATCATTCGATATATTAGAACGATTCATACTTGATTTTTGTGAGATTGACCAACATCGAGATATTTGATTATGTATTTTTATTATCTCTTTCGACTCAATTAGATCACTAATATCAATTTTGAAATGTCTAAAAAGAGAATTCACAGTGTGTTCATCTTCATCAGAACCAACAATGAAGCTCAATAAATCTAGATATGAATCCAAACATTTCCAAGATTCTTGCTGTACCATTGATATTATAGAATGTTCTGATAACAAGGTGTTGAGACCTCGGTAAACATAACCAGTCTGAAAAAAAGAACATATGAAAATAATTACTCATGGTGAAACTCACCGAAATATTATTGGATTTTTTTGACGTAACAAACGATAGAATTTTGTTGAGTTCAGTAACTGTAACAGCAGTCAAGTCAAGTCGAATATCTTTGCAGTTCGCTAAAACTTTCAACAGCATGCTATAATCTCCGACTGAATAACAGTTCTCAATACACAAGTCAATAAGTTCTTGACATTTTGTAATCAAATATTGTGCGTCTGGTGCAGATTTTGCATCAAGGCTCATAATTTGGAATCTATATTCTCTCATAAGATGTTTCCAAAAAACATCGGATGGGAATATTTTATCCAGCTTTTGACAAATTGCCCATTGTTGTTCAATTTCACATTCAACTAAAAGACTCGTCGCAAAATCAATGTGATTGGCTGATTTTGTCATTTCACAAATCAAATCCTCAATTTCAATCGTTCTCTTATCGAATGATCTGAAAAATAAAAATATACATGAGATGTGTGTATAAAATAATAGACAGAATACTCACTTTGATCTCTTAACTGTTGATTTCACAATAAATTGGAACTTTGGTTGTTCTTCAAGTTTTGGAGAACCATCATGCTCAATTTCCAGTGTTTTATAATCTAAAGAACAACAGATAGTTTGCAGTGTTCAATCTTTTTAACTTACTTTTCAAAAAATGGAAACTGAAAAATTCTTGAAACATTGGTTTTGCTTTGTATGATTGAGACAAGTTCAGTTCATAATTTTTCTGTAACCAGTTACTAGAATCCGTCCCAAGATCACGTAATTTTGAAGACAACACAAGTTCTGGAATCCTACTGACAATTGCACAAAGAAGTGCACCAGCTTTGAGTGAACACTGTAAAAAAAAGAAAGCTAAATTTTTCATTTGAGAATAATTATTTTAAGAAAACTGACCAGTTCAATTTGTTGGAATGCTTTAAAAATTTTATCAAAATGATCGAATGCAGCTTCAGGTATTTTCAGTAGTGGAAACAATAAACTTTTAAAATTAAGGGTTGAATCCTTGTCCAGCATCCACTCCAAATATGTTGTCAAAAAGACAATTGATGTATCAGCGCTGAAAATAATCACATAAATCAATAAAAGTAATATTTTATCTTAAACTCACATTTTTTCTGGTTGCGATGAACTGAATATCAAGAACCATGTATACAGTGTTTGCTCTGGAGCAAATTTCAAACATATCTTCAAATGTTGACTTAAAACTTCGATTAACTCATTGATATCTTTTGAAAGATTTATTGATTCCATCAGAAGTATATTTGCAGCGAAAATAACATGTTTCATTGCTTCGGATTGATTGACTGCAACACATTGAATTAACAAAACTCCAAATTTCACCAAATCATGTTTTTGCGAAATTCGATTGATAATTATCAAACATTCAACCATCTGAAAAAATGAACTCTACAATTTGAAAAAAAAACGTTAAAAGATCTAACCAGTGGAAGCAACTCGGGAGACGTACAATCCTGCGGTGTTGATAACTGTTTCAAAATTTCATCCAAAATAACATGATTGGGATCCGCCATGTCATATCGAATACCCACGCGGATAAGTTCAATCATCACCAAGATAACCTGAAATTTGTTTTTTCATAATTTTTTTTCAAATGAAAAATTGTCCTACCTGTTTTTTCTCTGCCGCTCCACGACATCTAAAAACTCTTATCATAACTGTTATAAGATCTTCCATCTGTGTTAACGCCGCTTCAATATTTGTATTTGCTTGTGTTTTTGAGGTGATAACATTTGGAGCAAGCCAACCCATTGAGAAATTTATTATTTTGTTGGAATATTCCGAATCCTTTGTCAATAAATCAAACTGTTTCAAGATCGATTCTTCCATTAAATTCTCAGCAAATCTCCCATTTTCCATGATCAGGTTGCGTTCCATTGAGATCAGATTTTTTTTAAATAGAAGTTTGACTAATTGATGCATAATGTGTAGTGTTTCAGAAGGTGCAATATCAATGAGTTTCTGAAAAATATAGAGTTTTGAATTCTAGATAAATCATTTCCATATTCTGCATTCATGTACCTTTAGATAAAAAATAGTGTCTTCAAAAAAATTGAAATCATCAATTGTGATAAATTCAAACGCAGCACAACATAGATTTGTGCAAGCTTCAATGAATTCGTAGAGCTTTTGATCGGTAGCTAAATTCAAGGAACTCTGTAAAATGATGAATATGGATCAGTCTAATTGTTTAACAAAAACTCACGCAATAATTAATATAGGACCCTTGTAAATCATGATACAAGTGATTCAAACTTTCACATTGCGTGAAATTGATATCAGCTTGTCTTGGAAATGATGTTCCAGTTTCATTTGGTTTTGCGGGCACAAAAAGATTCTGAACTTTTACAACTCTTGCATCCAAATTCTCCAAAGTTTTCTTGTCTGGTCGTTTTTCAAATGTTAGTTTATAAATCATATCCAAACATCTGTAAAAAACCAAAACTCTCAATCATTTTCAAAAAATAGAAATACCTTAACGCAACAAGCATAACTTCGTAAGATGTTTCCCGACAATCTGTCAGTCTTGCATTCATAAAAAGATTCATACATCGTTCTGAAAACATGATTTTTCTAATTGTTATTTAAGAATTTGGATACCTTGACATGTTTTTGTTAAAACTTGAAGAAAACAAATAACAACATGTTTTTTGTATTCTCCCGAGTTGAGATGAGCAATTATTCGTTCAATTGAAATTAATATCTCAACAGCATATTGAGTCTCATTGATCATACTTTGACAAACTTGAATGATATTAGACTGAAACTTTGAAGTTTTGATGATTTCAAAATCAGAAGGAAAACTCACAATAGTAGATGAATCTGAATTAGTCAACATATCCATTACACTTATAAAGTACCCATATTCAAGTGATTGTTGATGTGATAATCCAGGTGACAATGTAAGATTCGGGTCAAAGTTTAAAACTAGCTGAATTTTTGAGGGAGGATAACTCTGAACTTTTGATGACGATACTCCGAAAACACTGAAAAATTATATTTTTAAGACTTATGTGTTTTGTTTTCACAGAAAAATACCTTTTGACATGCTCAAAATAGCTTGAGTTTTGCGGTAAGATTCCAGAAGTCATCAAAGTCAAAAAATCATTTTGAACTGAAGCACCACATTGGATCATGTACTTGATTTTCTCAAATGGAACCAAACTCAAACTCGAGATAAAAGACGATCCACAAATCTGAAGAAAGCTATTTATTTCAGGAGATCTTGAAGGAAAAATACCTGTTCAGATGAGTTTTCAGATTTGCACATCTCTCGAGCAACATCCAATAATTGTGGAAAAACATCAGATTGATAAATATTCCTAATTTTCTCATTCGAAAAAGCTTCCAAAAGTGTTCGTTTTCTCAATGAATTCTGCCTTGTCTGTGATAATACTTGTGAAATTTGAGAATTGAATAAACCATTCTGTGACTCCATATGAGACATCAAAATCGATATGAGATTGATTGATTTTGAAGCAAGCGATTCATCGTGATGACCGAAAAACTCAACCAAATCCTCAATTTTCTGACTACGCTTATCTGAAAAAATGTTAATTTTCTTTAGAAAGTGTTATGAGCTTACCAAAAAGCACATCAAGACCCGAGATATTCTCAATTTTCGCAATCACAATCAAACATTGAACTGCTAATATCTTCTTACTGTCTTTTGATTCGTTATCACTTTTCAGAGATCCAGTTATACCCGTCAGAAGAAATGTTTTGCATAAAAATGCAGCTATATATTTATATACATTAACAAGCTCATCTGAAAATTCAACAGTTGTTTTAGAAATTAAATTCAGAAAAAATACTCTACCTTTTAACATCGTATCATGACTAGGAAGTTCTAAACAAACACTGATAGCTGGACTAGCACTGTTTTGTTGAATCTCTTCGTATAAAACAGGGTTGAGTAGCGGATCGATAATTTCATCAACATCTGGTTGAGTCTGAAAATTGTTATTCGTTATTTTTTATCAAATCTTCTCTCAAATTTGTATTCAAACCTCTTTTACTGGAGTTGAGATAAGTTCTTCATCGGAAGAGCTTCGATTACTCTGACTACCATTAGTGATGAAATCGTATGGCAAAAAATCACAGATTGAGCTAGAAATCATACTTTTATCTATAATTAGAACAAATGGAGATAAAAACTAACCTTGGAATAAATTTAATCAGTTCTTCTAGCACAGCAAAAGCTTCAAATGATATATCATTTGGGCCATTTGCAACAAGAATAAGGAGGATTTCAATAGCCTGAATAATCAGATTTTTAAAAGTATAATATGGAAATGCTTACTTTTTTCATATAATCTAAATTATTGTCTATGTCAAAGTAAACCAGTAATTTTTTCAAACATAATAATGCGCCAATTGACGGTTTGTCACCCGATTGATAAAATGTTATGATATGCTCCAATGATAATTTGAACATCTGGAATAAAATTGACGATTTGGAAATGGATTTTTCAGGTTCATCTTTGAAAAAAAAAAATTTTTCTATCTTAATTTTTCGTTTATTCATTATTCAAAAAAAAAAACTAACCTCATTCGTCCATTCACGTTTCAAAGTGCACAACGTGAACAAAACTTCGGAAATAGTTCTAGCTGTCGCTCCTTTTGTATCAAACAACAATTGCGTTGAAGTCTTCTTGATCTCATAAAGTATAAACATATCCGGTGATAATTTTGTGAATATATTGTGAAAATGAGTATATATAGCTTTTTGTACAATATGTTCTGGTCTCGAAAGAATTCGCAGAACACGATTGGCAATGGTATCGGATAAGTAGTCGAATTTCTGATTTTGTCCGCGTTTTGAATTTGGGATGATGTTTAGAAAATATTCGATTTTTGAGATCAACGAGACAATTCCTCGAGCAGATGTTGTCTTTTGAAAATTTCCGATCGTTATCCGTAAGGCAAGCTCTGTGTTCCTCGAAATAATCAATTTTTTCATAACTTGATCGTAGCTTTGCTCCGCAAACAATCGAATACTCGCATCTTGATGATCGAAACATTTCACCAACAATGACAAATATTTCAATGTCAAACTCGATGTCTGAATTTTTTTTTCGATATCACAAGTATTATAATAAAATCTTACCGCTCTCAATAAACTTGGTAAACTCTCCGCTGAAATTTGTGAAACAATTTGTGCGGCATCTTTCAAATAATCCAATTCTGTCTTTTTCGAATCCGCCGAATGTTGTTCAAACTGGTTTAAAATATCCTGAAGATCGTCTTTTTTACCCATCAATCTGTAAAATCATAATATTTATTATTTCATAATGTTTATAATTTCCGATAAATTGAGAAAAAAAATAAATGATGCTAGGTTAAACGACACTCCGTATGCCCTTATTTTACAAACACCATAATTGTCTAACTGGCGAAAACGGGAAATCAAGAAAAATTTATGAAAATATGGAACATCTGTACATTTTTCGAAAAAAAAAGATATATTTGAAGCAGTAAAAATTTTAATTTTAAGAAAAGTATAAGAAACAATGCAAGAACACAAACCAAACAAAAAATAACCATTTTTTGAAAAATGTTTGTCCCTGACAACAACACTCCGCATGCGTATTGTTTAGCAGCACTATTTATTCAATGTTCTGTTATATTTTTATGATGGGTTTATGTTTTATATTATTTATTGTGTTGCTTGTTATTTTGATCTTGATTTTGAGCTATGTTATATCTAATGAGCAATCATTTTCGCTTGGGAATTCTTGATTTTTAGTGGATTTTGTGTATGATTGGTATGTATGAATCTTATCTTTTATGGGAAAGACCTGACTTGTTTTTTTTCAAATCACTTGACTTGTTTTCAATTTTCATCCAAAAAAGTTAGACCTGTTTAGCGAATTGACCTTTCTTAAACAACGCCTGTTTTGTTTTCCGTTTTTCCTATTTTTGAAAAAAATCTGAATCTAGATGTGAATCAAAATAACAGAATTAACCCATTTCCGTTTTCTCATGAATTATATCCTATTTTTCTGACTTGCTTTGGCGAGCACCGCAAAAATGATCTTTTGATTTCGTTTTCCTATACAAAAAGAATAAGACTAGGTTGATTGGAATTCAATCAGAATGCAATAAATTTATGGTTTTTATGTACATAATTATGTTTTAATATCCATGACATTCCCAATATTTATTGAACAAAAGAGAATATTTATTTATATAAATAAATGAATTGTGTTTTGTTCCCACCATACCACATCATCATTTTGGTTATATTGGTTTTATTTTTGAACAACAATCAAAAATGTTATTCATATACATACACAGCATTTTATCATTTCACTTGTTCAATCAACCTCGCCCATTTTCTGTGTGTGTTTCAAAAAAACCGTATTTTTTGTATTTATTTTTTTGCAATTCTCATCATCCTCATGTGTAGGCGGGAGGTAAAAGATACACGAGTTGAACATTTCTAGGGTGAAACAGACTTTTCTTATTTTTCCTTCGTTTTCTTTTTTCCTCTCCATTATAGTAGTGTTGTCCAGCCGTCCGCTAAGAGATCAAACACCAGGTGACGTAAAAATTCTTCTCTTTTTCTGTGTATTTTTGTGTGTGTGTGTGTGTCTTTTTGGGTTTTGTCCTATGAAAAAGAAAAATGAGGAGATGAAACATAATTGTGAAGAAGTGTACATACAAACATGAGTCTTGGTGTATGTTTTTCAAAGATCTTGGAGCAAAAGCAAAATTGTTAAAAAACATATTTTATGAAAAACACAAGAAAATAAAAGGAAGTGGAACATTTTTATTCAATGTCTTATAGTACATTCTTGATTGAGCTATTCTATTCAGTTAGAACTTATGTTATTTTTATTTTATTTTCTTTATCCTGCAAAGCTACCGTATTGTTCTGTAAACAAAACAGGAAAAAAATTGATTTGACATAAAAATGAGAATAGCTTTTTATATGCTTTTCTCATTTTAATTCCCAAAAATATTTGTTTTATTTCATTTTATCGGAGTATTTTGTTCACTATTTTTGTGTCTTATCAAGGGTGGGAAAATTGTGATTTTTGATTTTTCCTAGCAATTTTTTGAATCAAAAAAATATAATGTGACAGTTCACGAAAACATTTAATGTGAATCGTGAAATCACTCATGTCAATTGAAGTCCTCACTTTTATTAGGTCGATATTAGGAGTGAGCTTCTACCAGCTGCTCTACAACCCCATTATTAAAAGTGAAAAACAAGCTTGTTTCATTGGTCCAAGGAAATTTTTTGTCCAAATATTTTTGATTAAAAAAACTCCATATATTTTTGTAAATTGTCCCATGAGTCTGCAAAGCAAAATGAGAAAATTATTGTTACTTTGAGTGACCACCCAGCGAAAAATCTTGATCATTTGTTCGCTAGTGAAAAATTCTTATTCAAATATTCTCTCATCAAAACACCAATACACATCATTGTACAATAGTTACCACTCATAAGGAGTCGAACGATTAAGGTCAATAATACAAATTTTTGTATACGTTGCACTTTTAAAAGTGTCTTCTTTTTTCTTCTTACAAACGATTGTTATTTTTTGCGGTGGTCTCGTCTCATTCTCTTGTTTAGTTCTTCGCTTTGCTTTTTTTCTGGAGGCCTATTCTTGTTTCATCAATAATAATCATATATTTCTTGGTGTTTCTGTGTTCACACACAAAAATACACAAACATAGGAAAAAAGAGTGAGCCTTTCACATCCGTAGGGTTTATTTGTGAACATTCGCTATTATTTTTGGTATTTTTGCGGTTTTTGCCGCCCTTTTATATTTAACCAGCAAATCAAACTAGTCATTGAACTCACTCACTTGGTTTTTGTTGTTCGATGTGTTAATTTTTCAAAAATATTTTGGTGAGAATGAAAATCGAGCGAGAATCCGTAGTTTAATCTTGTTTTAATCTCTTTCACTCTGATTTTTGTGTTGTACTTGTTTGTTTCCGCGAGAAATTTGGATGAAAAACAAAATGCAATCTTTGATTTGATTTTGTTTTTTTCTCCATATATCATGTGACCTTTCAATGAATCATGGCTAGTTTTGACTTTTCTTGGAAGAACGGAAAACGGAAAATTAAATTTGATTGCCTTGGAAACGACATAGGCGTACAGGAAAACCTGCCGAATGCGCAAAAAATCCAGAATATTTCCAATTTTCTATTTTCTTCTTTTTTTATTTTCTTTTTATTTTATTTTACTAAAATGGTCTTTTCTTTCTTGAAAAAAAAAAGATTTATGGAACAAAACGTGTCACAAAACTTGACCATTCGATAAAATCTATTTGATCAAGGTTCACAGAAAAGTCAAAGAATTTACCGAATTTGATCAGTCTACAAAAGTGTGACTTTTTAAACTGCTGGTGGCCTTTTTTCGTTGTCTTATTTTTTGATTGAATTTTAATTGTGTATTCGAAATCTAGAGCAGGATTCACTTTTCTTGAAATCTAGAGCAGAGTTTGAAGAACAGACTGCTTTTTTCTTGCAATTTCACAATTAGTTTTTCAGAAAAAACTATTTTAAAACAACCTTTCCGGTAGAATCAATCGATTTTTAACTTGAAATTGCAAATTGACAGAAATAATTGTCCTTTTTTGTCATGTTAGTTTCAAGCGGAGATTAATTTGATTCGACTGTTTCCAGTTTTGTCTGCGTCTACCAATTTTCCCGATATCTGTTGATGTATTTTATTTGCCAAACTTTTTTGCGGACGATTTTTGTTCTTTTCTTTCATTCTCTCAGATTTTTAGAGACGAGAAAAAAACGAAAAAGAAGAAAAATAATAGTTGCTCCTAACTCGAATTCAATTATCGTTGTTTTTCCCATTTTTTCCTCGATTTATTTCTTGAGAAAAAGAAAAAATTGGTTGAGAGAGTGAAAAAATAGCAAAGAAATTCAATACTATGAAACATAAATCAATTTGTTTTCTCAAAGAAATTTGATATTAATGGACTCTCTGTTTCTCAATATTTTCCGAAAGAAAGATCAAAAAGTGTTCATTATAAAAAATCATTATTAATATAATAGTCATTCATTTTCACTAGTGTTATTTTTGTCTCGATCGATTTTGTTGCCAGCCTGCCATTTATCTCTATGTCTCCAATTTTCAAATGTTATTTTCTCTCAATTTGTGTTTCTCTCTTTTTTTTCTGTGTGAATAAGTATATGTTTTCCACTTATTTTGGGGATTTTTCAACATTTTCTTACTAATGACTGATTTTTTTCTTTGTTCTTGTTCTATTTTTGATTCAAGTTGGTTGTTTGCGAAATGATATGGTTTCAGCTGTTTTGGTTATTTTTTGTTAAATCATGTGAAAATGTGATCTTTGAAATTTGCCGAAAATGTAACGTAATATTTTTAGTCAAACATATTATTCCCTTATTGTGTTGTGAACTCTTAAAACCTCTCATGTCTGGGGAAAAGTAATAAAAATATAAAAATAAATTTCCAAATCCTTATATCGCGTCAATTTTCTAATCTTCTTATTATATTTTCCGTTGAACCCTTCTATCATTTTTCTATTTTTACTTCCAAAATCCTAAATCGGATTTCTTTTTTCCTTCCATTCAATTCCTGGGAAGTATTAGGAAGTGCATTATCATAATTTGATTTTTCCAAGTATTTAAACGAATGAATACATCATTTATGTGCATATGTTTTGTTGCTCTTCCTTTTTCATAAGTTTTTTGAACTCGGCTCAGGATGTCTCTCTATGATTTCATTTTCCCAGACCTTGACAAAACATTGATTTTCAGATATTAGAATAACAGTTTTAGATAGTTTTTAGATCAGAATATTTTTTTCTCAATTTTCTGAATAATAATTGACGAACAGTTTTGTTTCCAAATTCAAAAGTTTTAAAATGGGGTTTCCTGACCGTAAAAAATATTATACATTTTCGTACCGGGTCTGTTTTGCACTTTGCGTCATATCATTAACGTTTCATTTTTATATGTAATTGATTGAAAAATCATATTGAAAATGAAGAAAAAACAGATCACGAACACTACATATCATCATTAGAAAAGAGAAATATATGAATGACATAAAACACATTAAACTTTAAAAAAGATCATGTATTTTATATTAGCTTCCATGTCCTTTCTTTTCTCGGAGAATTTTATCGGAATTAGAAAATCTACAAAATTCCGAGAAATAAAAACATCTGCTTCTTCTTCTATACAATTTCGTAGATAAGCTTAAAACAACTGAAAATGTCTAATCAAGATTTGTTTTCTTTATGAATCGAATGTGAGTGTTGATTGAAGCAAAACACATTCTCATCCCATCTCATAAAAAGTTCAACGTGGTTTTTTTCAATGTTTATATTTGATCAACTGTCAATTGTCTGCTGGAGTTTTTTTTTAATGTTTCTGCCAAAACGTAAAAAAATCATGAACAATAAAATAAGTTTTACAATTATGCTGAAAATATCAATAAATCTAGATGATTTATAATCATATCATATCACTTCTTTAATTGAAGAATAACTACAAAAGTTTCCCGCGCGGGCGGTTTTTTTTTTCGATTTTTCTTTTTCTCCCCATTTTTTTCCATGCAATGCAGGCAGTTTTGTCGCAATTGACCACCCACTTGTTTCACTTTCAAGTCGGCGAGTTAGAGAAACACAAAAAATTCAATTTGATCGATATGACACCGTTTGTACTCTCTTTATACATTACACAAACTTACCTTTGTTCCGTCCATCTATTTCTCTCATTTTCCAATAATCTCTGACAAGTTGTTAAACAAAGAGTACAGAAAAATCAGATGCTCACTTGGCAAGCTCGGGGTTTTTTTTTTGCTTTTCTTGCTGTAGTTTTGCTTCCTCAAATTTTCGTTTGCTTATTGAAATTATTAGCTGAATTATAATTATAGTGTCGGCGTTGAGGAAAAATAAGAAAAAAGAAAAACATAGACGCTTGATGATCACTATGTAATTAGAATATTTTTTTCGAGCATGAGACAGCTTTTTTCTTCTTTTATTATTTCTTTTTTATTTTTCTTGCCAAGATTTTTCTTTTTTTCTCGCATGAAAATTTGATTTTTCCTTTTTTTTTGAAACAAAAATCATCAAGTACATCAGACACTTGAAAGTTGTAATTCTCCAAAAATTGATCGAAATTAAATTAACAAGTGAACAGGCCCCATTTGTAGTTGACACACGGGCACAAAATGATGGGACCTGCTTTTTCGAAAAAGAGTCTTATTAAAATTATGTGATAACAGGCTTCCCCATAATTTCAATTACTCACTTGAAAGTACCCATACAAATTTAGGTCTGACTCAGAAATTGGTCCTCACAGAACCATTTCCTGTCTCCACTTTTATTGAATCTGAACTTGATTCCTATTTTACGTTACTTCAATTTTTCAAAAACGCAATTTTGATTGGATTGAAATCAAATTAACAAATCTTCTTGCAATTTTTCAAAACCTAATTCCAATCTTGATCTTGCCTATGTTCTTCATTCTTATCAACAACATGTTTTATATCATCACCGCCTGTAGTCTCTTCCTATTCATGTTTTTTCTCCGTCGTTTCGCCTTCATTTTACAGCGTTCCCTTTTAGGAATCATAAAATATTTTGATTCGTATTTTTGGAGAATCTTTTTTTTTTCTCGAAAAAAAATGAGAGAAAACTGATTCTGAATCATATCACTCACTTGATCTTTCTGGATTTTTTGTGAAAGCAAGCAAGAAAAATATTCTTTCGCCCATCATGTTCTCGCGTCAAAGATCACTTTATACATATATATGTATTTTTGAAAAGAAGAAGAAGAAGAAAATAAGAAAAATAGAAAAAGAAGGAGTAGATGATGCACTTTTTCACACACAACGATAAAATCTATTGTTTCTTCTTCTTCATTTTCATCTTCTTCTTCTTCTTCTTCGTCTTCATTCTTATCCTCCAATTTTCGCATCTCTTTTTCTTAACAAATGATCTTTCGAAGATTTGATCGATTTTTCCCAATTTTCAAAAACTATTAAACGTGTCGTTTCGTGTCGAAGAATTTTTGAAAAACAAACATTGCTGTTTCAAAAAAACACAACATTCCACACTCATCCAAAGTCCAAAAAAACCTTTTCTCCTCATTTTTCACAGGAAAAGAAACCACATTTAAAATTCGTGTAATTAATCATTCCGTGTGCTCAACTAACTTTTCTCCCTCCTTCTTTGGAACACGTTGTGTTGTAGGCAAAAATGTGCTATTTCAGAAATCACTACGTCAATCAAAAAAACCACATACACTTATTCCCGATCAAAAAAATGTGAGTTTCCATTCGAATACTTCCGTTCAATGATTTAATTAAGAAAATATAATTGAATTGTGTGTAAGTGTAGTCGAGTAATATTCAAAGTACAACAAATGAGATCAAAATCTCAGATTCTTAGAATATGATTCAAAAAATATACACACATATTATATCTAACATCATTTTCAGACTGTCATATGCAGTCTGAACACATGATCACTAATTGTGTCACTTTTTCTTGAGTTATCGCCTTTTTCCATAGAAAAAGTACAAACAACAAAATTGTTGATCCATACATTTTTCCGAAAAAGTGCAAACTTGTGTAATTCCCAAAAGTTTTCTCCTCTTCCATTTTCGAAAAAAAATAAATGTGTTTCTCTCTCTTCCTTTTCTGAAAACAAATCATAACATCGTGTAAAATTGTTTTTTTGTGTCTTCTTCTTCTTTCTCCATTCTTTGGACCCTTCTTCTAAACAGTCACCCTCATGTTTTTTTCTATTTGCCTTTTTTGGTTTTTTGTGCTCTTCTTTTTTCCTCGTCGTTTTTTTTATTTTCCATACATTCTATTCCATTCCATTCGATTGCAATTTCTATGGTCCAAGTAGTTTTCTTTCTTTTTCTTCCCAACTTCTCTTTTTATGGAGCAACATCGGCGGCCTTCTTCTTCGTCTTCTTTTTTTTCTTTCGTTTTTTTTTTCTTTCTTGCTTCATTCCCTTCTGCGCACCATTTGGCCCCGCCCTAAAACGGAGAGCTCACTGAGCAACGACGAGAGAAACTAAAAAGGCGAAGACGGCAGGCACGTGTATGTGCTTAGCTTCAGTTTTTTGCTCAACTAACACTGAATAAAACTAAACTACTAAAAATTGTTTCTACTCTGACAAATTCTATTCATCTTCATCATTTCCATTTCTATATTATTCTATTACTATTTTATTTCATTTCAAAACGTTTTTCAATTTGAATTTAATTGTTCATCTTCATCATGCATGTTTTTTATAGTATGAACGGTACTCTGGCCGATCAACTACAGAGTCATTTATCAGCAACATATGGATCAAATATGATGGGTGGTCAACGTTCAGCAAGTGGTAATGGATCCGATGATCATTCTGGCTCTCAACAACAATCATTATTTATGAATGGTACAACGGCTTCAGTTTCAAATTCAAATGGATCTGGCGAGAAATTCCCATCTTACAAAAGAATGGCACAACGTAAGGATTCTTGAAGTCTTAGATTTTTATTTGGCTGCTTAAAATGTTTTCGAATCATCAAAAACTGATTGGTTTCAAATCAACAATTATTAATTTTTTTGCAGGTCGAAAAGTACCCGAAGGCGAACTTTGTGCAGTCTGCTCGGATCTTGCTACAGGATATCACTATGGTGTCGCAAGTTGTAACGGATGGTGAGCGCAATTTCCTTAAACTTCAAAGATCGCTTCTACATAGTTTCGAATTTCTCTCTGCCTTCCAACAAAAAACCCATCTCGAATTCCAAACACAATTTTTCTTGCTTTTCGCACAGAAAACAACACGAGAACCGCCAGGGCGAGAAAATATTTCGTAAAGTGAAAATGCACTTTTTTGCGCCTCTCTAGTTTTTGTCAATCAACCGAAAAGAAGAGGCACTTTTTTTCTGACAAATAAAAAAAAACAACAAGATGGTTTTGGATGTGTTGGCTTTACCCATTTTTTAGAGATTTTGACTGGGAAGGATTTTTGTTTTACTTAAAATGAGAAAAAGCGCCTCATAAAATTTGATTAACATATAGAAAACAAAGAAAATAATAACAACATGTTGTTTTAGCAAAACCTTCTTCCGCCGAACAATTGTCAGTGAACAGACATTCATTTGTCAATATAATGGAAATTGTGATGTTAACAAAAGTGAGTTTATGAAACTATCATTCTAGGGATCCTAATTCTTAATCTGTAATCAAGATTTTTAAGAATTCAAAAATCTGTTGTTGAATTCCTATTTTTCGGCTTAATCCACAACCATGTCACACTTTTGATTAAACAAGAAAAACATTTTATTTTTCATTCTAAAAGTCAGAAAAGTTGATGTTTGATCCAATAATCTTTAAGACAATCTATTTTCAGATATTCGATGCGCTTGTCGACATTGCCGATTCAATAAATGTTTGCTGGTTGGAATGGATGCGAAAGGTTAGTTTCGGTTCCAAAATCAAACAAAACACAAAGGGAAATCCCCCTCCCCCTCTTCCAAAAAAAAGAGACCAAAAAATGAGAGTGCGTCTGTGTGTAAAAAATTCAATTATTTATTCGAGCGATTTTCGACCACTCAAACACAGAATAAAATAATATAGATGTATTTTTTGAACTATTACATAGACATGTTTACATTTCTCCCTCCCAATGAATGAAATTTAATTGGGAGGATGTGTGGATGGATGTGAGGAGGAAAAATAATGACATCAACAAAATGATTCTGATCTTTGAGTTGAGTGAGCAAAAAAGGAGAATGTAGCGTTTTTTTGGGTGAATCGTAGAACAGGCCCCCACCAATGTCATTTTAAGCCCCCACTAGTCAGACATATTATAGGTCCCCACCTTATTATGGTCAGAAATCTTGTTGGTGGGGACCTAAAATTAAGTTGACACGTGGGGGCTCAAAATGATAGTGGTGGGGACCTTTTTTCCGAAATACCCTATGATCGAAATAAAAGCCCCCAACTCTATTAAAATTATGTGAAAATAGACCCCCACATACAAATATAAGTCCCACCCCAATACAGGCCCCCATCCAAAAATAAGTCCCCACATAGTCATTTTAGGTCCCCATTTCCATTGAGTGGGGACTCGGTGGGGACTTTTACTTGTTGGTGGGGACTTACTTTGAGGTGGGGGCCTATTCTGCGATTCACCCATTTCTTTCTAGGTTCTATGGAAAAAGTCCAATTGTTGTCGAGCGGCGAAAAAAAGAGAGAGAAAAATGCTCTTTCGATTTTTGTTCTCTGTTCAGATTTATTGCCTTGAGATGTTTGGTGTCAATAAAAAGAAACACATTTTTCTGAAATCACCCAATAAAGCACAGAATAACGGGGAGCACATATACATAAACATAGTGGAAAAATATATACCAATTATTTTTGCAGCAATTCAAAATGATCGTGATCGCATTGGCCCGACGAAGAAGATTAAAATGAGCAGTGGATCAGATGATGAGCAAGCAGTTACACCACATCGATTACAAGATCAAGAAATTATCGATCAATTAACACAAGTCGAAGGTTTATGTCAGGAATTGCGAAGATGTATTATTCCTGATGTTACTGGTGTTACACACGCTCTCACATCACCGTGTTTATTATTCGAAACAACCGAGTTGAAAATTGATGTGAGTTTGGTACGCTAATTTTGGGTATTTTTTGAGGTCACTAACTGGTTTTTCTATCGCTTTTTAGCTTATAGTGTCAGAACTGTTCCCTGTTACTGAACGAAATTTTGTTAGATGTGTTTTTTGTTGTTAATTGTCAGTTTGCTTGTTGGCATCAGTTGTTTTTGCAGACGAGTACTGTATTCAAAGAACTTTATCCGGCGTCGATGAATGATATTCGAATGTGGAATATTCGAGAAATGCGGATTTGTATTGAATGGGCAAAAACATTTGATGTCTATCAACGAATGAATTTGTTTGATCAATTCGCGTTGGTTCGTAATTTTGCATTTGCCTTCAATTTGTTGAATCGAGTATTTTATTCACCTGATCATGGCCCAGACAAAATAGTATTTCAAAATGGCGCTTTCATTATGCGACAACCTCAACAACAGGTGCAATTATCAGGTTGTCGACCAATTTATACACGTCAAATGGATGAAATTATGATTCCATTCCGAAAACTTCAGCTGAATGTATCTGAATTTGCCACATTTAAAGCTGCACTTTTCTTCAATCCAGGTAGATCAAAATACACTAGAACAACTAGATTATGATGTGATAAATTTTCAGATGCTCTTGATCTTTCTCCAATCGCAAAAGTTGAAGTTTTTGAAGAGCGCAATAAATATTTGGGAGCTTTATTCACATGTATCACACAAAAACTCGGTATTCCAAGCGGTGTTCAAAAATATGGTAGTCTTTTGATGATGACCGCTTCGATTCAGGTAAATTCAATATTTTAAAAGACGTGAATATTTTGTAAGAAAAACATCTTGTTTTCAGAACATTTTGGCACAAAATGAAGAGAATATGCAAGTAATGGAGCTGTTCAAAAATTGGGAAGTCGATCCATTCGTCAAAGAACTTTGTATGAAACGAGCATAAAATTATCAAAGCTTTCTCTTCTCATTGTATATCTGTCATTTACAAGATCTCCATTCTGCATTTTTCTCTCTCCATCATTTTCAAAACAGTTAAATCTATATTATTTTCTTGGAAGTCAATTTTCTCTCTCACTCTCTAGTGTAAATATATTCCGGAAATTGTGATAAATCAGTCAAAACATTCTAGTAGGGCTTCCCGTTTTCTCCTTCTCATATTTTTTTTTTTTTTTTTCTGAAAAAATGAAATCCCGTGCCATCTGTTATGTATCGAAAAAATAAAAATTAACACAGAGAGATTAATTGGAAAAATTAATTGAAACAACGAGATATATACATACAGTTTTCTTGTCCTTTTTTCAATAAATTCGATTTGTAGATTACCAATTGCTAGATTTTCAAATTCAAACATTTATTGTCTTTTTTACCCTATTCTTTATTTGTCCTAGAAGTACTCCTTTTCCTAATTCTACTGGTAATGTTTTATTTGTTTTTTTTTCCATACAAATCTTCATTTATGATGTTTTCATTATTTTTGGATTGAATAGTAGGTATAATTTAAAGAAAACTTGTGAGAAAACTATGATTATTCTATAACGTCATACCTCCCATTCTTTTTGTCTGAAAATTTTGTATGATTTATTTATATTGATTGGTGTAGTTTTGTTTGGAAAATCAGAAAAAAAACTCTATTTTTGTGTTGTTTTTCAAATTGAATAAAATAAATGAAATTTTTTCTTGCAATATTGTTTTTCACATGATTTTTCTATTGAGAAAATAGTGCACTTTAGGTTAAAAACTGAGGGAAATATAATTAAGGGCCAACTTGATTATTGGTGTTTTATTAAAAGGGTATGATTATATTTCCGCAATATGTAATCAAAAGTCTTTAATTATGTTGGCTAGAACAAGACAACAAAAATGAGGAGGAGGAAATAAAAAAATATATAAGAAAAAAAAAGAAAAAAACTTCGCAGCGAGCAGGGTTCGAACCTACGCGGGCAATGCCCAATAGATTTCAAGTCTATCTCCTTAACCACTCGGACATCGCTGCTGGCGATGGAAAATGCAAAGAATTGCAAATAAATAACCAACACTATGTGTGTCTGTTTCACTCATTCCCTGTCTCTCAAATAAACACACATGCATAGAATTTCACTCATATGACCGCTCAATTTTCACTTTTCAACAGATAGATACTATTCCTTAGGATGTTGTGTGTGTCTTGTGTGAAATCAAAAAAAAAAGTTTAGTGTAATAAAATGGGACAAAACGAAAGGAAGAAGAAAGCTAGAAACACATGCTCGTGGGAGGTTTTGAAAAAACGAAAAGAGCATACGTATACATTTTGAGATAAAAATAATATTATAATAATAATATGAAATGGTTGGTTGTATTTCTATATTATTCAACTTTTATTTCTGCAACTCCACATGTTAATAGTCTACGTGATATTTTAACTTTTCCATTTGAAGGTTATTTTTTTTATATATTAGCCACAGTATTCTTTTAATTGAACTACATTCTAGCCAACACTCCTTTCTGTGGTAAAATGAGCAATTTTTGGTCCGAACTTATAGAAATTTACAAAATCTCAAGTATTTCCACATCCGAGTATAACCTAGCTTTTAACAAAATCTGAATAAAAATTGTCAATTCCCCTTTCAAACTTTTCCCGAAACTAATTTTACCATTTTTAGGCACTGAACCTTTAACTGGTGGAAAAACAGTAACATCATCATCAATAGAAGCGCATACAAAATATGGACGATTAGTTTTATATGTTCACAAGGACAAATCTGTACCAACTCGACAAAATCTTATGAAATGGGTTAGAAGTTACAACAATAGGAAAAAGCATCAAGGAGTTGATGACATTGTTTTCTCACCATATTATTATAAGAATACAGTCGATTTTATCAATGAAACTGGAATCGACACATTCCCAAATTTGATATATTTTATCGGTGATCATTATGAAGTTTTCAATGAAGATGTTACAAACGAAGTTGGTTTTGTGGGAAAATTGATTTGTGTATGGTTAATTTTTATATTTAGATTCGTGTGAATAGTTGGTTCGAAAAACTAGACGAAGTTGTTGTTTTACAACCTCAAGATCGTCGTTCTTTGGATCAAATTATGTCATCAACCAAAAATTGTTCTAACACATATCTGATGATTGGTGACCGGTCAGGGTGTGATATCGAATCTTGGTCAAACATAGCAAGGTTTCATTTTCCAAGGATTACAATTTGTCATTTTACATTTCCAATTTACAGAGTGCTTCATAGATATGGAATTCAAACAGTCAAACTAAAACTACCTCTAGAAATCATGTCTCATATTTCTTTATATCGTCGTCTATCATATTTGGATGAGAATTCATGTGAATTTGCAGTCCTTTTACATAAGAATAATTTCACAGTGTTCGAGGATAATATATCACCAAAAAATGTGAGTTTTTTATATATATATACATATAAATAATGCGAAGATCTGAATAATTTATCATTTGATAGAGATACTTCGAACGTGCAAAATGCAAAAAAAAGTTGTTTGAAACTAGAATTTTTCTCATAAAAATGAATATTTATAGGATATTTGAAAAAGATGTTTGAAAAACTGAGGGCTTGAGAAGCCATCGGTGGATCCTGTTTTGAAATTAACTCAAAAAAATGATTTTGCAGATTGAAAAATGGGTGAAAAGTTGGATGCTGGATGCCAACGATGCGAAATATTGTCCAATAATGCCTGACTATCTTCAAACTGAAATCAAACCAGAACTAACGGAACTTGAAGATATATATTTCACATCAGAAGTTGAATCAGCAAAAAAGAACAAACGGATAGAATTTATTTTAGTAGGTTTAACAGGAGGATTGGCAGTTATTGTTTTAGCATATTCTATTTTCTGGGGTTTGAATGGTTCAGCTTTTGCTAAATCATAACACTCAATTTTTATTACATTTTTTGTTGATTTATTTACGTGTATTTTGATCTCATTTATGAACAGTTTATTTGATTTTTATTTTTAGTTCGTGCAAATTATTCCAACAAAAAATGAAAACATGAATAAATTAGAAAAATATACTTTTTCCTGAGATTAAAAGTACAAAAAGTGAAGCAAAATATTTAAGGTTAAGTTGTGAGGATGACATTGTGATAATTCGGAGGTTGTTACTGCCTGGATATTGTCCTGGTATTATGTATTCATTTTCTTTACTTGATTGTTGTTTTACACCAGCTAATCGGGTAGCTTTTTTGGTTGTTCTTGATATTGGAACTGGCGTTGTGGTCAGTGGAATAATGCGTTTCAATTTGACCTTAAGCATAGGTATATTTTTATAAAACTATCTAAGCAAGTAAGAAACAACGTTACCTCAACATATGGTGATCTATTACGATGTGTCACCTCAACAGACAACGATTGTGGGTGATAATCCGTATGATCAAAAGTTAATTCATATTTTCCAATGTTCACCAATCTCCAAAATTCACCACTTCCATAACTTACAACAATTTTTGATTGATCATCAATGCTGATTGTTGCGTTCACAATACCTCCCCCAGTATCTTCATCAATTATCACACCGTGGATAGCTTCATGAATCAGTGAGATGAAATTCAGGAGAGTATACTTGTTTTCTTCCCAAAGATATTGCAATCGGTTTTGATAAGGGAACTTTTCACAATTCATTTCGACAGTGACTTCAAAACAATTGGTGTGCAAATAATTCCAATCTTGCATTCCACCAGCAACAATGTACCTGTAAAACATTGATTTGTTTTTAATTTTGAATTATTTCTAAAAAAAAAGAGCATACCAATCAGCACCATTAATAATACCATTTTGTGGGTCAACTGCAATATTCAATTCCTCATTCAAACATCTTGGTCCCTTCTTCCACATTCTTTCATGTCCTCGAGCATATGAATATGCCAATCGAACAAATAATGCATTATCAGGAGAGGGGGAATAATTATGTTGTTTGTTTCGAGTTGGATAATCATCGAACGGGTAGTTTACTGAAAAAAATTAAAAAATATATGAGACATTTCAAGATGTAGTTACCCAAAGTTGTTCCTCCGTGAAGATTTGCAGATAAAATGAAAGGAACATGTCTCGTCCAATTCATAACAGCAATAGTTTCTGGTTGAATACTGCTTGTTGGGTAATAATTTGGGAATCGGCTAGGGAAATTTCTGTTCAAGTCCAAACCGTTTGAATTTTGTCTTCCGACGACGTGAGAATGATCTCCCTCTTGTGCGATTTCATATCTAGAATAAATTGTTTTAATAAGCCAAATTAGAAGAATTTTTTAGAGTGTTTCAAAGAACTTTTCGAGAATTCTATAAAATAATTTTTGTTTAATATCTTAACATTTGAATCTCGGAGTAATTCATGGATGTTGATCGGATTTATTGACAGAAAATGTGTTCATTTCTTCTTCACAAAACTTACCCATCTGGATTCATCGATGGCATCAAATGTATTCTTGTACTATCCATAAGTTTGTGAATCCATAAATTTTGATTATAATTATGCAGAAGTACCCAAGCAAGTGAAAGTAGGAAAACTCTACCCGTAACCTATAATTTTTTTATTGAAATCACATTTATCACGTTTTGAAAACTACAAACCTCGTTTCCATGCATATTTGCGATATATTTGAACTCGGGAATATTTTTATGATGCTCTTTGGCGTATCTCGAAACTACCAACACCCACAACTCTCTTCCTTCAACACTTTGTCCGACTGAATAAACATGTGTTAGATTTGGAAATTGTTTGTTCAAGCTGAACATGTAATCAGTCATCTCTTGATAATTTCGATGAATATGTTCATCGGGATTCAAAAAAACTCCAATTTTTCGTTGAAGTTGTTGCAGTGTATGGATCTCACCCTGATGGGTAAATTGATTTATAAGTTCCTGAAAAATGAAAATATAAGTTTAAAAATTTTCGAAAAACTTTTTACCTCTTCTTCTTTCTCTGCAGCCCTTGAACTTCTGACATCTTGAAAACAACAACACAAAAGAATCAAAACTAGAATTTTCATCGCATGAGATTTCTGAAAAAAAAACTTGACATGTGAAAAAAGTTTTGGGGTTTTTTTTTCAAAAAGTAAACGAAGATGGATGAATGGGTAGTCCCAAAAGGCAAAGAGAGCAACACAAAAAAATATAATTTGCGGTCGAGTTTGTAGTATTAGTTACGGATATGAGCCAATTATTTGTAAGATGGGGAGGAGAGCAAAATGTCCAGTGGGGATAATATAATTCGACGTTTAACAAATATACACTTTTATGGGTGTTGTGAAAAATAGATGTGTTTCTATGAGTGTTGAAAATATCGTTTTCAAAGCAACCAGCAATAAAATTTTTAACTGGGAAAAACTGTGACTTGGGAACATTGGTTGAGTACTTCTACTTAAATTGGGTCACGCGAGTAATTTTTGATATTTTGAAATTAACTGGACTGATACTAATGATAATGATTTCGAAATTTGATTTTTAGGATCATTTTAAAATTGATGTGTAATATATTTCTAATCAGTAAGTTAAATTATGAAATTATTATCATAATAAAATTGCTTGCCAAGAGTCACATTAGATATAGACTGGCCAAGAAAAATACATCTGAAATTTTGCTCAAGGCTCATTTCAAATAAAATATTTTTGTTTTTCAAAATTCAAAAAAAGGGTTCGTGAAAAATAAGAAAAACGTTTTTTTTTGCAATTTTCCACGTCAATTCACATTTTTCCAAACAGGAAATCCGTTAGGGTAAATTGAAAAAATCGGAAAAAAAGGAATCAACCATATTCAAAGTTATAATTAAGTGTGGCTATTATCAAAAAATAGCATGTGTCATCAAATTTATGAATGAATAGAAAGGTAGAAATAATAATGAAAAATAAAACTAATACCAAAATTGAATAGAAAAAAGGAAGAAGAAGAAGAAGAAGAAGGAGGAAAGGAAAGGACAAAACACATCAAAAACACTGCCAGTTTTGGAAAAGGTGTGAAATTTGAGAAACTTGACGTAGGTGACGCTTACGTAAAGCATTTTGCTATTTAATACACAACTAATATTAATTTGAAAAAGTGCTACATATTCTATGGGAATATTACTGAAGATAAAACGTTTAACCGACTCAAACATCTGGTTGGTCTGGTGTTCAACAATTTATCTTTTACTTGCACAAAAATGACCCGCTGGTCCAATGTGCGCGAAGAAATTGCACTTTTATTACGACATTTCATTTGTTGTTTTTTATTTTTTTTTTCGTGGATGGGTTGAGAATTTTAATAGCGCTAGAGAAGAGTATAAAATGAGTAATTTCATGTTCTGACCATTTATGTCGAATACAATGGGGTGGAGAATTGTGATAGATAATTTCAAAAACTGATGCAATTTTCAATGAAAAAATAGACTGAAGGCCTGGAGTTCGAGTTTCGGGCTTTTAGCCTAACTTATTTCTCTGAAAATGATAACATGCAAAAGTAGATGATCTCATGAAAAATTGTTTTTAAAAAATCCAATAACTCAAGAACGACAGAAACAAAAATAATGAGAATAAATGTAATGAGCTCCCATGAATTTTTGGATTTTTGAAAATTTCGAACAAAACAAATTTTACTCGTGTTTTTCTACATTTTATGCTTCTTCATAAGCTCATGATTTTGTTTAATTCTTCAAAATTATTATGGTCCGAACTATAACAATATAGTATTTTTGAAAATTTCGATAATTATTTGAAAAAATATTTTCCTCCTGTTTCTTTTGGATAATCTAGACAACTTTCTTAGTTTTTTTCGTCCAAGATTTTCAAAAATCCTAGATCCCATGAAGAAAAAAGGTCAAGTTGTTTTCTGATATGAGATCAAAAGCTATATCTCTCAATTTCATCAATTTCCAAAATGCCACTAAAAATTAGCACTTTTGCTTCCTATCATCAAAAAAACAGTCTATATTTTTCAATTTTTTTTGAAAAACAAACAATCAAAAATGCCTCAATTTTTCTCTATTTCAATAAGCGTCACTTCTCATGAATTTTTCATGACTCACGTGAAAATAGAAACAAAAAGCATGGGAATGGAACGCAATGAAATTTTGAACAGCGAAAAGCAAAAAATAAAATAAGAATAAAATAACATATTTTCAAGAAAGACCCTAAAATTGAATTAGATTGGACTCTCTTATACAATTTAGTAGTATAAGAATATAACAATTCGGATTTTTGAACAAAAAAAAATAATTGAATGGGCAGCTGGTGAAAAATTGTCTGTTCAAGTTTTTGGTATTAATTTTGTTATTTGCATAAATAATGGATTAGTAATATCATAAACAGAGTTATTTGTCTTTTATTTATTTTTGTTTTTTGAAAAAAAAATATTTGTAAAAGGTCATACTACACGTCAAACTATTCTATTCATGAAGAGTGAAGTTTCTCAACATCATCAATAAAAAATTAGAAGTGTGATAAAATATTCTTGTCAGAGATGAAAATGAGAGATTTTTGACTGACTTCCTTTGAAAATATTTTAAATTTTATTTGGTTGAAAAAACACTTGAGAGTATCCCATTTCATTTTCAGAATTCAAAAATTCAGAATAATATATCTTCAAGAAAATACAACTAAAAACACAAAACTATGGTTCCAAATGTAATTTTTTCCAAAAATTCAGAGAAAAACAAAATTAAGTCACATCAGAACATCATTTTACTTCCACTTTTAGAAACGTCAGCGTAATTTTCAACCACAAAACTCAGACCTCCTGTAGAACTCCGCTGAAGAAAAAACAAAGATGTGTGAAATAAAAAAAGAGTTGTGGAGCAGACAAGGTCACTTAATCAAGAAAAAAAGAGGAGAAAAAAAAGATTCAACAGGTCCAATCAGAGAGACGAAAAACTCATTTTTGTCTCTTTGATGAACAGCTGCAAAATCGTGTACATCCATCAAAATGGCAACATTTTGAACATTGCGAAAAGGGCTTTCAAGTTGGATATAATAGGCAGATAATTGTGTACGCGGGGCTTTTTAATTGGTGAGTAAAATAGGGTGTGTGAATGATGAAATGGTGTCAGGAAAAAAAAAAGAAGGGAAGAGTGAGTGAGTGATTGGTGGTTTGGGGTGTTGGTGATGGGTGAGAAGAAAAAGAAGGGTGTCTGGCATATCGCTTTTATTGGAGCAACACAAAGTGTAATGAGAAATGGTTCAGAAAAGTCAATTGCGTAAACTATTCGAGAAAACATTTTGGAATCACCAGACGCGCGTGATTTTTGACACCTTTATTGGATTATGAACACTTGTGGTCTGCGAGTATTTTTGTTTGGAGAACGAATTATTTTGTCAATTGCCGCGGGAAAATGCTTATTGGGAGTGGTATTAGTGAATTGAATCCATGTATATCATAGAAAAGATGAAAAGTCAGGAATTCCAGAAGTTTTGCATGAAAAAAAACATGGATCGTTTTTTAGCTCTATGGAAAAAAAAACCGTTGTAAGTTTTGAGATATGATTTTTTTGTATTTTGTTTTGAAACAATTTATAAATGTTTCCGGAAATGAAAAATTCAAAACTTATAAAGTTTCTATTAAAAAAAAATATGACGTTTTTTGTTGCAACTTGTGAGTATGTATTAGAAATTTGATATTGTTTCATTAACTCATAAGAGCACAGTGTTCAAAAATGTTCTTGATCTATTTTTTCGTAAACTTTGAGAAACATAATACTGCGAGAATCAGAAAAGGCTTAATATCAGTTTCTGAAATGTGAAATCTCGATATCCATATTTTCTAAAATTCCTAATCTGCTCACTGTGAAAAAAATTATTCATTTGAATTTCGGCTAATTTCAACCTGAAGATTACCAGAATTTAAAAAATTTTAATAATTGTTCGTCAATAATTAGTTGAAGTTTTGAGCAACTACGGGTTATTTTCTATATTTTCAAAATAGAAAAATATAACAAAATCATCATTAAAATAATAAAAAAAACCCAACATCCTGTGATAACAGTTTTTTTCTAAGAACCAGAAAAAAAATTCTTAGAAAAAAACTGTTATCAGTATGTACTTGCAATTCTAAAAACATCGATGTTCAAATTTAATAATCAATCGTTCAATCAAGTGCACCATGTGTTTTTCGAAAAACGCCATAAAAATATGGCTCCATTATTCTTATCATTTAATTTCATAAATAGTCGCAACATTGGTTTTTCGACAAAGATTATGATTTCACTGCAATGAGTTGTTTTCTACCATTTTCATAGGATTATCCCTACAAAGATTTTAAATTTTGGTATCGTTTTTTCAGACAACTTGCGTCATCCAATGAAAAATAAGTGGTGCAAGCTTAACTTTTTCTTTATCTTTTCGAAAAATAGTTACTAATAAGTCTATAAATGTAGGATGAAAAATAATTTATAAATAAGCCAAAACCCACAAAATCATTTAAAGAAAGCTGTCAGAAAGTGGTCAAATAAAAAACAATATCAAATTTGTGTAAAAATAAAATGGTTTCCCTCAAAAATTGTTCGTTTAGTTAAATGGAAAATGAAAAAAAAAACAAAGAATTTTTCAAAAATAAGAAAAGAGGTTGGGGAGAGGAGATCAACATTTGACACAAACTGCAAATTTGTCTCATTTTTTGCATTTCTCGTTCGTCGAGTTGTTGTTGTTGATGTTTTGGTTAGTTTTGGATGGTAATAGAAAATATTCTCGAAAATAATCGTGCGTTGAATTCTCGCCTCGAAGTCGCATCACCCCCTTTTCCTGAAAATTTTGAAATTGTTTTTCTTAGTTAGGCTAAACTTGATTTCTGTAAACTTACAATATACTCGTCGGCTTCTTTCATCATTTCAATACTTTTTTGAACATACTCCGGTCGTAGGTACTGAAGGAAAAAAAATTTAAATGGTTTTAAATTTGAAATTTGAATTTTACCTCTTGGTTTTCTAAAAGAAGTCGCTTGGTGTGAAAGAATTTGTCGTATTCGCTGTTTCGTGGAAACTGTAATTATAAATTTGGAAATTCAGCCAGTGAAAATTTTTTATTTTTTTGGGAAATCAAAGGTCGGGGAATCTTCAGGTTCATTTTTTAACACCTTTCATTCCCAAACAATTCCAAAACTCACATGTTCATATCCGTGAGTTGACGACGAAGAAGAAGAAGAGGAAGAAGAAGACATGTTTTAAACAGAAAGTTAAACTGAAAAAATATTTTTTTCGAAAAAAAAAATAAAATAAATCGGATGAAATCAAGATTTTACTTATGTTGAAGTCAGAAGATTAGCAGAGGGAGAGATTTACAAATTATTCAACGTTCAGACTGAAAAAATGGACTACATAACATACATATCTTCAATCATAATAGGAAAACTGAAAAATGTAGTTCCTAGGAAATAGTTAGAAAAATATTTATGATTTGGTGATGAACAACAAAAAAATAAACGAAATCTAGATCCGAATAGATCCCTAATCTTTTTAAAAGTTACGACTTGAACGTCATCAGTTTCTTCGAAGGAGGAACATGCGTTATCAGTGTAAACTTTCAAAAATCTCCAGAAACAAAACAAATGACGTTGAGACAAAATTAAAATTTGGTGCACAGCGGGGGAGTCGGAGGCAAAAACCAGGAAGTGGGTGTCAGAACAATTTTTAATGCTCACTCAAGTTCATGAAAAATCTCAAAAAACAAGGTAGTACATAAAGGTAGAGTAATTAACTAGACATTAAATATGAGAAATAAATAAGTTGGTTCGAGGAAAAAGTGGAAAAAGAATACAATTTTATAACACATTAACTAATAACTTATTCACATGGAAAATTAATCAAAAAAGTTCGCCTTGGTTTTATTATAATTGGATCATTTAAAACTATATTCTAAATGTAAGCTTGAAAGTTTTTCCTGTGAGATATTGAATTCCAACATTTTTCCTAAAAGAATTCCAAAGTTACATAAAAACATTTCGTAATAATAAAAAATTCGGAGAAACATCCGTAAAATTATGAAATAAACTTTTTTCGGATTTTTATGGAAATATTTTTTCAATGTCAGAGGAAGAATATTTTGGTTTTTATTTTTTGGTAAACTTCAACATGAGAAATATTTTGATAAAGTTATGAATCAAAACAAGAGGAAATAAACAAGACAGGTGATGTCTAGAGGGTATTGCTATCACTTGAGAGTAATTTGTTAATTTGGATAATTAGGAATCTTTTGTCTGTTGTTACATGCCATTTTTTTTGGTTTTTGAGGCATCACGTAATCGGAAAATTATGGGGAAAATGGGGAAATTCAAGAGAGAAAGTCTAATAAAATAATAACGATTTTTTAATAGGAACTCCCACATTTTTGTATTTTGAACATTCAAAATATCATATCTAAAAATCAGAAAATGAATTCAAATTCAGAAAACCAGAAATATGTCTACTGATTGTACAAATTGAAAACTTCACTATAATAATGAAAACTATTGTATTTTCAGTGGAATAATTTCTATCCTTTCAGACCATCATAAGCTTTTTTGAAATATCTGAAATTATGTGAAAACATCAAAGAAAACTAGTATAAGGATGTCTGATGAAATTTATCTGAAAAAAAATTAAATCCCACACATGAATCTATGAGAAAGAGGAAAAGTCAAATAGGAGAACCACCACATTTTTGTATTTTAAATATTTAATAAATTATCACCTTGTAATCTGAAAATAAATGTAAATTCAGAGAACTCACACCAGAACACTCGTACCAAGACGGCAGAATGAGAGATTTCAAGGAAAATGATCAAAATTGTATTTTTGTAGCGATTGTATTCAAAAAACATTTTCTACCACAATTTCAACTCTTTTTAGACCAATCATGAACTTTCTTTACATAGTCTTTCTTTAAATAGAAACACGAAAAAAAAACAAGAAAATGGGGACCTTTTACAAAAACTATAAGGAGTACTATCTGGAAAAAAACAATTCTAAATTTTGTTGATCTGGAAGAATACTTTTGTTATCACCTTTTTGAAAGTTCGAAAGTTCAAATCAATTCAAATAACTGACACAATAACAGTCCTACCGAAAGAACATAATGATACATTTTGGAAATAAACACTTTTGTATGTAGTTTTGCCTCATTGTGTCCTGAAAACATTAAAAAATATATATAAAAAAACCATAGAAAACTTCAAAACAAATTTGGAAAAAAGTTGAACATTAAAATTATTAGATCTATAAAAATCTTGAAATTTACGTCAATTCAAATAAGTTAAAGCTTTCAACAATGATAATATCATATCTGAAAAATATAAATTCAGAGAACTCACACAAGAACATTCCTATAAAATGAACGGGGTTTTTTCCTCTGAAAATGAACAAAATTGTATTTTTGTAGCGATTGTATTCAAAAAACATTTTCAACCACAATTTCAACTCTTTTTAGACTAATAATCAGATTGCTATAGTGGAAAACACAGAACTGAATGTGAGAAAAAGTTATTCCGAGAAAAATGATGAAGAAGAAACACTGGAAAAGAACCTTGAAAAAATTTAATTTTGTTGAGCGATTTTTCTTTCGTATTCACCATGAGTTTTTTTTGATGAAAAAGTTATATCTAATGGGTTTTTTTCTGGATATTGTGAAAAATATGAAGATTTGAAAATTCCGAGTTTCATGAATTTGGTAGTGTGAATTTATTAAATTTAAACGAAACTTTTTGATTAATTTTTGAAAAGTTTCACACGTTGTTTGGAGTTCAGATTCTCACCAACTTGCCAAAACTTATTTGAATTTTTTATTTTCTAGATTTTTTTTAGAATTATTACATTTTTTGTTCTCAATAACCACTTCAGTATTGAGCACTATTCCAGAATATATATGGCATCTTGAGTAATTTCAATTTTCCGCCAAGTCTTTCTCAATGTAGCTCCACCCACAGGTCCGAACTAGTGTCGAAAACTGAAAAAAAATTTAACACTGTCTTTTTTCATTTGTCAGTAGAAAAATCGTATTTCTCAGATTGAATTTTATTTTTTTTTCTCGTCTTGAACCCCTGTTTTTTCCACCAAAAATAAAAATAAGAAAAGCCAATCAAAAAAATTCATCTCATAAATTTTCGTCACTGCTTATTGAACAAAAATAAATAATTCTTCGAGATTTGTTTATAAAATTAAAGTATACGGTAGCTTTTCAGGTTGATGGATGGTTCTTTTTATATCTTTCAACGAAATTGAAGCATATAAAATATTACGATGTGGTGTTAAAATCCCATAAAATCGGAAAAACCACAGTATACTGAAATATGTTTGGATAGTTTAGAATTGCAGGATTGTAAATGGTGTTCTTGGAAAAAGTAATACGAGTATTTTTTGTTCAAATGAAATAAGTTTTGGAAAATTATTTCTAGTCAAAAACTTATTCAAATTGCCGCCAGGACTTTGCAGAAATGTTTTGAGCTCTATAGTGTATGTGGACTTGAGTTGGCTCAATTTAAGCATAAAAATCAAATTTTCTGGTGATCAAAAAAATGTTCATAAATCTTAAATCACCTTTCAAAATATATTTATCCAGAAATGTTTCAATCTTAGCTTGTCTCAGTTCTGAAAATTTCATTTACATTCAAATGATCAATTTTCATTTTTTTAATCACAGTTCTGGAACATTTATGAATTGGCTGATAAGAAACTTTAGACAATTTACAAACATTTTGTAATCATAAGATTATATGATAGTTCTTATCAGAGGTCTACCACAAGTCTAAATTGTTTTTCCAATCCTCAAAACTTATCGAAATCTCGAAAATAATTACCCAATCAAAATATTATCTTTACAAATTAATTAAAAATCATTAATTGTTTCGCTCCCTGTCAGATAAAACAAATTGCTTCAACTTTTTACGATTTTTCCTTCCACACATTTTTCCTCCTTTTTGATATGTATGAACTTTGTCGTTCTCGTTGATTTTGTCGTCCATTCCATCTTCTTCTTTTTTTTCTCCAGTAAGAGTACATGCTATGAGTGTTCGGAACGGCTGCGGCGCCCTTTGCACTTTCTATGTTACGGGCCAGCACGCCGCCTTCATTTTTTTGCACTTTTTTTTAGTATTTTCCCTCCTCCCCTCCTACTACTCTTCTTCCTCCCGATTTTTTTCCAGCAGCGAATAAGCACTGCCGTTCCTGCAACACAGCGAGAGATGGGAGAAAAAAGTAGAACATTGTAGCTGAAGGCGCACTCTCGTTTTTGTTTTGTTTCTCGAATGTTTCATAGAGAAAAGAGGAATAGAGAATAGAGAACATGCACTTTTAGAAATAAGTTCGTTTTTTCCGCGTCTTTGCAATGTGTACAATTTGTTTGTTTCAAGCAGCAGGTCACAAGGTCATAATTGAAATTAGATCATTAAAAATGATTTAATCGTCATCAAAATTGTCAGAACTTACAATAATAAACATGTTTTCAGGCTTGGTATAACCCAAAAGAGAAAAAGTACAAGGTTGGAGTAAGTTCAAGCTGAGGATTAGATAATCAACAGTGGTATTGGAAAATTCGTCAGAAAAATTATTAAAACTAACAATGAAAAACAACATTTTCAAGAATTGAGCGAGTCTAAAGAAAAATAGATCCAGGTACCCACGAGCTTAAAATCTGATAAGATTTTACCGTCAGCAGAACTGATTAATATTTGGCCTGGGATAGGAAGAAAAAAGGGATTGGTTTCCCAGGTTGGTTTTCAGTCTGCTTACACAAAGGCTTGCTTACACAAAAGCCTACGGACCTTGACAAGTTTTCCAAAACAAACATTTCTCGATTTTTTTCAAAAACTGGAAAATTTTTTCCAAATTTTTTTTTCTTTTTTCTTTTTTTCAAAAACTGAAAAAAAAACAAACACCATACGTATCTTTTTTAAATTGTAAATTGTGCATCTTCAGGCCCTCGAGACTTCTGCGGGCTTTGAACTTTGTCCTGGCTACACAAAAAATAATCCTACAACCACTGAGAAACCAATATCGTACGTTTTTTATCATGAAATTGCAACAATCTTTCTTGGGTGGTATTTTTTTTCAGATAAGAAGCTCACAAACCAACGAGTAATTTCTAGTCTCACGTAACCATGGCACAAGTTGGCTCCATTTTCACCCATTCCATTGGTTGACTCATAGTACAAATGAACTTTTACGCGAGAGCGCGGGCGCTGGCTCCTGCTCTTTTTTGCCGCTGCTGATGCTGCTGCTGCTCTTTTTGCTCTCCAATTTTAAGGACGACTCTCTTCTGCTTATTGAGCTCATGTGTATATGTGTACTTTTTGAGATTTTGGTTTGGTGAGAAAGAGCATGATGATTTTGGGATGGAATCTAGATGTGCTAAACAAAATTTTTTTGTTTTGTTCTTCGGAAAATGGAAACATTTTTTATCAGTTCGCTCAGTTCAGATAAGAATGTTCAAAATTACAACAAAATTCTCAAGTTTTTTGGTCTTAGAAATCAAATTAAAAAACCATTTTGCACGCCCCCAGACAATAATTCCCATATAAAAATCATCCAGAGTTTTTACCTTCAACACGATTCAAATTGAATTCCCTCTTCCTACATAATTTCTCTGAATACAAAGGTCGGAATCCTCGTTCCCTTTGCTGATCTTCATTTGTTGGTCAGTTTTTCCACCATCATCATCACACAAACAAACAAGTTATTTGCACAGTTCCATTCGTTCGTTCGTTCACTTTTTTGTTGTCATTTGCGCTATTTTAAAGTGCAGATCCATCCGTTCCTTTTTTTCTGCAATCCTTTTCATCAAAAAAAATTGAAAGTGTTTGGTTTCAGTTGATCGATATTTGTTTTGGAATCAGAAAAAAATGAAAAACGGTATTCGAAACCAGTTTTCGATCAGGTGCCAATCCAATTGTTTCTAATTCTAGAATCGTGTGACCTTTCAATAAAAAATTACCATAAATGAATTGTATTCCCTAACACATCAGTTGAACAATTGTACTTTTACATCAACCAATTTTCACTTCCTTTATTCTTCTACTCATTCAGCAGTTGGTGGGTGGAGTCAAGCTCGCCGCTGAACATGTGTGCGCATATAGACACGTTCGCAACATCGAGGTCTATTTTTTGTGTGTGTGTATGTTGCGAGACAAAAAAAAAAGGACGTCGACGTCGACGACGAATTTTTCTCCTTTTCCTGTGGGCGGAGCTAAAATGATATCGGCGGACACAGAAGAATTGCTGAAGAAGCATTCGCCGACACGTTCAGACGTTTTTTCTCCATTTTTTCACTTGTTCCTGATTGATTTGTATCTTCAATCTTCAAATATTCGAGAGCGGCAAGTTTTTTTTCCTATTATTATTATTATTATTATTATTATTATTATTATTATTATTATTATTATTATTATTATTTGATTATAATACATCTCAAATTTCTATGAGGGGCGGAGTTGCGAGAATGCTCCGCCCATTTTTTATCACTTGCATAAAGAGTTTCAGATAATTTCAGAAATCATTATTGCCATTCACTCTATTCCTATTCCTCCTATTCTTCTCTCGTCATTTGTCATCGCAAAGGAACGGCGGCCAAGGAGACAAGCCAAGAAAAAAGGCTGTACATTTATTGAAAACGAAAAGGAGGTCACGCTCCACCCCTATCTCTAGAATTTTGCTATTATTATTATTCTTCTTCTTCTTCCTCTCCATAGTATTCACTATTATCCATCTATTCTATTTGTGTAAGTTTTGACCCCGATATCTGTACGTTTGAGGTAGTTTAAAATGTTGTCGATAAAGACAGTCTACAACATTGATTCTCCCTCGGATGTCAAACTTCGGATTTTTTCTCTTCTTTTTTCTCTTCCCTTTCTTTTCATAAATTTCTGTTAAATTCTGTTTGTGTGTACTTATAAAGGGCAGTTGAACAAGTCTGTTATCTTTTTTTTTTCGTTCTTGAGATGACACTAATTTTTACGAGAGAATTGGTGATTTCATGTTTTCTCTTTCATCTAATCATCTAGAGCTTAGGACGTAATTGGAATGATTATGTTGCATTCTGTAGAAGAGGAATTTTATCGATGCGCAGAAAATTGGATGAAGGTACAGCTTGAAACGGATATACTGCCGTTTTCTTGACAAAACAGTTCCGGAGATTCTTCTTGGCCTTAAAGGGGTTGATTTTTATGGTAAAAAATTTGTAATTGTTCATGTTTTTGGGAATAAAAAACGGTGAAATTTTAGATTTTTTAAATGGAAAAATGGAACCTCGAGCACTTCATTTATATCGATTTATCACAAAGTCACCTAAAAATAACCACCAAATCTTGTGTGGCATCAGGCTCACAAGCCGCCCCATTTGAGTTCTTCTCACACCCTTCTTCATGTTAAGTGCAACATGAATAATCAAAAAAAGAGAGTTTCAAGTGCAGCTGAAAACTAGAATAAAAACAAAAACTCATGCACACTGCGGCTCCAAATTTCAGAAGTTACAATTCATTATTATACAAAAAACAAAACAGTAAATAAATTGGATTAAAATTCATGTAGAAGTTGTTGGCGTTGTTCTTCAGTTGCCATTTTTGATAACTTCTCCATTAATTTAGTTCCACGTGTTGTCTGTTTTTTAGTTAAAGAAGGTTGGACATATTTGCGATCAATGTCATTTATTTGCCCTCTCCACTGAAAAAAGTATGGATATTTGATCAGTTGATTGGAGTTTCCCGCGGATTTTAAATATATATATATGAACAAAAAAAATTATGATTCATGCGATCTCAATATTCCCATTAATCCTGATTCCAAGTATTTCTGATCAGAATGTTAAGCTGAATCTTATCTAATACAAAGAAGATTAGAAAAGTCCAGATGCACTTTTATAAATTACATTTTGAAACTCACATAATATTCACCGCGTTTTCCTAATAGGGCTTCAACACCGCACATTATATCATCGCAACTCTGAAGAAAATTGATTGAAGGCAATAAAACATATTACTGTCACTCACATTTATCACAATTTGTTGAACAATTGATTTTTCGACATGTTCTCCAGTTTTTATATCTAAAAATCGGACAAGAGGTTTGATAAGTGTTCCTTGGATAAAAACTGTTACTGAAATAACAATCAAAGTTGTTGATATCAGAATTGGTTTTGATTGAATGTATGAGGGATCTGTTTCAAAAAAATATACAATTTTCTTTCTTCTCGTTTTTTTTTGTACCTAGAATCAAGACCAATCCAAAACAAATTGCGCCACGAAGACCTCCAAAAGCCATAATTATTTGATCTCGTACAGCAATTTTTTTCGCCCTTTTCTTGTTTGCATAATGAGTTAGGAAGAAAACGACTGGAAAGAAAAAAAAATAGGAACGAAGAACAAATTGGTTTTGTTTATCTTACCAATAAATCTACAAAGTATACATGCAATTACCGTAGTTATACTGAAAATGAAATCAAATCGATGGTTTTTTGAGAAAATTGAGAATCCCAAAAAGACGAAAATAATTGCTTCACAGCTGAAAAATGTCCCATTATTACTTCAAGACTAAATTGAGAAAAAAAAACTAACATTGAAGATAAGGTTTTCTGAAAATATTTGACCGTAATATCAGCTTGATCGGTCATACTTCCCATAACATATGGCTTCATTAAAAGTCCACATGTCACAATTCTAAAAAAATATTTGTGTTTTAATAAGATAGACAATGTGAAGCACTTACGCTAAAATTCCAGATACGTGAACAAATTCTGAAACCAGATATGATAAATATGGAAATGCGAGGCAGATTAATGGCTGCACTATTGGAGAATCTGAACTGTATCTGAAAAAAATAAAGTTCATGTTAGAAACTTGAAAAAACCTCTTGGTTATTATTATTTTATTTCGGGTGTAATGTTACGTATTAAAGATATAGTAGGTCCCTTTTTTCTTGAATGTTTTTTACCAGGAGTTCCCTTACTAACTTGTTTGCAAACGCTGTGATTCCAGTAAATACAAATCCAATAAGAATTCCACCACCAGCAACTAATAGAAAGTTCATCATAGTTTCCGTAAAATCTTGATATATGATTTGAGCTTGTCCAATTTTAACCATCGAATGGAACGCGTGATATAGCACCTGAAAAAAAACTAATCTTTCTCACGCATTCTTTCCATCATCAAAATTTAAGTTTAAAAAATCTACCACAGTAACTGCGTCATTCAATAATGATTCACCAAACACACAAATATACAACAATTTGTTCACATGAATTTCGTCGAACACTGTAATTTTTCTCTATCTTTCTGATTGTATGATTCATTTTCTTAATATAATTCATTAATAACCAATAATTCTGCACTTTTTTCATATTTTATAGTAATTCGTCATTTTTCCATTCTGTTCAGAATAGAATATATAATTGAGACTGATGTGAGAAAATTATGAGTTTCGAAAATTATACACTTGCATAAAATCCAAAAAATTCAAACAAAGAGGATACCTGAGAGTACGGCGACTGGATCGACAGCGGAAATTAACGTTGAAAAAAGAAGTACATCGACATAGTTCAATTCAAAAGTGTAAAATGGGGACATTGCAAAAATACATGCACCTGGAACATAGGGAAAGTTTGAGTAGATCAAGAGATAAAAACTAACCTATTAGAACAATATTGCAAACGGTTCCAATCACTGCGTATATTAAAATGGTCCCAATATTTGAGAAAAATGCAGCGTTTGGCATAGAATATCCAGCATCAAGAACAATTGGAGGTAAGAGATATAGAAAAAATAAATCTGGAAAAAATGAGAATAATCTACATTTTTAGAATTTTTGAAATTGGAACATATTGTTTCAATTTTCACATTTTTATTTTGTTATTTTAATAAGCTTATTCAAAAATGAATTAAAATTGTTCCAATAAATTAGACTTGTGATAAAATTGAAAAAAAAAGAAAAATTTAAAGTTGTATATCAAAATCCCAGAATATGGTCTAGTTTGACTTTTCTGACCGCTTCTCTAGAGAACACATATTATTTTTACAAATAAAATGTCTGTGTTGTTCTTTTTTTAAACAATTTATTTTCATTAATTTTTTGAAATGAATTTTTGAAACAAAAAATCAAAGTTAAACTCGCCTGGATGTAAAAATAAATCAATATGCCAAACTTCATAAATAAAATAACCGGCAATCAATCCAAGAACAATCAGAACAGCAGATTCCGGAAATAATTTCCGAAGTCGTTGAGAATTATGAAATGCTTTAAATAACCAATTTAATTTTCAAAACAGTTCCAAAGGCTTACCAAGTTTAGCCATAGCAATACTAATAATCCAAATAGTTAATAGTAATGGAGTTTCTACATAATTCCAATGTAAGTCGCTCAAATTGTGCATTTTCATCTTGATAATTATAAATTAGGAATTTTTCAACAAATATAAACAAAAAAAAAATGCAACAACCGTGAACCAATCGATCCAAAAAAGTAATCAAATATAAAAGATCAAGGTAAATGTATTAGATGATATATGTGATTGTCAAATTTTCTGAAATAAAAAAATATTTTGAAACAAAATAATGATAAATAACTAAATATTCAATCAGTGAGGTTTTAGTACAGTTTTAAATTGCATTTCATGTTCAATGTGTTTTTTTTAAACACAAACAACATGTAAATGATTAATAAGTGAAATGCAACGTTTTAACTTTTATCAATCGATCTTTATCTAGTTTTGTGATGTTGATGAATGATAGAAGGAGGTTAATAAATACCCGAATAAAAATTAATACAATAAACAAAAATGCGTGTTTTCATGACTTTGTTGATATTCTGATGATCTTTGATATATTTATATTGTCTAAGAAGATGGTCAGGTGAACACGGAAGAAACCACATTGGTTTTGATTGATATAATATGAGTCAATTTTTGATAATTTTTCTAATTTTTTCTTGACTACAGAATGAAAACAAATGAACATTATGAAGTGCAAAAACAAACAAATAATCATGTTGACCACTGTCTTTTTCATCATATTTTTCTTTTTTTATTATGAAGATAAATCATTTCCTAAATCTTCACATCAATTTTTGCACTTGTCGTTTTCTAATCACATGGTTTTTATTGACCTTTTCTGCGTGGTTAGTTTGCTGCAAATGTTCTCATCTGATTTTTCTTTTGATTTGCAGTTTAATCTACGCAATCGTCGTCTTCGGATCTTTAGTAAATCGAGTAAGGAATCCTTTAAAAAATCAAAAAAATATCAATTTTTCTCCAGAAAATTCTGCCAACCAACAATGTGCCAAAAACAATTCCATATATAACAGTTCCATCTGAATATGATGTATTTTTAGAGTTTTTTGGAAGTTCATCTCTAATTAATAAGGTTTTCCTCATTTTCATTAAACATCTGAAATATTCATTAAATTCCAGACATATACTGGTAGTTTACAAATGACATTTGAAGCGAAAGATTTGACGCAAAGATTATTTTTTCATCGTGGACCTGATATCAGAATACTCAATGTGGGTTTTTTTTTCCGAAAAATGTCATTATATATTTGGAAGTTTCTTGCAGATAACATTAGAAGATTCAAATGGAACAAAAAGCACACCAAGCGCAGGAGCTTATGACAAAAATGTAAGTTTTTTTCCATTTTTTTTAGTTTGAAAAAATATTGATTTCAGACAGATGTTCAAGCTTATATACCAATTTCAAATTTGACAAAAGAAACAACCTATAAATTGGAAATAGGATTTGAAGGTACAATTGGGGAAAATCCAAATGGTCCGCTTGATTTGCCATATACTTCTGAAAATAATGAAAATAAACATTCTATGGTGTTTGGACATTCGACAACTGCATCATCGGGTCTACGATTTTTAATGCCTTGTTTAGATTCTCAAGATTTCCCAGCTCTTTTTAACTTCAATATTAGACATCCTCCAGATTTCCGAGTTATCTCAAATTTTGTTGGAAATGTTCAACAATCACCATTATATACTACCACAATATTTAATGCAACATTCCAAACGTTCTCTTCATCAATTGTATTAGCGTTGATTGATATGAACTTGACATCACAATCAATCAAACAGGAAGATATAATGGTTTGTATACATATTTGTCACAATAAAAAAGTTTCATTCATTCCATGTTTAGATAAACAAATATTTCCGTAAAAATGTCATCAACACTGTGTCGACTGATAGAGTTTTACAATTTATGGCTTCGAAAACCAGCAACATTGGAAAATTAGGTCAAGATAGTTTTATTTTTGAAACAATTAAATGTTTATATCTTTGCAGATGTGTTGTGTTTACCCCAACTTTCTACCATAAATCAAGCCGGCATTTCTTTTCTCAATGAAGAAGATGTTCAACGAGAAAATTTCGATTTAGGGATCAACAATTTCAAAAACTGAATTCAGCGCTTTTTATCAATAAAATAAATTATTCCAGAATTTTTGAGAAAATTATCTTGTGAAAAATTTTCATAAAACACTAGAAAATCCAACCTGAATAGAAATAGTGTGTTTCTCTAAAACGAAAAAAATGGAGCATTCGCGCTCAAACACAAATATTTCTCCGTCCCTGTGATTACTTTTTGTTGTTTGCATACTAGTGATAAAGAAAAAATAAAATTTTTTCCGGAAAAAATGACTCTTGATAACATTGAAGATTAAATTTAATTCACAAAAGTGAAAAGGGTGTTATTCTATCAGCAGACAACTTGTGCTGAAAATGGCTGCAAGATAGCCCAATGTAAAAAAAACCCCAATTCTAATAATTAACTTTGAAAAAAATAACCTTTTTTGTCTAAAAATAGTCGTGCTGAAAAAGTCAGGAAATTTTATAGTTATTTTTAAATTAAAATAAAAATAATTGAAATGAACTGTTTTTTTCGATGAAATATAGCACAACTTTTTTTACAAGTTTTCTTATAAAACTAGGCAAAACACTGTTGGTTCTAGAAGAGACACAGAAGAAAAAAGAAAAAGAGAGATGAGGGAAAAAAGAAAAATGATGCATCAAACGCGCCCCAATGAAAATAGCGTCCCTGTGAGGTTCACTTGTTTGAATATATTTTTTTGTTTTGTGTTGTGTTATTCGATTTTTTATCAGTTAAAAAAATGACCATACATTTTTTTAACTTCATTGTTGTTTTGTTGGATGATGTGCTAGTTTTTTCACCAGCTTTGTGGGAATATTGGTCTTTTCATCTCTTTTCGAATCATTTTTGAGATTTTTTTGATTGAGAAATCATTTAAAAAACAAGATCTTTTCAGAAAAATGGGAATGGAAGAAGAGATAATCATACCTCATTTGGTTGGGCATAGTCATACTTTGGAAGAAGAAACGCAAGCTCAATACGAACAAGATTATTTGATTTCGGCATTTATGCAATACAAAGCTATGTCAATCAAGGACAACGGAAGAATATCACCTTATATTCCATTTCTTCGCCGCAATTTATCATATATGAAAATGAATCGTCTCTCGGTATGTTCTAAGAAAACACTTTGAATTGATAAAAATACCGAATTTTTTTTTTTTTCAGTCAGAAAAACAAGTGAGCAGTTTCATTGAAAGAAACAACAAGTATCCAAAACTATTTGCAAATCTTCCAAATAATGTAAATCTAAGAAAACGAAAAAAACTTGCTGATATTGTTATTATGTTAAAGTCGAAATCTCGCAAGCATAATAATGCGATAGTTGATGAAAATATGGAAATTGACGAAGATGATGATGGAGAAGAGCAAGATGATTTGCCACCTTTGCCTGTTTCGTTAAGAAAACCGCTGAATGTTAGAAGAAAAAACGACAATATGAAACGATGTTTGTTCCCGAAAGCAATTGAGTGAGTTTTTTTTTCTTATTTTCTGCTGATTCAAAACTAAACAATTGAATTGATTGTGAGGAATATTAAAAATGGATCAATTTTTTAAAAGCCAGAAGTGTTGTTTCTTAAAAATGAGTTATTCTGAGTAATTTTTTTCAAGGTGATCCGAAATTCCATTGAAAAATTCGCCTTCAAGATTCTGATTCACATAGACATAGCGAAAGTTTGAAAAAGGTTTGGTCTATCAAGATATTTCAGCTGATCCAAAAACGTCTGCTAACTGATTTTAAAAATAAATATGAACTTTTTTGAAATGTGAAAGAATGAAAACAAAAGGAAATAAATGCAATGATATAGTCGTAAATTCCAGCTAAACTGTCTATTTTCAGATATCGTTTGTGCTTGGTTCAAACTCACGAGAACAAAAAAGATTTCATTCGGACACCTGTATGTATTTTCTAAAACACTATCACCATAACAGATTCTTTTTCAGATTCCAAATCGATCTGGTTTGAAGCAGTGTGGCAAGAAACGAATGTGCTGTATTTTTTGCGAATTGAAATTCAACACATTGTTTCATTTGTTGCTCCACTATAATCTTTGTTATCCAAAACTCATGTTTGTCCCGAATCTTACTTCAATTGATACAAAAAAGGTTTGTTAGTTTTTTTTTTCAAACTATTTTTAAGTTGAAAATAATAATTGGACAAAATTACAGAAAAGCGTATTATTGCTAATCGATATCATCAATCATCCAAAATATGACAATATTGATGAAGTATCTGAAAGGTATCATTCTGGAAATCAATTTGTATATTTTGTTTTTCCTGGAGATAAAAGAGATGACATGAGTAATTTATCAATTGATCCAACAATATTCATTCGACCATATGGGCGTTATCGTTTTGTTTTCGAAGATGCATTCTACATTTCGAAGTTATTGCATGAAGCTTCTCGTCAAAATTCAGGAAGATGTTCATTTTCTCTTCCAACAACTGAAGATATGCCAGCAATTGATATAACCATTGAAAGAATGAGATTTGATATTTTTGATTTCATCGATATTACTTATCATTGCAAAGTTCACATGTTCACTTGGAATGTTTTGAGACATCGACTTGGTGATCATCGAGTTCGCCGTATTGGGTACTATCGTCTCGCCGTGAGTTAAACCTGTTTATTTTTGAAATAGATAAATGATGAAATTATGCTTGAAAAGTTAAGAGAAAAAGGTTATCTTGTTAGAAACATTGATTCATATGTTTTGTAGCTTATATTGGTCTCCAAACTGATTGAGAAAAAAATCAAACGATTTTTTGAATAAAGTTTTTTTTCAGAAGCTGTACATTCATATTCACTGGGATTTTATTCACGATTGGCCAGATGAGCATATGTTCAGTCTAACAGAACAACGCATTTTTGAAATGGACACTGCTGGTTACACTCGTCTACAAGTTTCTCATATGCAAACCGATCTTTTGCGACGGTACATAAATTTTCTCTAATTTTTCCAATGAACTATCCATTTTCAGCTTGATGTGGAAAGATTATGGTGATATTTCTCATTCGGAAAGTGTTGCAAAAGTTGTGATGAGAATGGAAATTGCAAGGAAAACTGAAAAATATCGAAATGCTTTGAAACGTTTGCCAAAACGATATGCTGATTCGCTTTTTCCTCGATTAGCAAGAATGGTAATTTATTTTCTAGTTGATAGAAGGTAATTTGTTTTTTTTCTTCAGACAGATCAAGAACGATGTGATATGACTGAAAATGATGCATGGCATTTGGTTTTCCCGGAGGCCTGTAAATCTGGATTCTTTCATCCAGATCATTTTATTCACATGCTTCTTGAAAAACCTGCAGATTGTTTCAAAAGATTTCGCATTCCTGCTCCAACTGATCTTTTTGAGATTCCTGAATATCCAGAAGATGAAAAAATGGTTGCGGTTGAAGAAACTTGTGGAACAATTAAAGGATGGTGGGGTGTCCCCGAAGAGTCTCTAAATAAAAAGAACAAAAACAAAAAATAACTGAATTTCTTATGTTTGTAAATATTTTGTCTGTTTCGAATCATTTTCCCTTTTTGAATTTCCCCGTGAAACATTATTGTATATATCTTGTCATTTTAGTCACATTACTGTTTTCTTTACCTGTATCTCTCTTAATTTTACGGATTAAAACACGGTTCCTCTTTTTCCCCAGTGATCTTTACATAAAATGAACGGTTTTTTATGTTGCTGATGTGGTGTTATTTGAAAATCAAAACACCTGCAGATTCTAGTGAGTTTTCAATTTTCAGATAACTTGTTAATATTTGAAATAAAAATGGGTATTGTGGACTATAAATAAAATATTGACTGTTACCTGTGTGTGCTTAAGAAGAATCGGACGAAAATTGAATTTAGGAGACTATTTTTAGAAAGTTAGTTAGATTTTAATATGTGTCACTCAAGATTCTCTTTCACAATTTCAAAAAAAAACAAATTATGTATAGAAGGTTTATGAATGGTTGAAAAACTAAAAGGGATATACATCAACAACAGAATTATGTTTCAAATTCCAAAAAAGTCTACAATTGTTTATGGAATGACATGAAGTTTCCAATATGGAACGAAATACGGATGATCCTTTTCAATATGAAAAATGTGAATTATTGTTATTATTAATATTTTGTGCAATTTAAATTGTGCAAAATGAATTTGGTCAGATTTCCCAAGTTTGGAAGACAATCGATTGTGGTTTTCCAGATTGCTTGTCACACCATTGAGTCCAAAATTTGCTTGCAACCGATGCCTCGAGGACAATATGATTGTCATTGGCAACGGTTTTGAATGGCGACATTCCTGAGCTGAAATAAATTTATTAGTTCCCAGTTGTTTGTTTTTTATTTTAGGTTTACCAACCGTATGGCTTTTTGGATAAGATCGATTTCAACAGCATTTCCCAAACCCTTTCTACGATGATCTTCAAAAACATATTGATTATTGAAAAAACCCGCTGGATCAATCATTTCAAATGCAACCGGTTGTCCATCAAATCGAATACACGAAGATGGCAAACGATTGAGTTTAGCCCTGAAATTATTTTTTCTTATTCTTTCTTCTTTTGTCAAACAATCTTTAAGAAATAATAAGCTTGCCCTTTCTGAATTCTGAATGTGAGAAAAACACCTGTTATTATAACATCAGACCCTAGCAACGAGTGAAAAGATAATTTGTCATAAACTTACGTAGTTTGCTCAAGATCTCCTGGCCCCGCATGTTTCCAAGTGTTATTTACATGCTCTGCTTCTTCACTTGGATCGATCTAAAAAAATGTAGAATATTTAATGGATGTGGTTCTCGATCAACACTCACATCATCGTAATAATAACCCATTGGCAATTTTGGAAGTTGTGATTTCATAGCAATCTTTTTGTTGGAATCTGTCATATAAAAAAGTGAGAGTTTCAAATCACTATGATTCCAATCTGTTGATCCCATTCGCATAGCAACACCATACTGAAAAATATAACATTATGCTTGTGGCTTTTCTTGAAGTAAATATGTATATTTTTTATGTTAATGAGAATAAATAATATGTTAGTAACGCATGAAAGAGATTATATTATTCTTAGAAAAACGGAAAAATTACTGTAATCCTAGGACATGTCTCCTTATGTCAAGGAAATATGTAACATTTCCGTTGATGAAGATTAGTTAAAGTATATTGGACAAAACATTTGGTGTTGTTTTTTCAAACGCGGGAAAATATCGAATTTCACCATTTTTCAAACGAAAAGATATTAGTTTTTGAGCATTTTTCAAATTTTTCATGAAAAAAAGAGCGAACCAGTTTAATGATGAGTTCCTCGGCAATCATAAGATGAGCTTGACGTTTTGTACCGAATACACGTGTTCTGAGAGATGATGAAGAAGATACATTGAGAATTGGGGGCTTTAAGATTTACCTGAACTCGCAAATAAGATCAATCATTTCAAGACGATCGATTTGGTGGTCTGGGAACAAGGCGATAGCACAATATGGCTTGATGTATAGATTGTTTTTGAACATGAAGACATATTTTGGGTTTGCCACACATGGATAAACAAAAAGACGAATTGGAGATTCAGGAAAGCTGGAAATTGTTGAATTGTTCGAAATTATTTTAAACAAATTTGGATATTACCTTTTCTCAATCTCGGTTTGAATTGAAAATGGAAAATAAATAGTTTCAATATGTTTTGAAGTCAACGCCTTAACTCTGGCGAAATGCTCTCGTGTAGTGACTTCAAAAAGTGATGCGTGCATTCTTTTTCGGACTTCTGAAAAAAACTCACTAATTAGGTTATGTCTTCGTTAGTAGTAAAAAAGCGGAAATATAAATGATGTCATTAGTTATATCTGTCAAACATTACACTCATATTAATAAGACAGGAAATTCGTATAAGTGTCCAAACTATATTGGCTTTGCTCAATAAGACAACATTGTTTGTTATTGAAAGAAAGGGCGGTGTCCCTTATGTTAGAGATTTCTCAGCTCCGCCCATTACCGTATTTTATTCATATTTCATTATTTCTCACAATGTAGATACATGAAAAAATGGAAATCGAAAAATGTGTTGAATAGAAATAGTCGAAAAAAAGATAATCCCCCAAAGGAGAAAAAGAATTTATAAAAATTGGATGAGAAAAATCAATTTTTGAAATGACTGGCTCTAAAAAAATTTGGTAATGAAATGAGAATTCAAACATCGTGTCAGAAAATAACAGAAAATACAATTTTATCCCGAAAACAAAAAAAGTGAGTAAGTAAGTAAGTAAGCAAAAACCTAGAGCAATTACGAGGCAATTGAATTCTGTGGCAAAAATGGAAAACAACAAATAAGAAATAGGAATTTCTTAGAAAATACGGTAGACGTCTCAATTATTTTTTATATTCAAACTAAATCGGACCACCCAAGAAAACATTAAATTAGAAGAGTCTATTGACTAATTCTCTTCTTTTTTTCACTTTTCAAAAAAAAAATAACTCAAAAAAATGCGCGCAGCTGAAAAGAAGGAAAATTGTCTTCGTCTCTTCAACTTATACAATGTGTCTACTCAGAAATGCCGAATTTTTATTGAGCACGAAAAAAATTGAGGGATGGAACATTTGTCGGAGATTTAGAGAAAACACACATTTTTGCGAGACATATACAAAAAAGTGTTCAGAGGAAGAAGAAGATAGGGAAGATGGAGCAGTAGAAAAGGGTTCAGTTTCTCTAGCTTCTAACAGCCAGTCATGGCTCAATAGATCTTTGCTACTAGCCTCACTTCTACACAGAAAACAAAAGCTCCACCTATTTTTTGTTACTTTCTGCGTCTCTCTATGGATTCGGAGTCTCTCGAATTTTTTCTCGGACATTGGGATATCCCGAGATGAGATAGTACGAAAAAATGAGAGACAATAAGAAAATGAGCTTCAGTCGAGCTACGCATTTTATAGTGCGAGAGAAAAATGGAGTGGGAAAAAAGGAGGAAACGAAATGACTTTTGAAAATCATGTCATGTTTTTCGATAGAACATATGAATCAAGATTTTGAACAAATATTTGATTAAATTTGAGGTTTTTGAAACAAGAAACATTGACTTGAAACAAAATATATTGAAAAAAATGATGGGATTTGTTTTGCAAAGATCATTGCGTCAAAGAAAACAGTTGGTTCGAATGGTTTTTGCAGAAACAAATGAGTTTTTTGTCGAAGTTGAATCACAGAAAAAAACGAATGAATAGAAGACGGAAACTTGACGGATTTCCTTTAGATTTCCGTTGACAATTTTCAAAGAATTTCACTGGGGAATTCGTTGCGTGTAAAAAGTTTTGAGGTTTATCTTGAATGATTCGGAAATGGACAAGAGTCATGGTAATATTTTTCTTTGAGTTGAAGATAAAGAAGATCCACCAAGACTAGAATATATTTCAAGTTTTCAGTATCTTGGCTCCAAAAAAAATTGAATTGGTAAAATACCCGAGTGAGTCATATTTCTGATGAATTTTATGTCATTCGATTGAGAAAACATAGTCTTAAATTTTTCTAAATTTTGAGATTCTGAAAAGCTTGAATGTTTCACTATTGTCGGATCATTTTTAGAGTTTCATAAACGAATTCCCAAAACATAGACAAAAAATATTAAAAGTCAAAGATTCTACAATTCCCACAAGTGAGTAAGTGTTTGAGATTCTCAGAAGGGTATGACTAACATTCTTTCAAATGTTCTAACAAACATCATAATCTTATATATCTCTGTTTTTAAAGAGCATATTTTGCTCTCGTGACGTTTGAAGATCATTTTTTTCAATTAAAAAACAATATCGCACTTTTTCCGCTTGAATCTTTAAAAAAATCCGCAATATTCTTTGTGATCATTGATTTAGACATCAAACATCACAAACTCACTAAATTTTCGCAGAAAACGAAAGAGGACACCGATATAATGTTTAGTTTGTGAAAAAACTTTTAGGCCAACGTTATTGGCACAATTTATGCAGATTCAATTCAAAGGAAGCTCCTTTTGGACTTCTTTGTGGAAAAAGTTGTGTTTTTGAAAAAGAGCAAAGGTGATGTTTTGAAAAGAATAAAGGAGAAGGAGAAGTAAAAAAAAAAGTTCTCAACATTGTATGCGATTTTTCTCGAAATTCAAGAAAACGTTCTTTGCTCTTGGCATTTGCGACGGATTTAATGACTCGTTTTTCATTCTTTTTGAAAATAGGGGGTAGGGATTCCGCTCGAAATTTATAAGGGTTTTCTGTTTAAGAATATTCTATTTACGAACTGATCTCTGCGAGTTCAAGTTTTTGTTGTTCAGACTCACGTGTCATTGTGTAAACAAAAAATAAAGCACCGAAGAATTAGTAATAGTATCAGAAATCTCAGATTTCAGAAAGATCTCAGATTTTCAGAATAAAATTTGTATTTCACCTTTACGTCTTTTTATATGAAGCCTATGAAATAATTGAACACAAAGAACGATCGAATATGTTCTAGCCTAAATATTTGTTCAAGAAAAACTCTCAGTTTCCAAGGTGATGCTGGAATAAAAAATGAACACGAGCATTGAATCTACCGTATTCCAGAATCAAATCAGGCAGGAAATGAAATGTTATGAGAATATGAAACAATTGTTTTTTCATAAAAGCGAAAAAAACTGATACAGTTACAGTATCTCATAAACAATAACGAGGTGTTATGTTATTTTTTTAGAGAATTTCGAGAAAATAAAATACATATATGCACTGCAACCGACTAACAGAATCAAATGGAATTTAGTTATTTTTTTTAGAGATAGACTTTCAAGATTTTTTTTCTGAAACAGACTACTGCAAGGCCAAACATTCAAGTTTCAAAGCTTAAGAAGTGTAATGAACAAACAAAAAAACTCGAGTTTAAAAGTCAAACTGTTCGCTCGCTCATAGGTTAATTTTTCATTGTTAGCTAGGTGTGGGTGTCTTAAGACTTACTGTAAACTACAAAAAGTTTTTTCCAAATAGATTTAACTTTCAAAAAAAAAACTTCGTTTAATTAATTGAAAAGGTTTTGAGATGATTCAGTTTTGTTTGTCCTTGTGAGCTGAAATCCAAACATCGCATCTTTGTTTTATTAAAAATCTGATTGTGAGAAGAAACATGTGAAAAATGAATGTCTGTTTTTCCCATGAGATTATTGAAAATTTCTGCAAAAATGATTTTGATTTTGATTCTGTCCATGAAAAACGTGAGAATTTCAGTTTCAAATTGCCCTTTCAAAAGAGCAACCGAACAAAACGAATGTTTTTTGTTGCAGAAAACATAGATCCATAAATTGTGACAGCAATTGTTGTCAAGTTGAAAGATATTTTTCCTATAAAAATTGATATTTTGTTGAACACTATCAAAGCTTGAAATTTAGATTCTAGTTTGAAATGTTTACAAAACATCATTCACTTGAAGATTTTCAAATGAAAGTTTATAAACTAAAATTCAGAAAATCCAAAAATCCAATCTGGAAGCTGAGGTGTTCAAATTTTTCCCGGCAAGGTTCATTTCGATCAGGATGACGTGGCAAAACTGAAGTTTTTCTCAAGTTACAAAATTTGTAGCCTCTTATCTGAAAGTCTATGAAATTGAGCTTTCTTTCCACAAAATCTGGAATAACAGGGGTCTGACAAATAATTGAATGTTTGTTCAAAAGTTATGAGACTTTTATAATTTTGTGTGTTTTTTGTTACTATTACAAAAGTTCTTGACGAAAAAACCATCTTTAAAATAGTGACATTGTTACTTTAAATTTCAAATGATTTTCAGAAACAGGAAGTTGTTTTTCCCGTTCGAAGTTCTAATTAATCACATTAAAACTGATTTTTCACGTAAGAAGTTCAATGAACAAGATCAAAAGTTTTTTAACTCACATTTGTCGATTCAGAAGTGTCGAATCAGAAAAGTTAAACCCCTAATTTCAAATGCTTTTTGGAAAATTAATAACACATTTCAAAAAATCAAGTCTCGAGAGATCTACAGTAACCAACTAAAAGTAAAAAAGTTGTTTTTAATGAGACCAATTTTCAACACGTCATTTCAACTCAAGCAGAGCAGGGCACTTTCAAATCATTGCGTGACAAAAACTAGTCCTGCTTTTTTTCAATTTTAACTTGAAATAAAATGATATCACTTTATGGATTAGTATTTGCTCGAGCAACAGTGAAGTGGAGTTTGCAAAAAAAAAAAAAACAAGGCGACACAAAAAATAAAACAAAGCCCTTAAAAAAGAAACGAAAACAAACAAATCCATTTCAGTGAGCAGTTGGGGAAAAAACAATTTTCAGACAAGTGCATATTTTTCTTCTTCTTTTTCTTCAAACTCCATTCGTTTCAAAAAAATCTGGAAAAACAGGGATCTGAAAAAATAATTGGATGTTTTCAAAAAAAATCCCCGAGAATTTATCTTCTTTTTTATGATTTGTCGCACTAATAAATAACAATTCAAAAATTTTTTTTGAATGAATATTTAATTTCAGCGAGAGCAGAAAATATTGATGTGTGTGTGTGTGATGTCAAAGAAATTTATAAATGGCGGTGAAAATTAATTTTTTTCTCATGTCAAGAATTTTTTATTTGAGTTTTGCTTGATTGATCAAATTTAGTTATTTATAGCGTGGCATTTGAAAAATGTACTAGAACAGCAATTTTTCTAATTTACCGTAGTCTATTTTCATTCAAAGAATTAGCCTGTTTCAAAAGATGGGAAGAAAAGAAAAAACTGGGTGAAAGTACAGTAACCCGAAAAATAGTCTTCACTTCCTCAAAATGTTTCTATTTAATCTCAAAGACAGATAAAAATAAAAAGATGCAAAAAATAATGCAATACCGTATTTTCGCTCTCATAGAAAATCGATATCAAGTTTTTCTTTGCTGCTTTTGAATTTCATCTATATGTATATTCCAAATAATTTATTGACATTTTTAGATGTATTCTTACGATTTTTCTCGCGAGAAATTTTATCATCATGAAAACATATATTTATATTATGAAAATATATTATTCTTTGCGGCGATAAGACCAAACTACATTTGAAAAGAAGATTCGAACAAAGCACATATAATAATTAATCGAGATCTTACACTTTCTCATTATTTTTCAAATTCTCTCATCGTTTTTTTGTTCTAATGTTATTCTTGTCAAAAAACAAGATTGACCTTGGAGAACATTTGCGATGATAGTGGATATCGTTTTTTCGAAGTTTGTTGCTTGCTTTATTTCTCTCTACGATTTTATTTAAATCATCTCAAAGTTGTTTGATTATTTATGCAAAAAATTTAAAACAGCAAATATTCTGGTGTTTGAACTTTGCGCATGTGCTTTTACATTAATATAATTTTCAGATTCTTGATTCTTTAAAGATTTTTGATGTTTTTCTTGTTGATTTCTGATAAGAGCAATAATAATAATAATCGATAGAATACATTTCTATAGTTTTTATGGATGTACCTCAAAAGTTCACTCTCACAAAGAAAAATAGAATAGCATCAAACATCTCATTCCTAAATTTGCAGAAAATAGGATAGATATGAAAATAATATATTTTTTTGATTATTGTTTTCCCAAGGAAGAACGGTTTGCAGTTATTTCCCAATTAATTCGAATATTTTTTCTCATCGCGTCATTGCGTCATAGAATAGATTTTCGTTTCAAGGCGTCATTCAAAATTTTTCAAAATTTCGTGACAGTTTAATTTTCCCTTTGTTTACCTCTTTATGCCAAACCAAACAAGATTGATAACAATTTTATCTGAATTTACCAAACGCTTCATTTATCAATTTTCAGCACACACATGATTCCTTTTTCAGTAAATAATTAATAATAATTACTATATTGTGGTAAATAAAAAAATAAATTTCGAAATCAAAAATATAAGAAAATATATTTTCCTTCCCCCTTCTACACAAACATCTTGAGCATATTCTGAACTGAACTAATTACAAATTCTGTCTCATTTTTTAATGGATTCTTTGAAAATTGACACATTCTCATCGTTCTCTGAGTTTACTCTCATTCAAACTCTAATCGCATCTTCAGAAGACGTTTTTTTCTTAGCGCCAATTCATTTTCCTACTTCTTCTTCTTCTTTCCTTTCGTTTTTTCTCGACAAAAAGCATGTGGTATGTGTTTTGTTGTTGATTGAAATAAAGTAGAGTCTAGTTGAGGTCGAGTCAGTCCAAATGTCATTTCACTTCGTCTTGCTTTTAACGAAATTCGAATACCCCCAAAAGTATTGCAAATATTGAGTTTGGCAAAGCAGCTGAAAGCTGTTCTTACAGAGCGCAAAAAAGAAAAGAAAATGCTTTTACGTGCAAAGCTCGCTCATTTTTCATGTTTCAGCGGTTTTCTAAGAAAACTTTCTTCGAACACATTTATTCTCATCTTTTTCTACATATCTGACGTTTATTTTATGCATGTTTAACCAATGATCCGGAGAAAAATATTCTTTATTATTCGATAGATTAAAAATTCTAACATTTAATAACATATGTCTTGACATTTCTTTAATTTCAGGGTTTTTTCTGAGTTCTAAAAATCAAATCTCAAATTCAAATCTCGATTTTTCATCTTCAATACAAATTCTGAAAATGACGTTTTCCTTGATTTCGTAAATTTCGAAAGTTCAAAAATAATTTTGATGACATTGGATTATCTGGTTAATCTCTAGAGTTTCATCAATTATTTGTTGTTCATAGCATTGTTCTCAACTTGTAAAAAAAGATCAGATGATTTTTGTATGAGAGATATTTTTCAATTAGTGAAATATTACACTTTCTCTTTCAACAGAAAAAATTAATTGTAAACTACAGTATATGTAGGCGGGACTGATTGAGATGTCCAGAACATTTTGTGTTTTTGAAAGAATCTTCTTTATATGGAATTCGGGAAAAATACTTCTCCGACAAAACATTTCCTTTATTCTGTACTTTATCTGATTCTCGAATATTCTTTTCGTTCATCAAAGAATCGAACCAACAACAAAAACATGACGATTGTGTGAAATGAAAGAGCATTTGCACTTTATTCGACAACCTTATTCTTCTTTTTTTCGTTATGTGAACGAAAAACAACAACAACAGTTTTCTTACGTCCAGGCAGTCAGCCAGTAAACAACAAGGAACTAAAAGTTGGCACTCCGCCCACAGGGCAAAAAAAACGTTAGAATATGAACCGAGTGGTGCCCTAGGGCGATGCGTATGCGCCGCGTATTGATCACACTCTATCTATATTCACTTTTTTTCAGCTATCTTTTTTGTGTTTCTCTCTTTTTCTTTCTCGTTTTTTTGCGTCACTTCTCTGTGCCCTCCGAATCTCTCGCCGTTTTTTTTTCGGAATATTGTTTTCTCTCATCTCTCCTCCTTTTTCATCCTCTCTTTTTTCTCGCTTATTTTTTGTGTCTTTTTTTGACAAAACGGTAAATAGTTAGGCAGTGGCGGCGACTTGCGCCAAATATTTGCGAGTTTTGCGTAAGGCAAATAAACTGTGTTCTTTTTTTCGCTGAATAGCCCAGCCATATGTCCATCCATCGGTCCACACACATCATTTTTTTGATGTTATGTGCATTTTATTTGTATTTTTATTATCTTTTTCATGTGAGGTATTTTCATCACAATTTTTATTTGATTTTCAGCACAATGACTACCCCGAAGAAAGGGGATTGTTTAGTTGCTCGAGCTGTTAATCCACCGTCATATGTGGCAACTTCAGATGATAATATAACTAAATTACTTGAAAATTTGAGCATTGAAGAAGCAGCAGCACACAAAAGAAAGGTTAGTAATCATTTTTTTTTTAAATTTATATTTTCAAGTTGATGCCATTTACCCACACAATTAGTGATTTTTTCTCGTCATTGTCACTTTTATTATCATGTATCTTTTTTCCGTGAAAATAGTTTGACCACCAATTTTTGACCTACTGGCTGATAAAAATTCAACAACATTCTTTTCGATGAAAACGTTTTGCTGTGTTTTCGTTCAAACGACAAACATTTTCTCATGATTTTCAACAATGATTTTTGATTTTGTTCTGTAACTTTGTGTGAATTTTAAATTAGTTTTTTTTGAGAAAGAAAAAAAATTATGATTTATTTTGATTTTGCTAGATTATCTTATTGGTTTAGAAGATTTTAAAAGCAGTTTTAGAGGATCATTTTCTTTATGAATTGTCACGTAACTTGTTATTAGTTTGTTTTGTGAATGTTTTGAAATCTAGTACTTTCTAAAAACTTCAATGGTGATTGAATATTTTTGAAAATCTATTCAAACTTGGGGTGAATCGTAAAGCAGGTCTATCACTAATATCATTTTTAATTCCTACAAGTCATTATAGGTCCCAACTTTTTCACTTTTTTCGAAATTTTATCATATCAAGTTCCCGTTTTACGATTTTCCTGAAATTTTTAAATATTTTAAAATTGTTTTTAGTTTGTATTTTATTTTCAAGATGACTTGGTGAATATTTTCAGCAAAATTTGATTTCAAAATCATCAAAAAAAGTCAAAACACCTTTCCCATAAAAATTGAAATCAAACATCTGCAGACAAATCCAAGTTAATCCACGAACCATAAAATTTCACATTCCATGAAAATTTATCACTTTAAAAATTTCCATAATCTCAGAGTCAGTCAGTCAGTCACGATATTTTTCTTTCTAAAAATTCTCTTATTTTCGATGGATAAAATAATAAAAAATCTCACGAACTATGAAAAACAAGTATGAAAAAAACATCTAATTTCCTTTTTTTTTAATTTAAAATGTTTTGTCTTTCAGTATGAAGCAAAAAACAGTGTATCACCAGCTGATTTCGTAACTCTTCAAAGTATTCGATCATCGGCATTGGCTCGAAAAACCAACACTACTTCAAAATTTACGCGCGGCGGTATTGCACTGTATGCCGATTTATTGAACGTCGACACAAAAGTAAGTTCTCAAGAGGATTGTTGTCTTTCAAAAAAATGCACTTCATGTTTGAACTTTAGAACTATCAAAAACAATTCAAAATATTACAGAAAGAACAGAAAAACAAAGATAAAAATAAGGAAAATGCCAACGACAAAGATAAAAAAGATGAAGAGAAAGATGAACCAAAAGATGGCGATTTATTATCACGCGGACCTGTTAAAAATGAACGAGTTTTTGCTGGACATCACCCATATAATCATGCAAATATACCGTATGGCACAACAGCAAACACTGCCGTCTCAGATATTTCAGCATTTTCTGGATATGCAAACGGATTTGAGTGTGGAAGTACATGGTCATATAGTCCAGACACAATAAGGTTGGCTTTTGATTTTAATATATTCTCTTTTTTTCATTCCCAATTCCATTTTTCAGTAGTATATCAGCGTCAACAACACCAGATACAGTATTATCTTCAGATGGTTATAATTCAGCATCACCTCTTCAGAATAGCCCAAAAAGTGTGAATCGGAGGTTATTCAATGATATAACTGAAAAGGGTTCGTTTGTTGTCAAATATTTTGAAGTTTGATCGAGCAAGCAAATATTTGACATTTTACTTTTTTTTGAAAAATAGAAAAACTGACCAGTCTGTTCAATTATTTGAGTAACAACATTTTGTTGTATTTTTGCAAATATGTAGTTTATGGTTTTTTCAAGTTGTCCTTTTGACAATATTTCTATGGATGTTTTGAAAATTTCAAAAATATGGTGGATTCGTAATTTTCATAATTCAATAATCACCTCAAGGGTTGTTTTTTAATGATATCATTACGAAGAAAATTGCGTGACCACAATTATTAGTCTGAAATTTTCAGACGACTTTTTAGTTCTCATTTTATACCGATTTTCAAAAATGTTTATTCCTTAATTTCAGGAAGTTCATTTTCTTATTTTTCATTTATGTAATTCCAGAAATTTTTAGATTAACGGTTCTAGACCGATGTTTGGAACTTTTCCTGCCATAATTAATTCTTAATTCTCTAGAATCTTTAAAAAGATGATGTTCTGATTAGCAAAAAAAACCATAAATTTTATTTCCAATTTTCCCAAGTACGGTACATCCTCTGCGTCACTGTCACCGTTTCGAGACCGACCACCCCATTGGGTAGGGTCAAAGGCCGACTGGAAAAAATGTTTTGGAATCCAAATTTCCGGCCTAGCTATTTTTGTCGAATTTTTTCATTCCAAGGCAAATGCCTATTCAAAAAAAAACATTGTTTTTATACATTTGTAATCAATATGCATATCTTTTTTATTATCCCAGGTACAATCATATATTTTTCACACAAAAGTCAGAATGATCGTAGATTGATCTGCAATAAACATAGGCATAAAAATACATGCAGCCAAGAAAAAAAACTGTTCATTCCCAATTTCATTTGCGATGTTTGCATCTTATTGAATGATATTTTTGGTCGCTTCAGGCGCCTTTGTGCGCTTTTTCATTTTTCCCTTCAACAATTGATTCAATAACAAAACCGAAACACTTTAGTCGTTACAGATATTTCGCGACTATTGAAATCGGATGACAACGGTTTACCCGAAAGTTTACAAGACTTTATTTTGCAATACTCAAATCAATATACAAAAGACGATTCGGATAAATCGCGCAATATTCGGCCACCATCTGCAGATTCCGGAATCTCGTCGCCGATGTCGGCTAAAATGGTACCATATTCATCGCCACAAAATCCACAAGGAACATATGCAATCAATAGGTATGCTTCTTTCTTTTTTTTTTAGAAAAAAATGGGTTATAAAAATAACATGATTTTCTCCCTTAAATAAATGATAATTATTGTTTTATGTTCGCCATGTTCATTGCGACTTTTTTCGAGGTCGCCCCGTTGTTTCATTTTTATTTTTGTCCCCATTTTCTTCAATTATTTACTTCCTTATTCCCCCACTCACTTGATTCTGATCTCTATTTTTCATCTCATCATTTGCAAAATATCGGTATTCTGTTCAAATTTCACAATTCTATGTATCACCAGTTTCAGTTTCAGTACCAAAGGTTGTGTTTTTTTTGTCTGAAAATTTATAAGAGAAAATTGATAATGATTACTGTAGTTTTATTTTTAGAAAACAGCATTCAAAGAAAACAATTCGATTATCTGATAACCAAAAATTGATTTTTTGATTGATTTCAGTGCACCTTCAACACCAATCCTTCCAAGAACACGTCTCAGCCCAAGATACGATCCAAATTCAACAGCAAAGCAAAGACTTCATTCACTTATCAAAGACAGTGATTTAGCCAGTGGTTTCCATTGGGTTTTCACTACTGTAAGTTGTCAAAACTTAAAAACTCTGATCATTTTTTTTCAGTTGTTGCAAACTCCAAATGGTTTGGTAACACACGATGCCGATGGTGATACTCCACTTCACATTATTATTGCTCATCTCGATCTTGCCAAAATTTATGCATTATGCGAGACAATGAAAAAGAAAAGCACAAATGATGACGATGTGTTCAATATCATCAACCAACACGGAGAAACACCATTGTTTTTGGCGACAGTTGCGCGAAGTGAAGAAGTTGTTGAATATCTTCTTGAGATTGGTGCAAATCCAAATACCCAATCAAAACGAGGTGATCGTGACACAGCTCTTCATCACGCTGCTTCTCGTGGACTTTCTGAGATTACTTTGATTTTGGCAAGCCAAAGCGATATTTTGTTGGATGAAGTAAATGCTCGTGGACAATCTGCTTTGTTGTGCGCTGTTATGAATCATGGAATGCTCGATGAACAATCACAAGAGAAAATAGATAATAGCAAGGTTATTGGAACTTTGTTGAAAGCAGGAGCCGATCCATGTTTTGCCGTAAGTTGAATTAGCCAATAGACACTGTAGCTACGCCCCAAATTTGTTCTTATCTACCGTAATTCTATTTGAAACACTTAAGATAATGGAGAAAATTTTGTAGGAGCGAACCACTGGAAAAACAGTTGTACATTATGCTGTTGAGAAAATGGATGTTGAATTATTTGACGTGAGTTCTTCAAAACGACTGCAAAATAATTCAAAAGACTTGTGTTTTTTCAGTTGTTGAAGTCAAAAGTTGATGAAGACACATTCACTTCTTTAACAAATATCCAAGATTTTGATGGCGATACTGTAGTTGATCTTTTGTATACATCTTCACCTACAGAACAATCGCAAAATAATCCAGTTCGACAAGACTTATATATTCGATTACTTGCATCTGGAGCTATTGGAAATAAATCGAGAGTTTGAATGTTTTTTTTTGTCATTTTTTTGTTATTTTTGTTACTAACTTCCTTCAACGAAAATTTTATTATCGGTTCATCAAAAAATTCTGATTCTGTATTCTATTACTGATCTCATTCCCAATCTTGTATCACAAAAATATTCGGTTCGGTTTCTTCTCTAACTACGTTGTCTTGATTTTTTGTATCTTGTTATTCACCAAAAAATTTCAAAAAGGTTAATCCCCTTTTTTTTAGATGAAACAATATCTCAGTGGATTATCCGAAAGTATTTTGATATTTTTGGAAACATTGTTGTATTCTTTTTAATATCAGTTCCCAGTTGTGAAAGATTTCTATTTTCTTTTTCTTTTTTTCATCCCTTGTAGTTATTTACCTGTTGTTTGTCCTTTTCAAGAAATTCTTAGAATCTGATTGCTGGTACCCGTTGTATATTATTCTTCATTCCTTTTTTGTTTCAAACAGTCAACGTTTTTTTCTTCTTCTGAAATGTCATGCTTTTATGTATCTACTCGATATGATTTATTTCCAATAAAAGTAGTTGAGTTTACTTTTGTGTTGTTTGATTGGAAAATATTGGTTTTTTCCATAAATTTCCAGATATTGTTATGAACAGCCTGTTTTTATAATGATTTGGTTTTTGATCGAATCAATTCAATTTGGGATTTTATATGCAAAAACAAAATAATAAAGAAAACAAACCATAAGATCAAAATTTCAAGTTTTTAGTTTTTTGCATCAAAATATTTCCAAAGATCATAAAATATGAGTGAACTCAGAAAATAAGAAGAAACAATCGAAGAGAGTTCAAATCATGAGACAATAACTTTTGATACATAATAAGGTGAGTAATGAATAGTAAATAGACGCACAATCAGAAAACTACTTGTTTATCACATATATATATGTATAATTACTTTTTTTTTAATGGTTGGGTTCCTCTAATCGTCTGCAAAAGGGAGTTACGGTGTTGCGCGTATGTCTACAAACACGTACACGAAAATTAAAAAAACTGTGCATTAGAGCGCATTTTCTTGTTTTATTTCATTTTTCAGGTTTCAACTCGCCTGTGTTTTTGAGCGAAAACCTGGACTGATTGGAACCTTCCAGAAGCACCTTTTTTTCTCAATACGAAGAAAGGTTTTTTGGAGCAGGAATCCTTTAAATGATTTAACCTAAAATCAGATGAAGTGTTCGCCGACACCTTGAAATATTGGCTGCGCCATCTCCCTTCTAAAAACGTTTTCCCACTCCACACTCAAAACGTATGCTTTCTCACATTCACAGAGTTTGAAAGACGTGCAATATTTGAATCAAACAGTTTGCGCGCCAAAAAATAGCCGAAACCAATTTGTCATCAGTCTGTCGCTTTTTTTCTTCCTCACTTTCTTCTTCTTTTTTCCCATTTGCCTAACCAATTTTTGTGTTTTTCTTGTGCAATAATCTATTGTTCTTTCTTTTGTCACACTTCTTGCCACCCTTTTCTTCTATTTTCCCAGACCCGCGCGCGCCAAATTGTGGTCAGTTTTCTGTCTGGGTCATTCATTCTAACAAAAAACACAAAGTGCACGCCTTTCATTTTTTGGTTTCAATAAATAAAACAAATGTTACTCTGTCTCCTATTTTTTGCTTTTTTAACCATGTGATTGTATAAGTCTCCAATTTTTGTGCGCTGTTTTTCTTTCCCTCTGGTTTTGAGATACGTTCTATTTTTCTTCATTTGTTTGTTTATATTTTCTTTGCCTTCTTCTTTTTTTATTCATCATCTAAAACAGTTTTTGTTCTGTTTTTCTTCCATCAGTTATGAAATATTAACATTTTTCTATAAATCTACTAACTCTAGCTGTTATTTTTCTTTTTCTTATGAAATTAGAGTTACGAAATATCACTGAAAAAATAACTATTTTTATAAAAAAAAACATTTGTTGATATTATATTCCTCTTTTTCGCCCGATCGTTCAATATATTTGATATTTTTTACACTTTCCCAACCATAAAATTGCTTTTTTTGTAGATGATGGGCGACCTGCGCTATGCTCATCTTCCAATCATTTTTGCTATTGTTTTCACTCTTCAAGTCTGTAAGTTTATTTTGAAATCTTCAGATCACCATTTCGGACATTAAAATTCAAAAATGAATAATTTCAGTCGCGACCTACACTTTGGCTCTTCTCAATGGCAACATTGATCCATTTTTGCCATATTTGTCGTCGGCTGGAGATCTTCGTCCACAATCTTGTGTTTTTGGATTGTTCACCAACATCTGTGCAATGCTTTCGTGGGTCATCATTTTTATGAGGTCAGTTTGTTATCAAAACTATGTAATGTAAAATGAAAACATAGCATTTTTTGAAAAAAAAATGGAGCGGAATGTTAGGCACAATTCGAAGATGGAGAGAACGTCTTTTTCAAAATGTTTTTTGTTCTGACGTGACAAAATGGCGTAATAAATCTGACTAAAGATTGTAAACTTGTGCCTAGGGGCAGTGCCACTAGTTGAGCGTGTCTCCCTAGCAAAAAAAATTCATTTTGTAAAAATAAATTTATGTTTATCTCGGTCACTTGAAATTTAGATTAATAAGAATTCCAATCGGACACCCTCTTTCATTTTGTGGGTTCGGAAGACTCCCTGAAGCTGGAAAATCAAAGTTCTGACTGTAGAACTTCCCGCAAATGTGAAGATAAAAAATAATTGATATGTAGTTTTTTCGTGTTGACAACTGCTACTCACATCATATTTTTAGAAATTAATCCAAAGATATTATTAATCAAGAATCCTTACCAGGGTTCCGAACTGGGTCGGTTCTTGGGGCAGATCGGGTCTGGTTCGAGTGGGTTGGACCCAGATCCAGAACAAAAAAAAATGGATAAACTACCCAGAACCGAACCCGAAAAAACAGTTCTGGTTCAGACTTTCAACGAGAATCAAAATTTCGGTTTTTGTTGAATTTTTTCAACGAGAATCAAAATTTCGGTTTTTGTTGAATTTTTTCAACGAGAATCAAAATTTCGGTTTTTGTTGAATTTTTTCAACGAGAATCAAAATTTCGGTTTTTGTTGAAATCTGGAAGAGCTTCCAATTTTACAAATCCATCATTTTCGAGCCAATTTTCATGATTTCAGGTTCGGAACCCTGATCCTTACTAATGCGAAAAATTTAACAAACAAGCATGTACATTTCAAGTTATGATCTTAGATATTGATCTTACAATAACAAAATTAGAATTTCAATAATTTTCACAACCACGAATACATAGTTATGTTTTCCGAAAAATCGAAAACCAAACATTAATATTCTAGACACAAGTTCTGCACATCTTTGCACACGAACACCAGATTCTTGCTTCCACGTGCTTGCTTAAATGTCTCGAAATACATTGGATATGCAGCCGCCGTTGGAATGTTCATTGTCGCAAACGTTCAGGTATGCTGAATTTGACTTCAAAAATTTTTTTCAACATAGAAATGATGATTTCAGGAAACAGCAATTGTTCCAATCCATCAAACTGCCGCTATTATGACATTCGCCTGTGGAACTCTCTACATGTGCTTCCAGGTTTGATAAAAAAAAAACAGAGCATATAAGTTCAAGCAAAATAATTTAATTTTCAGACATATGTAACTTACACAATGTCTGGCCGTGTTGTTCACCAAAACTTGGCTCGATTCAGATTGGTGTTGTCAATCTTGGCTGTCATCTCGTTCTTTGGAGCTATCATTTTTGCAGCAATTGCAAGTCACGTTTTCCACTCTTATTATCCAGACTTGCCAGTCCCAAGACCATGGAACAAGAAAATCTGGCAACCAGTATGTTTGATATTTTTTAATTTATGAAGAAGAATTTTAGATATTGATATTTTCAGGGAACTGGATATCACAATGTTTCGGCGTTTTTCGAATGGGCTGCCGCTTTCCTTCACTGCATGTTCATTGTCACTTTTGCCAGAGAATTTGAAGATGTTGAAGTAGAAGTCTACATCTATCATCACAATGCGGAAGAGTTGAGCAATCAACTTCGCGCTGATCTCGAACAAAATCCATATGGATGGTAAATGATGGTTTCATCGTTTTTCCCCAATTGTTTTTCATTCTGTTTTCACAGGGTTTTGAGGGATTTTTTGTGTTTTTTTTTTGTCATCCTGTTTGTAACCTTTGCTTTATTCTATAACTGTTTGTGTCTTTTTCACTTGTTTTTTTTCACTTTTGTTTCGCTTTTCTTGTGTTTTTGAATGAATCATTTTTGTCGAAATTTTTAAAACAAAGAACAAACATTTATTGTATGTAGGATGACATTCAAAGATTGAAAGTATCTAAAATTATTGTGTTGCTAGTTGGGTCGAAATTTATTCTAGTTAGAAAAAACAATCCATTTACATATCTGTGGTGGGTAACAATTTTCAAACAAAACATCTTACATTAATTGTACATATATCAACGCGAACATTTATCACCATTAGTATCAGAATTCCGTTTCCCAAATTTTTGTATCATGATAACCCCCCCCCCCCGTTTCTCAAATTCGCATTTGCATTCGCACCAGTTGATTTCGTTTGAAGACTTCAAACACCAGCTACAAATTTTGTGTTAAAATAACATGTGCAAAATTTCAGACATGTTCAATTTATTGCAAATTCGTTTGACGTTAATCGGCAATACAAAATTTGTTCGAACAGGTGCATTTTTGTTTGGTTTGTGATTATTATATTCACATTCAGCCTTAATTTGGTCGTTGATCGTTTTGAGATTAACTCAGATTACTGTACTTTTGGTCTACGATTAATCAGATCAAGTGATGTTTTAACACATGAACAATTTGATTATTTAAAAAAAATGACTTCAGAGATGATAATTTCAATAATTTTGATTTCCTTGATTTTTGTTGAACTTTAAGAAATTGGACTTTGAAGCATAACAAGTTATCGATGAGAAATGAAATGTGTTTAAAAATATATATATATAATTATGTGGTTCCCAAACTAAATTTTCAGGTGACTCGTAAAAAAACCTCTCTCCGATATATTATGAAATCTTATCACGATAATTGGGTATTTTGGAGAAAAAGGTTCTGCTATCATGTTTTGTTTTCAAACCCAATTTTTTTGTCATTTGCACAAATTTGACAATGAAAAGTGTGAATACTTGAAATTACATCTGTTGGTTCCTTCCACATCTCACCCAGACTCCCATACTTTCATGATGTTTGCTTATTGTTTTCAAAAAAAAACTCAAAAATGAGCTACCCATTTCCACAGGCAAATTCAGATGGATACATAATTGATCCATAATTGATACATCATGTCCCCAGTTCAGATGTATACATCGGGTACACATAATGGATCCATCTGAACTCGTTTGATTGATACTTGATGGACGCTTGATGTATCCATTTTCTCTTTATAACTCTTTTTCAAGTAGACAGTTAAAATTAAAGTTTATTCATAGTAAAAATTGAAATATAACAAAATTAGAAGTTAGAAGAACTTGTTTTTCATGGTGTGGGCGCATCTTTTCGGTCATCTTAATTGGATTCTACAAGGAAGATGGCAGTTGGAGCAGGTTTTGTGGTCAACACGAGCAACGGCGAAGGTTGATTTCCTAGCTCGAGCAGAGGCCGCTTTGCGGAGACTAACGTGGAGTTTTCTTGACCTCTCATCTCTTGGTGGCTTCCTTGAATCCGCAACCCTTGGCAACACCCGATGTTGTCGATCATTTCATATTTGGGAGAAGTCGGAGCCAATCAGAGTTTTCTTCTCGGTTCTCACAAGCTCAATCGACCTTTTGAGCGACGAATCCTCCGTTGATTTGGATTTCGACCAAATCAATATTCATTCATTTGACACGGCGGTCGAGAACCTTGGCCTGAAAAGAAAGAACCATTTGAAAAAATGTTCTCATTCAAGTTAACCAACCTGAGTGTGAGTGATAACATGGATTGATGAGCAATACTTCCTGAGATATTTGAAGACTGTTTCTTCTCGCCATTTAATTTCATTCCATTATTACGGACCAAGTGTCTTCCTAGCCAAACTGATGCATTAGGCAGTTAGTTCGATAACCTTCTTGTACACACTGTAGTGACCTGAAAAGTTGTTTTTATTCACGAAGTTCTTTAAATAATCAATTTACCACTGTTTGGCAAATAGTTGATGTCGATTTCGACGTTTGAATGAGAGCGATGTCTGAAAAAAAAAACCAGTTGACAAAAGTAGTAAATCAGTGTGTGCGAAATTCAAGAAAGTACGATATAGGGAATTTCAATTTTCAGCTCTGATACGGAATCTTCTATTTCATTTCATTTAAATGTTGCTTCAATTGAATGAAATTGAAAAAATGTCTCGTTTTACTACCTAAAATCGAAAAAAACCAATTTTTCAAAGTTTCTGGCCTAAATTCATGTTCAATATGCGAATTTCAAAGTTCTGATGACATTTGCTGCTAGATCCTAGTCGAGGAACATAATCTATATGTTTTCCGCAGTTTTTAACCCTCAATTTCTCTATGAAACGGGAAACAAACAAAAAAAAACGAAAAAAAAAAAGAAAAAAAATGTGGCGTGCAAATCGTCCGAGAGAAGTACACACACACACATTTCGCTGCAGGATAAATTCATTGAAATGTCTGCGCCTTTAATGTTACACTTTTGCGCACCAATTAAGAGCACTTGAGTGAAAATGATATATACCATTCGACTCAGAATTTCACGCTGAACAAAATGATTATAAATTCATCCCTTGTTTCGAGCGGTTTCCAATTTTTCGGTTTTTGAGAAATGTGAATGTTTATTGTGAACTTCACTCAGTTACACTATACCATTCGATAAAGTTTTTCCTGCTTAGAAATATCCAGTCATCAGCTTTTGTTGAACCACTCGTAAAAGCTCAAAATTTAGCCCGAAATTGAGTAAATGTTTTTTTTCGCTTTTTCAGAAGCTTCTAAACAAAAGAATGTGCATGCATGATAATCGATCTCATGAGAAGATTGTATAAATCTTTCTGATATATTGAACAGTGATCTGTCTGTCGACCTACTTTTGTGCCCTAGATTTAAGCTTAATTAATTTGACGTTTTTTTCTGCATTATTTTTTGAAATGTAGCAAAGCATGTGAGTTGATTTAAAAAGGTATCGTGCGATTCATCATTTTTATCCATAAAATCGAGCTAGATTTAAAAATCGGGAATTCGCAGTGACTACGAAATCACCATTTATCATTTTTATCTTTAAATAGAATGAATGGAAGAAAACATGTTCAAAAAACTCTACTGTGAAGGAGGACTTGATGATTTATCAATAATTGGTACATTATGGATCCATCATCCATCCTCGATCCATTTTGAATCAATCAACTATCAGCTCAATCAGCTGAGTATCAATCTGAGACCCATCAGCGATACATCACCCCTGATTGATGTCAGATGGATCTTATATGGACCCTTGATGTAACCGAAATGGGTCGATTATGGATGATGGATCCATAATGTATCCATTATGTATCCATATGAATTTGCCTGTGTCCTAGAATACCAATTGTTTTTTCACACGAGCACATAGAGGATTTCTCGATTTTTTGAAAAACAATTTCTTTAATTATTTTAAGCTCTATAAATAACAAATTCTTTCCAGGGATTTCAACAAACTCGCATCATTTAAAAGCCATTTCCATATTCATAGTTTTTCAGCTGCTTCTGAAATTTTTCGATCTTTAGACCACATTACTTTTTTTCAAATTTATCGAATAATTATGTGAATACAAAGAAAAACCGAGAGAAGAAATAAAAAAGGAAAAAAAAATGTGGGAATAGTAGGAAAAGAGGAATGATGAACAATGCAAGTCACCCGGAGGATCTGTTACACCAAAATATTCGGAAAAATAATATGTGTTTTCTAACTATCATGAAAAAAAAAATGTTATGTAAACAGGATACAAGAGAAAAAATCGTTGGAATAAAATTGGACCAGGAAAAAATGACGGAAACACACACAAATGATATTCAATTGGATGATACGCTTTTTTCTAGCGATTCACTAATTATCGTTGTATTTTTATTTTGAAATTTTAGGGTAATTGATGCTAGGGTAGTGATGAGAAAAAAATTGTACTACTAGTTTTTGAAAAAAAAACAACATGATAAATAAAAGAACACAAAGAAAAAACCATGGCAAAGATGAATTGAAACCGAGATCAAATCAAGAAGAAACGAGGAAGTAGAAGTAGACTAGACCGAAAAATGAGAAAAAAACATTGCAAACAAAAAAATATTGGGATCATCATAGTATCACAAATTACATAATTTCTCTTTTGATTGTCTCCCAACCATGCGCTCCAGGTCCAAATTTGTAGACAAGTTTTTTCGGGTAGAGACCAGTTTTTGGGACGGGGACAAGAATTTGTTTTTCATAATAAGTGCGCATTGCTCGACTCAATTTCTCATACGTCATTTTGGTGTTGTTTTTTCGTTCTCCCCAGAGTCGAGCCAATTTCTCAGACTCGACGATTCGGAAAACGCCCTCGATTGGATCTTCCCATCTGAAATAACATAATTTTCATATTTCAAGTGGTATGAGGGGGGTGTGAGAAAATGGCCATTCCTAGAAGAAAAAAAAACAATTATTCACCTGACAACAGAAGGACAAGTTTCTGGATCTTTAAGAGCGTCTCGAATAAATTCCCACAATTTGTTTCCCTTTGTATGCTGTGAACGTTTTCTTGGTTTTCCATCTTTGTTCTTTTTGATCTTCAAGTCACCACTCGTTCGGTCTTCTGAAAAAATAATTCCCAGAATTATAATAATTTTTGAGAAGTTAACAAACCTTCAGCTTCATAATCGGTTGAAATACTGACTGGATATTTGACAAGAGGCGAAATTTTTGGTTGCTGAATATGAGTGCTCAATAAAGGTGATGCTGGATTTAATCCACTGTGAAGATAGCTTACGTTCAAAGGACTAAGACCTGAAAAAAAACATGATTAAAATGGTTTAGTCATCGAAAAACAAACCAGTGGTTAATCCAGCGGCTAAACTTGAAGCTAGAGATTGGTTGAAAACGGCGTTCACAGTTTGTTGAGGTGTTAACAAATGTGGATTGAATTGTGATTGTGCTTGCATCAGTGTTTGTTGTAGTGTGCTCAATTGATTGATTTGATTCTGCATAATTGGAAGGTGTGGTGGTGCCATTGTTGTTGACACAGATTGGATAAGTGCTGGATCAAAGGTGGCGAAGGGTTTGAAATTCGATGTGAATTGCGATGAAGTTGATGGGATTTCTTCGTCACTTTCGTCAAAGATCATATTATCCAACAATGGATCTTCTGGAATATTTATTCATAGTAACTAAATACCTATAGATATGATATGATATAATATAATGTGGAAAAAAAATGTTCGCACTCTTTTTCTTTCTCTTCCCTTTTTTCCAACATGATTAAAAGTCTCAAAGATTATTTAATCACCATGCCAACCTGATTTTTGAAACTTTAAAAAATCAGAACAAAAAAACGAACCCAAGACACTAATTGACTTTCGGAACTCGTTGAATATCAAAGTTCCAAACACAGGATCTCTGGCGAGAAAACACGTCTCTGACATTTGCAACATTGTTGAACCAGTAACAGATGTAAACTGAAATTTTTTTGTTATTGATAATATAAATGGAGGGATCTATTTGATTGAAACCCTTGAAAAAAAGATAAATAAAGTGTGATGGAAGCCAAAAAACTAAAATCCGTATCAATGATCATCCTCTTACTCACCCCATGCATATTGAGCTCTTCGAATGGGATATCGTGCCTTCTAGCAACATCTAACATCCAAGCAACAACATCATCAATAACCCAGTCGTTTGGATCTTTTACGCGGAATCTAGCAAGATCAACTCTGAAAAGAACATATGATGTTTGATTATACTTTTTCAATTTTTCAACTTACTTTTCGTTGTTTGGAATTGGCTTAAACGCAGTTACGTTCATGTGACTACGAAGTACGTTTTGAGTCGAATTGTTCAAGTTTTCCAATAGTTTCGGCAGACAACACATTAACAAAGGTGATAGCGATGGATATGTTGGAACAGTTGCAGTGGCTGTCAGCGATGCGGTATTACTTGGAGGAACAACCGAAAACGCTGACGGACCTGGTGACGTGAGGCCCGTCGGGCTGCAAAAAAATCACATTTTAATAATAATTAATTTGAATAATTAATTTTATGAACTAATGAAAAAGTATACATTTTCATCTTCATCCTGAAAATATATTTTTTGTTGAAATGAAATGAAACTAATGAGCAACTATAGATGTATGTGTATTAGTCGCTTCTAATGACCATAAATCAGTGCACATGATTAACCTAATAATAGTATTTCTTTTCAAAAAATTAATTATACCAACATTTTTTTCAGGAAAAAACTATGAATAATATTTCAAAAAAACGTCAAAGAACTTTGATCATTTCTCGAAAACTTCATTAACGAAAAAGAATTCAAAAATCTTTTTTCCTCTCTCTCGTTTTTTTTTGTATAACAAGCTAACATGAAAGAGATGGATCTTGTTCCGCAACGATGAATGCACTTTAAGCTTGAGAAAAATATGAATTTTTAATTTTTGGTATCCTTTCAAGAAAAAAAAACTAAAACAAATTCCAACAGCTGGAAAAATATATAAGATATCAAAAATCCGACTTACATATATCTATCATACTTTTTTTATTTTAGTAGATCAGAAGCTAAAAAATATCACGAAACTCACCCAAAAAATGTCGTTGATAACGGTGAGGCCAGTTCGGTTGCCCAATTTATGCCGCGCGTTGGCGCTGGGGCGAGGATTGGCGGGGTGCAAGCCAGTGCCGGACTATTCTGTAAATTTTTGAAAATTATTTAATGTAATGAGCTCAGGAAAAATATGAGTCAGTTTCATCTATGAGATTTGGTCGAACATGCGGAAATGCAACATGTTTTATGATCAGCTAAAAGAAAAATGTACTTTTATGGAGGAAAAGACGGGGGCACACATACGAGTCAACCAAATCTCCAGAGACTTTTCGAGAGAAGAGCCAAATAAAAAAAAACGTCTGAAGCTTTAAAGGAAGCTTGGACTTGCTTGAAGCGAATGAGAAATCATTTTTATTTTTTTTTTGATCAGAAAATAAAAATTGAAAATTGAAAAACGTCTAGAGCAAAAGAATTGCTTAAATTGAGACTAACTATCTAAATATATACACATTGTATTTTTCCAAACAGTTCTAAGAATTTTTTCCCATTATGAAAAGAATTTGTTATCTAACTATAAATATCTGAAACCGTAAATAGAAAATGAAAAAAAAATTGACAACATCATGCCTCGAAAAAAAGAGAGAAACTATAAAAACAGAACAAAAATCGATAATGATCAATGTGAAACATTTATGTATGTTTGGGGAAAAAGCAACGAGAAAAAACTTTGATAAAAGCGAAGAACAAAAAACAACACAAAATGTCCACTACAATTTATTAAGGGCTCATATAATTATACTCTTTCTTTTTCTTTTTTTTTTGAATTCTGATCCGACAAAAAATGTTTTTTTGTTGTTCATATCAGCAGAGAAAAAAACATTGAAAATTTCTTGAACGAGGAAAATTATAGACCTACAGATATAGAGTAGAAAAAAATTGACAAGGGTGGTATAGAGAGAGAGTGACAGAAAGATGAAAAAAATCGCGCAGGCAGTGTGCCTGAGGGCGTTGCACATGTGTAGAAAAACATAGAAATAGAGAAAGAGCAACTAACTGGCTATCGAGAGAGACATAGACGAGAGTTGAATGGAATTTAAGAGACGATGAATGTTTTTTTTTCTTCATTTGTCACTTTGGTCAACGACTTTCCAGTTATATTTTATTCATGCTCACACAGACCTTTAATGATGAACTTCTTCAATTTCTCTCTCTTTTTTGGAAACGCAAACAAAGATGGAATAAATTACTCTTTGCTCACTTCATTTCCTTCAAGAATTTTTTGTTATTTTGTTTTCAAGAGTAAAAGAAAAAAGATGAAAACAAGGAAATGTTTATCACATTAACCTTTCTTCTAATGACAAAAAAATTAGTCGCAACAGTTCATTTAACGGAAATCGACTGAAGAAGGAAGTGATTCTTCGCATTTCATCTTTTTTTTCTGTTTCTCATCTTGTTCTTCTTCCTTCGAATAAACTGTCGTAATGAGAATAAACCCGACAAAAAAGATTGATTGAAGAATAAACTTGCAGAGGAAAGAAAAAAGATAGAAGAAGATTCTCTTCTTCTTCCTCCTACACCGTCATCATCTTGTTCTTTTTCTTTTTCTTATAATTCACTCCCAGGTCCTGTGACCTCCCAGAAAGCAAATTCTTCATCTCATCTTTTTCACCCTAAAAATGTTGCAAAAGAGAATAGAGAGAGGAGAGAAGATAATAATGAATTGTTGTCTATATGAGATATAGAAAAAGTGCGACACATTTCCTGATTGCAATCAAATCGGTTAAAAAACTGGATTCAACTTTTCCCCCCAAAATTTTTTTATCAAATGATATTCCGGATGATTTGGATTATATATAAATACAAATATGTATACTTTTTTATTTCAAATTCCAATCATATTAGAAATCAATCTATCAAGAAACAAGTGATAAGAAGTTTATTTCCTCCTACATAAAAACCCTACTCGGAAAAAATTTTCCAAAAAAACCCAAAAAAAAAAAGAAAAATGTTGGCAACAGAGTTCGGCAGCGTCGAAATAACTCCTGGCTCAATCAACACAGTAAAGAGTAAATATGACGAGAAAAAAGTGACTAGTTGGAAAATTGGAAAATAGTGTATTGTATGAAGAGGGTGACGGTAATCGAGCAGAAAAGACGTGTCAATATTATTTCAAAAAGTTTCGGTTCGGGGCTCGGCGGAACAAAAAGGCAAAAAAATGGAATGTTGGTTTTTCGACAAAAGTTTTCCTTATTTTTTTAATTCTCAAAATCGATGAGAAAATATTAATAGTCATAAAACATTCAAATAATGTATGTATGTATGGTTATTTCTCAAGCGTCATTACATGATTTTTTTATTTGTCTCTGTGAATATGATTATTTTTTTCATTATACGAGCGCTTAGTTGATGATCGAATTATTCAAAAAATAAATGTATACATACATGTGTAAATGTCAAATCTTGCAAACTAATTCATTTCATCTTTGACCTTCTTAATCCCGGAAAAACATCAAAGAGCATACTTGGAATATTATATCTATTCCAGGTGAAAAAAATGAGAAAAAACTCTAAACTCACGATTTCGCTATCGGGCCATAGTAAATTTCTTTGCATAACGGATATTTGTTGATTTAGAAGAGAGAGTTTGAAAGACTCCTCATAACAGTTGAAGCCTTCCAGTGTCGCTGAAAAAATGAATTCATGTCTAACAAGGAAAAATTATAATTATATAGTGTTATTAAAAAAATATTTATTATGTTTTTGGAAAAAAATTGAGAAATGAAAATTATATGTTAGATGCAATAAGATCAGAGTTCAAAAAAGCAACAGAAAATTTTCAACCGGAAGATTTGCAGACAGGGAAGAGAAATGAAAGAAGAGCAATGTGTCCAACTGTTGTTGTAACATAGATTGAATTCCGGAAGAAAATGAAGAAAAAATAAAAGAAAAATTTGTCTGCGCTGAGTTGGATTAGACAAAATTAAAAACAATATTATAATAAAAATATTCAAACTTGATAAAAATGGGCGGAGCTTGTTTTAATCTTCTGATAAATGCTCCACCCATTATCACAGGCCAAATCGAATGTATGTATTTGAGAAGGAAAGAAAATATCATATCAGAATCAAAATCAAATCGAGATTACAAAAATGTTGAAGAAATGATAAGCGAGTGAGTGAATGTTGCATTTTTGAGAAGATAAATATGTCTAGAGGAAAGGATGAATTCTATTCAACACATATAAGTTCACGATCTACATTTGGAAGAAGAAAGGAGGGGGGGGGGCACAAAAAAAAGAGGCAAGATGTATTTTATATCTTCTTATTTCCTATCTTTAGTTATACATACATATTGAAAAGTGAATTCGTTGCCTTTTTCTTCTCTTATTCTCTCTTTGTCTCAATATTTTCTCTCTTCTACGATCAAACGACTTGAAAAGTGCAAACCGTTTTGGTCGGTTGGTTGATTTGGGATTTTTGTACTTTGGTCGATTTTTTTCAACGATTTTCTTTTTTTTTAGGACATTGATTCAAAAATGTTGCTATTCTGACACACAGATAACACCTTTTTCATGATATATTCATTGTTTTTCTTAATAAAAGAGAAATCAATCGGAACAAGAATGAAATCAGAGATCACTTCCTAGACATTGTTTTGAAGATTAAAAAGTGCATCTATACTGTAAATCTTCAGAGGAAATTGAAAAAAATTGTCGCGGTTTAGCGATAGGGAAAAAATCTTGGAAGCAATACACAAAATTGATGTTTTGTTTCCATATAAAATGATAAAAAATTTTGTGTATACTTGATTTTCATTCAAAAACATTAATGATCAACGATTAAAACACCCTTATTTTTTTCGTATACGAAATCGTTTCCGCATTTATTTTTTTCCTTGTTGATAAAAATATATATATCATGAAAAAAGTTGTTATTTCGAAACACAAGGAAGATTACTGTCAATCTCAAGGTTACGGGTTCAATCCCCACTTCCTGCCTCTATCTGATCGTAACTAGCTCAAAATTTATCCTAGTCTTGTTACATTTTCATTATATTTTTTTTTCTCTAATCTAAAACTTTCGGAAATTGCTATTAGTTCCTAAAGGAAATTGGCAGGTTATTTTTATTTATCTAATATTCTAACAAAAATATATATATTTATAAAATAAAAAATATATAACGATTGAAAAAATGGGGAGAGACGACAAGTGGAATAAAAAATCTCATAGGAAGTAGTTTTCTATGAAGACAACAACATCAACAAAAAGTGCGTATTTTCTTCGTTTTCTCTCACCCAAAAAAAACTAGAATCGAAAAAAGTTCGCTTTTTGAACGAAAAAACGCGTGAAAACATGCACTTTTGTCGAAAAACAACCAGGAACAAATGAACGAGACGAGATGAGAGAAAAGGACCCGTGAAAAATATTTCGCGGGGGAAAAAAAAATTTGTTGACAACAACAATGAACCACCGCAAGGACAAACAAGATCTCACTTGTTATCTTGTGATTTCATAAAGAAAGAAAACTAATCGATAACAAAATAACTGGTAACCAGACTGGAAGAAATGAAAATGTAGACCAAAAAACACGAAGAGAGAACAAAAAATTGCATTCTTCACAAAAAAGTGCAAAAGCTTCTCCTCTTCCTTCCGGGCGGAGCAAAAAAGGAGAAGCAGAAGAAACATTACTTTTCTGTTGCTCTTCTAGATTTTTGATCAACTAAAACTAACATTCACTCTTCCTTGTGTGTGTAGTTTTTGTTGTTTGGGAGAAAAATGTAATTATTGAAAGAAAAAAGCATCGACAGAAAAGTGCAACAAAATTTATGGTTAGGTCAAAAAGTGACTGAAATATTTGCATAACAATTATGTATATTTTTTTTTGACCTAAAAATTTCGAAGCCTCATTGTATGTGAAAAAACTTACCCCACATTCTTTAGATTCTCAGAAATAATTTAAGTTAGTAGCAAATCTCGCCTGAGATTCGATCTCCCTTTTACCCCGCCCCTAATTAATATAATCTTTTTTGTACTACATACAATTCTGAAGAAAATCTCAGCAGGAGCTCGAGCTCGTATCAAAAGAAAAAAAAATCGATGAAAATGAATTTCTAGATGATGAAAAATCATAGATTAGTTGCAACTGAACCAAATTGAAGAAAAAAGAAATGAGAAGGAAGTTCTGAGAACAAGGAAAAAAGAAAAAAAAAGAGAAAAGTTGGTGCCTACTGCTGCTGCTCATTTTCAAATAGAAGCAAAGTGGAAATTGAGAGAAAATGAATGAGCACAAGAAAATTCGAGAGATGAAAAGCAAAAAAACGAAAAGAAAGAAGAATAAGAAGAAACGTAGAACAACAGAAACCAACACAGATAAATACAAGTACAATTGAACTTACTGATTTGATGCAATGTCATTTCGGTTCTCTGTTGTTTGAATGGGTGGTTTATTTGTTGGACGGATGGACGGATGGATAGATGGAGTTGGTTGTTTCCAACAATTGGAAAATATAAATGTCGCTTTTTTCAAAATTGGTATAGCCTTTTTTCCGATTTGTGTTGGTTGAGAAATAGGCGGGATCGAGGTTTGATCAACAAACTGATGAATTAATTTATGTACCTGCAAATTCATTCAAGGTTCATTGCTCTTTTTTGAGAAAAGGATAAAATAAGATTTAGTATTTCTTGGAAAGAATAAGACGAAACCAATAAAGTGAAACAGCACATTCAAAAAACAAGAAGAAAAAAACGGTTACAAGTATCAATAAAAAATAGTCATTCACTAGAAAAATAAAACATACATATTCCGAAAAAAGACCTTCCGTGTAATTGAATATGCAGAAATTGCAAAGTTGCGTCACTCTGTGACCAACATCAATGTTTTTATGAGTTATGCATTTCTTATGATTTCTCACTTGAACTTGAAAAAAACTTTATTTTCATTTTTTTCGAAAAAATATGCACTTTTATTTATATACAATTGGAATTCGAAAGATAAAAAAATACAACAAAAAACGAACAATTTTAATGTAGTTTTAATACAAATAAATGTTGTTTCCGAAAGATTTATGACTACAAGAAAAGTGTTTTTTTTTTTAATATATTTAGTTATCAGTATTTTGCAAATATCAATTTATTAAACTGGGAGAAAAAATGACCAACAGATTTGAAACGTTTAAAAATCGCAGGGACCATTGGAAAAACACACAAACAGCGAACAACTTTAATATAGTTTTACTACAGAAAATGTTTTTTTCACAGGAATGTCGGCTAGGAACAAAGTTTTTTTTTTAGAAAAACACCCTTTCATAAATTGAGTTTTTTCCTTAGAAACACCTTTGCTAAGCAACTTGGCCTAAGTTGTAAAATTGTTTCAATGGAGTCAAGTGTTTTTGGATTATTATTATTTCCATTTTTCTCTCTGGCGTGAGGTCATAAAAAATGTGAAAATTTCGTGTTGGTTGTTCTATGAAAATAGAAATAGAAAAAACAATGAATATCAATTATATATCGTTCAAATGTTATTTTCGTCTAAAGTTTATTAACATTTGAAAAATAACAAGGAATAGTGGTGACTAATAAAATGATCTAACATAGAAGTTATTTCTTAGAAAAGCATTTTTTGTTCTAGACATATCACCTCTCTTGCTTCCTTCTTCCTTTTTTCCCACATCGTTTTTTGATCATTCAAAATGAATGAGCATGACCTAAAGAGTCAAGAATCAATCCAAACCCAAATGACATTTGGATAATTGAAAAGGAAACAATAGAAAAACCCAGACCCCACGCTTTGAAATTCACAATCATTTGTCATGTTTCATGTCCAATATGAAAAAGATCTCAAGCTCAAAAAAGTTCATCAAGTATGAATGCGCTTTTTTTCTCTCTATTGACATCATATATGGTTTTTGAGAGATGAAACGATTGGATTAGATGAAATTCATATTACTTGTTTATAATAAATTATAATACCAAGTACATCTCATGGAATTTATAACATTTTCTTTTTTCTACATTCAGCGGGAAAAGGAAGTGTGGTCGTTGATCAGTGTTCAAAGTCCGATGTTGGAAAAGACCGATTATGAAAAAAGGGAGGATGTAAGTCAGCAAAAAAACTAAGAAAAAGGAAAAGAAGTTTCAAGGAAAGGGACTTTTTCTTGTTATCCTTGTTCGGAAACATCAAAAACCACGGAACTCAACATGAACTTTGAGATTGAGGAGAGCAAAACAATTTTCCTCCTGGCTTCCTTTTGAGAAAAAAACGAAAGAAAAAGAAAATCATGTGAGTGACAAATCTTGAGAGAACAAAAATGTTTTTCAGTATAATTCCGGAATAATTTTTGATCGACAAAGTTTAATATATTATATTATATAGAGATATATATGTTTGTCAATAAAATGTAACATAATCGCATGTGAAATGAAATGAAAAAAATATGTTTTGTTGTTTGGTTATTTTGAAGTTTCAAATTAAAAGTAGTGCATTCTATTTTTATTTTCAATATATGTGTCAAACACCTACGCTGTTTTATTGACTCAAAATGTTTTAATTGATTTTCAGAGACGGTATGCGATGTAAGGGTCCCAATGTGAGAGTTTAAAACTGGGCTGACACGCAGGAGCACAAAATTCTACATTTTGGGAATCAGACAAAATCCCACACTCTGTGGGAGGTTGTCACCCAAACGTTTTTCTCTGCCACAATAAGGCAATTTTTAATGTTTTTTTTTATCAGTAAGTTTTTGGGACCAAATGATGAAACAACTATAAATGTCTCATAAAAAATGCGTTTCAAAAATATTTCAAATAAACTATGTATAATTGAATATTCTTTTCGTGGAGCATTGAGATATGTTTCATTGTGATGCACTCATCTGAATAGCAAACAACAATACTCTAGTAACCAATGATCATCTAATTAAAAATGCATATGTTCTGAAATCTCTTCTTTTTTGCTCCGGATATGTTTCTGAACTATACAAATTCGATTTTGCAAAACTTCATAATCTTTAATTTTCAGCTGCGTTCACAGCTGCATTAATATGATTTACGCACGAACATTTTTTTTGATTTCATATTCAGCAAAACTTTTTCGTTTGATTCCAAGGGTTTTCATACTCATAAAATATGAGAGCAAAAGCACTTCTTCAGATTGCTTATACAATATCTTTGATAAAAAATGAACTTCTATGAAAATATGACGTTGAGTTAAAAAAAAAGTAATTTATAGCTACAAGAAGTGGGAGTAAAGAGATTGATCAAATATATTTATAAAGTTTGCAGGAAGCGAAAACAGGAAATTACGTTATTTTCCTTGTTTTATTTCCGGGATATTGATGAAGTTTTTGTGATACAACATTTTAAAAATGTCAGATCCAAAAAAAGTAACAAGGTATCCAAAAGTAGGAGAAGGGGAAATATGATTTTCAATTACATTGTAGATACAAAAAAATGTTAACCAATTTTCAGACCAAAATAATAAATACCAAAACCCTAGACAATATCTCAGACTGAAATTATATATAACTCTGGACATTTTTCAGACAAAAAAAATAATCCATATTAAAACTAAAGACATTCTTTCATACTATAATTATAGATACCAAAAACTCTAGGCAATTTTTTATACCTGAAGCAAACGAGAGAAGCAAACGAGAGCAAACGAGAATTAAATGGAACCATAACCTTTTCAGAAATTACTCTCGAATAACTTTCGAACTTAAGAGTGTCGAACAACTTCTAACTATGAATTATTAAAAGAAATTAGAAAGTTTTTTCTATTTTTTCACGCGAAACCACATTAATTTTTCATTATCAGATTCCCTCATGTCAGAAAAAAACATCTTGAAACAAGTTATAAACTTCATGGGGGTGATCTTTTTGACCTTTCATGAATACTAAAATACACTTTTCCAATTCATAATTCTTTTCTAAAAAGTCGTTGGTTTTAAGGGTTTTCAAAAACCTATGAATTCATCATATCAGAATTTAGCTGGACAAACAATTATATATAGGTAAAAAATTATAGCTTCTCATGTGAGTGAATAGGGTTTCGTGATTTTTATTTGTGCTTTCTTGCTCAATTCAATTTTGGCCATAACACATATTGTGTATTCTGTGGTTTGGTTGAAAATATGACACATTATTCTCCACATGTGATGAGAATAAAAATTTATTCTGAAAAATGATTTGGCAACGCTTTTCATTCAACATATGTATATAAATCTAGTAGCACATTCATGGATGTGGAGGTGGAGTAGATTTCGAGAAAAAAACCATATGGGATTCGATTATTGACTGCGGCCAATATATAGAAGATCTGAAAACTTTGAAACAATGATTATTGAAATATGGATAAAATCAGACTGATTTCGTTAAATTCGCTGGTGGTGTTGCTACTATCTTCGCAAATCAAACTAAATGATCTTTTGAAGCTACGGTTTTTAAAGCTTAGTTTTTGATAATCAACTTTTTCAAATTCAAAAATTTTCTTGTTAAATTTTCCCTGTTTTCGTGAATGCAAGAAATATTCAACTTTTTTTCAGTTGCCTCAACCGTTTTATGATAAAAATAAGTATATTATTATTAAAATTGTGGCATCTCTCTCAAAGTTATCAAAAACAGTTCAGTAGCATAACATCGACAAGTGTGCAATTCAAACTAAATGGTTTTTCAAAGTTACCGAAAAGTTCTATTGAAAAATACATGCTATTTTTACAAAAACATAAATACTTACAAATTTTTATCATTATTTCATCGTCGCAAATCTACCAATTGTCCATTACCATTTCTCTACAACAACAAAAATCATATGAAACATGTTTTTCAGCAAAAAAAAACAGTAAAAAACGTTTTGTGAAAAAAAAAAGAAAATAATAAAAGTTTTTCCGAGAGAAATACAAATTTGTTTGGTTTCCTACTCCACGGCCACACATTCTTCAGTACTTCTCAATTTTATTCAATCGTGTGTGTCTCGTCTGATGTATTTTTCAAGCGAAAACACTACCAAGAACATTTTAAAAATAAGTTTTTTTGTGGGAAATAGATGAAAGACTCTTCGAGTGACATTTTTCTAGTGAATTTGTATTAGAAAATCTGGAAAATTCATTGTTTTGAAAGAAAACTTAATTTTCAATTCAATATTTTTTGATTTGATGTTTTCTTTAGGCGATGATGCAGATCAGTTCCTCCTCGGGGCTAATTGAGGAGAAAGAGGAGAAACGTGTTCGCAAAACTCTAACAAGAATATTTTTAAATTTGAAAAGTTTATTTTTGAGAAATAAACATTCACAATGAGTTGAACATGAAACTTTAAAAAACCATTCAGTATTAATTGAAAACTTGTCGATGTTATGCTACAAGTTAAGAGCATCCGAATTGAACAGCGAAGATTATGAGTTGGTAAAAAGAACATTTTTAAATCATTTTTTGGTTTTTTCAAGTTTTTTCAGATTCCCCAGCTTTTCCAAATTATCCTTAACCCAAACACAAACGTTGAGATCTCGATTTCTAATTTTGGACCGTAAGATCAGAAACAGCATAAACCACAAACTTTATAGAAAATCTGGAAAAATCACCATTTATCCTCCTGATTTTCAGAAATGAACAAATTCGTTATTATGATGAGAAATTTTATATTATTCAAAAATATACCAATATCATTTTCGGATTTTTGGTCTCGAATTTTCGAAAGCGGAAGAAATCTCGAATTTCAGATTTGTTTATTCATGTTTCATAAACTTTCATTTGATTAATAAAAAATTATTTCATTATAAGAATACACATATGAAATTTGTAGCTGATACAATTGATTTCAATGATTCACATTTCTATTTATAAATTTTTGATGTTTTCAGATTCCTTACTATTTATTATGAGAAAAAGTATAGATATATTTACATATGTTTCCTCTTTCTTTTCTTCACGGTGTCTTTTTTCAACTTCAACATCGTTCCATAATTAACTCTTTTATATTTTCCGAATATCTATGGAAAAATATTTTAATGCGAGTTATTATTTTTATTCAAAAGTGTTTTTTTTTGCTTCATGACAAAAAAAATTGCTTATAAATTTATCGCAAGCTTTTTTCCACAGCTCCGAATATAATTGAAACATAGAAAAATTATTCAGCATTTTCACACGATCATGAGTGGACTTGAGAGTACAGAATGGAAGTTATAAATAAAAGTAAAAGTATACCACCGGCTGGGAATTTGATTTTTTATTTTATTTTATTTTTCTCTAGCTTTATTCAGATTTCAAAAATATATATTATCGCCCAAGGCGATGAAATAGACAAACCTTTGTGCTTGCTTCAACGAAAAAAAAAAAGAAAGAAGAAGAAGCAAAAAAGTTCTAGTGTGGAACAACTTGATTAGTCTAATCAGAACATCGGTGAATCCAATGTGCCCGCAAATCTTTGATTCAATTTATCGTTGACAAAAAACACACGAACAAAAAATGTGCGCTTCAAGTACTTTGCCTTCAGATTCTCGATTAAATTTCTTTCTTCTTCTTCTTCGTTTTTGACTTCGTTTTTCTTCACACTCTTCATACAAAAAAACGAATGTCATAGATTATGTTCTCCATTCTATTCGTGTTGGATGGACAAAAGCATGCGATGAACATAAGCAAGCATCTGCAGAAAATTGAAAATTCCATAAATTTCCATAATGAAACAGAGCAAATTTTTGAGTGCTCTATTTTTTTGTACTTTTTCTCTCAAACCACATCATTCCTTTTCATGATTCAAAAAATCACAAGACTTGATTTTTAGATGATATTTGAATTATCATTTTTATTATGTTCAAAATCTAGAGGTTCATACTTTTACGTCATGAGAAAGTATTTCCCGGAAATAAATAGTTTGTAGCTAATTTTCGTTTTGAAAATAAGCTTATTTTTCCACAAAAACACTATTTAAATGATTCATTTCAAGCTCATTCTAGTGTCAAGTTGATTTATATTAATTAATTTCTGGTTTTCGAGGATTCTATTTTTTTCTGTTTTGCTCTTTCCCTCTCTATTTCTGTCTCTCAATTAATTTTAAAAGGTTTGTCCTGTCCTTATAGATTTGTACATTTGTAGTTCAAAAATCTTCACCCCGTGCAAACAATCAAATTCCATGCCCTTTGATTTTCACACACCTCCGTGAAACTTTCTTCTTACTTGCAATCACCAAGGTTTCATTTTTTATTGTGAATATGTTTTATTCAATTTTTTTATGAATATAATACTCCTTGTTAATGACGCATGATTATATCTCATGATAAAGCATTTATCAATTCTATCTAATTGACATTCCTCATTTTTTATAATTCTTCTTCTTCTATTTTTTCCTCAAGATGAAAAGGGACACAAAAAGAGCACCGTAGTTTCTTCTTCTTTTTTTCCTTCCCTTTTCTTCATATTTTTTTCCATATTAGCTCCACCCACTGTTTGGACCCTAGCTCATTTTTCCCAATTTATTCGAAATGTACTAGATGATATATCTCAAAATTCGAATAATCATGAGCCTCAAAAAACCTTTTTTTGCTTTCATTGTTGAGACACACATAGGGTATCAAAATAATTTCCTACTAATTATTGTTTTTCGTTGGGTGTATTTTTCTATATATGCTTTTTTGTGTTTTTGTTTTTTTTTCTTGCTCGTTTTTGTTTGGGATGAATAATAGGAAAAATAACAAGAGTTTCATTTAGACACTGCTTGAAAACTGATGAACGAAACGATCTCAGATATTTTGGCAGAAGATGCCAATCTTAGACCATCATGGGGATATTTGGGATTATCAGTTGTTCCGCTTGTTTGTATTTTGGGTAACTGTATGGTGGTTGCAGCGGTTTGGACAACTAAAAGTTTGCAAACACCAACTAATCATTTATTGGTGAGTTTGAGCCAGATAATTATGTATTCCCAAAAAAAAACGTTTCATGTTGAGTTTTGATGCTAGGAAGTTATGTCCACGACTAAAAATCAATCATACCATATGACTAATTCTATGAAATTTCTATACGAACCCAAATCTCTTGAGGTTTCTAAAAACTTTTTGTCTCACCATGTTGTACCTTAATGTCCCAGTAGGTTTCACTAATTGACAATCCTACTCGTCTAAAAATATATCTAACAGAAAAACTCAAAATACGGAATTCAATATTTTTTATATCTCAATTTTTGTATTTTTGTGTGGACAATTTCATTCTATTAAAGTTCAGCGAAAAATTGATTTTCAAAAAAGAGCAAAGAAAAGCGCGGTTTTGAAACATTAGTCATAGAAACTTTAAATTAATTAGAGTAATTCAATTGCTTTCGCATCCGATGAATCAGGACACGAAAAGAAAAACAGAAAAAAATACACAACAACAAAAATATTTTTTTGAGTTGAGTTGAATTTGAAATTCTTGGGATTCTTGGAATTTGAGGAAAATATGAGAATAATATTTAAGTTTTGGAACTTCCGGAAAAATAAAAGAAAGATTCTCTGTGTGAAAAATTCCTTTGACTAATTGGAAGTTAATTGCAAAACAAAAGTTCAATCCATCTGAGATAAATCATGCTACTTTCATGGCAACAAGATTTTTGTACTTAAATTATCCGAAAACTTTTTCACTTATATCACGTGAACCATTGAAATTGAGAAAAAATCTGAAAAAAAAAATGTTGTGTTCTCATAAAGACCAGATGTCGTAACATCAAATTCACTAGGAATTGGTGAGAAATTTAAATAAACTAAAAAATCTTGAGACATTGAGATAGGGCAGAATTCAACGAATATGTTCAAAAAAATGTTTTTATAGTACCTATATCACCGAAAAATTGATGTATATTTGCAGGTTTCATTAGCAATGGCTGATTTGATCGTTGGTGCATTTGTGATGCCCTTCAGTATTTATTTATCAGTTAGTCCCCAAAAATTATGAGCTATACATAATAAATCTAAAAAAAATTATAGATTAATCGACTCCATTGGCATCTTCCACTTTTTGTTTGCTATTTCTATTGTGTTCTTGATGTTGCTGCAAGTACTTCATCAATCATTCATCTTGTTTTGATAAGTATCGATAGGTAAGTTTGAAAAAACCTTTGAACTATGATCTAGACAAGATTTGAGATCCATCTCCAATTTCCAACCAAATACTTATTATTATATTTCATGAATGTTGCAAAATGTTCTGAGCAAATATGGAATTTTCAATTAGTTCAGCCCACAAAAATATATACATCTTCAGATCAAAAAGGTTTTTTTGCAGATTGGTCGCAGCTACAAAACCAGCAGAATATAAAACAATGAAACATAAAAAACGAGTGTATATTGCAATTGCGGTCACGTGGTTTTTCAGTATTGCATTATCATTACCCTTGGGCTCTGGATTCAACACAAAAACAAGAGATTTTCTGATAGCCGAACATCATTGTGGAATTTACAATCCGATTTATATGTTTGGCAGCAGTATTTTTGCGTTTTATCTTCCTTGTTTGATTATGATTTTCACATATGGATACATTTTTTATACTTTGAGAAAACGTTTGAGAGCCATTCAATTGCAGGTATTCATTTCTTTTTTTATTACTCATATTAGTTTCTTTTCATCTTATTAAGAAAAAAAATGTTATTTATTCAGGAAATGGCTGGTGGACAATTTCTTGGATTTGGTGCTGACGTGGGCAACATCACAACATCAGCTATGCAGTCGGTCATTGGAATTGCGCCGAAAAATCGCAATATGATCACATGGGAAAAACCTTTGCTCAAAAAGATTGAAGAGACGGCAGCCGAACACGCGAGTTCACTGAATGATAGCGAAAGAGAGCAGGTTGGTTGGTTGGTCTGAAACTACTTCTCGCTTTCTGCTGCTATAGGCCGGGCGCGAGAAAAATCTCTTGACAAAAATTAAAAATTCATCGAGAGAGAAATCGAGATGCTGCAAAAGATTTATATGATGAATGAACTAAAATTCTCACTATGCGGTTTAATAATTCATTAATTCGTCCTTAAGAAGAAAGATTTTTTTCGCGCGCGACAGAAATAGGGAAAGCGGAAATGAGGGACTATTTTTTCCAGCTTCAAACAATTCTCGAAGCCGTTCATCCGTCATCGTCTGGAAGTCAGGAAAACACAACAATCGAGGTAATTTCAGATTTCAACTCAAATTATCATGTGAGCCAAGTAATATAGTTCAAAACTATCGAAAAATAATTTTATCCTTGTAAAATTTTCATCAATTTCCAATAGATGGAAAACTGTTCCTTATGCATTTCCACTAATCAAAATTAATATATTCTCTACAGGAAGATCCGGATCGACCTCCCTCAGTTTTGTTGGAGGCTGTCACTTTGAGATGTGAAATTGATACAAGTGGTCCGATTCTTGAATTACCTCGACCAACTTACACAAAAAAGTAAGTTCAAAAAAGATCAAATCTCTTTCCACAAAAAAATGGAAAAATTTGCAGCATGTCGCGACGTTTTTCGGACGCTGTTAACTCAATTTCAAATCGTGGGCGAATGAAATCCGTTTCTTTCGGATCTGCAGCGCGTAAAAGACGACATTCACATCAACCTCAAGGAAATTGTGATGTTATTACTTCGGAAGAGTCCAAAAAATTGCATTCATTAAAACCTCCACTGGTATGACGTTGAATATTTTAGGGTTGCGTGTGAAAAATTAAAATTTCTGAAAAAAGAGAGAAAATTGAATTTAAAATTTAAATTTAAAAAAGTAGGTTGAATATAATTTAATGGAAAATTTAGCAAGGAACAATTTCGTTACCAGTTGGACCAACATACGAGAAAGACGAGTTTGTGAGTGCAAAAATTACACAAAATGTGACCACCTTAACAATCTGATTAGACAGTGAAACCTCATATTGTGTGCATGGCTTAAAATTTTAAACAGGAAGAAAACAAGCTGATTCTGATTCATGTTGTAATATTTAGGAAAACTATATATGTTTCTTATTTTAGGTTGAACGAAGAAAAATGAGAAGATTATCAGAAATGATTTCTGATTGGGAAAGACCATCAAGAAGTTCAATTAGTAATATGTATTTATATGCAAGACGTGAAAGTGTATATATTGCTCGGAAAAAGTTGGCTGGGTTAAAAGATTGGGCGTTGGATCTTCTTGCAAAATTAAAATCGAAACAGGGAATGGCGATTCGAAGAGAGACTAGGGCTACGAAACTTGTAGCTACTGTGATGGGTAAACCATTTTTTATAGAAAAATTCAAACAAAATACTATTTTTAGTTGTTTTCCTTGTTTGCTGGCTGCCTTTCTTCACCTTGAATATGTATAAAATTTATACATTATTATATTCAACCTGGCCTACTGAAATGGAATATTATTTCCATTGGTTTACTGCTCTTGGATACCTCAATTCATCTTTAAATTTCTTTATTTACTCAACTATCAACCCGGTATATTTAAAATGTTCTTCAGAAATTATTTTATCAAACAATTATTTCAGAAATTCCGTCATTCGTTCCGCCGACTTCTTGGATTCCGCAGATCATCTCGTCGATCTCGAGAAAAATCATGGATGCTTCCACCACGAGATAGTAGTCGTGGTCCAGCAAAATGTGGATGTGGTTTCCATAAAATTGTCAAAAGTCCTTTGAGAAAAACAAGTTCTGCTGGGTGGGTTTGGATTATTTTTTGAGCTAAAAAACTCTAAACTCTCAAGAAATAATAAAAAGTGATTATTTAGTTCGAATCCAGGGAATGATATTGAAATGAAAAGGTTTTACTATGCTTCTTCTTGATTCTAGCTAAACTTTTATTGCAAAAACTTCTCTCGCGTATCACCCCAGCATGATTTTCATCTAGGAAATAAAACTAATCTTTGAAATAACAACCGTTGAATCAGATTTCAGACCAATGACGAACCGCAAAATATCGATGCAAAAACCAGAAATCGTTATTGACGAAATATCACCAAATCGTATTTCAATTTCCGCCGGTGGTAATACAACATTCCGGTGAGTTAAGATAATGTTTTTTTTTTTTTTTTTGAGCAAACTACATTGAACAAAAATAATCAGAGAACACATAAAAAGGGAGTTTAGGTGCAGTGGAGTTGCTGTGTAGTAGTGTAAGTTTAGAAGGTTGAGTATACTGTCGTTTTTTTCATATCACGTACTTTCATAGATATACAATCCGCAATCACAAATTGCTTTTATGTAAAGTAACTCTAAATTCACCTAATTGTATATTATTTCTTTTGATTCAAGATATTTTCAGCCGCTCATCAGATGATTGTATTCGAAGATCATCTTCTGAAATTATTGGTGGTATAACTCTTCCCTCTACATCTACGAGTAATGATAAACGAAGGTATTCAAAACTCTTTCAAATACCTTCCAGCAAATTAATCACTTCTTTTTGCAGAGGGTCTGGCATGTCAAATAGTTCAGCATCTCTACATATTCATGAAACTCGAATGACATTTGAAGCAATGTGTAACGAACAAGGTGATTGTGAAATATTTGTCTGATTCTTTCCTATTTTTGTGTTGTATCCTATAATTTTGCCCCATCTCAACGTGTAATATACTGATATTTTATTGATCTATTTATTTATTAGATACTCATTTATTTTACTTATGCACATATATGTACCATGAACTTTTTTTGAACATTGAATAAATTTTATTTTTGCTTATATGTGAAGTTTTTCTGCTGAGAACATTTGGAACATCTATTTCCGGCTTGAATGGGGAAGTACATATGTTTGAAGTTTCTCAAGATATTTTATGAATTTGAAACAAATCTCGAAAATATTATAATTGTGGGAAAATATAAAACTTTTGAAAAAAGATTTTGTAACCACAAACTATTTTTGAACTTTACCGAAAAGGGCACATGGTTGGCTTTTTTTCTAAAATTATATTCATCGAAATCACACTACTCAAAACCCAGATCACCAAAATCAAAAAGTTATCACTGATAAATAATTAAAAGTTATTAATAAAGACTGAAATATCTGGCAAAATATGTGGGCAGTGAACATTTGCGCAAAAAATGGGAATCGGAACCAGGCACACGTTTATCCAAGAAGAAAAACCTAACGTCAAAGATGAACAATTGATCTACAAACTCAACTTTTAGCAATAGAAACTTTGAACTTGAAGGCAGTTCACTCATTTTAGAAATAATTGTGAAGGTTTTTTCAGAGGTTTCTAAAAGTTTTCCAAAACCTGAATTTTTTTGTGAATCACATTTTTTCCGAATTTCTGATGTCGTTTTTTGAACAAACACGTCAATGTTATATTTTAACTAATCTTTTATTTGGTTTCTGTATTAATTTCATTTCTGCATCTTTTATTGCAAAAAAAATCATCCCCTCTTTTTATTATAATAATGCAAGTGAGTTTAGAATGTATAACCACCACGTCACAATATTTGAATTTACAGAGAGATTCATCAAACTGGTTCAGAGTTACTGGCGTAAGTTTTTCTCACTTAAAATCAGATAGGTTCATGAAACAATTCAGATTTGAATTTTCAGCTTTCAAACAACATTGGTAAACCGTTGAAAGGAATATTGAAACCGCCAAGTTTCAAATCAACATCAAAAACTGTTGACAAATGTTTTATTGGATCTTTCAATCGCATGAAAATGTTCAAGACTGTTCAATTAAAAAACCCATAAAATAGAATTTTCTTTGTTCTTTAATCTAATTCCAATAAACCAATTTTTCTCTCCAATGTGAAAAACGAATGAAAATATGCTGTTTCAGAGTATTGTTTTTGTGTGTTATGTTCATTAATTTTGTTTTTGTTGCTCCTCTTCAGTCTTGAAAAAAATTTACCAAATAACAGAAAATTGATGCTCCTCTATTCATAAAATTGAAATTCTTGAGAGTTCGAAATTTATTTTTTTTTCAAAAAAATTGTTGACATGATTTTCTAAGATTAAGTGATGTTTTTTTTCTCAAGTTTATCTCTCATTTGATTTGATTTCCGATATAAAGTGTTTTTTTCTCAAATTCAATACCAGAATTCAGTTCGTGGCTGCCTTATGAAAGTCAACTTCAGAGAATTATTTTTATACTCTAAAATACACGCTTGATTTGTTATGTGGAAACCTTTTTCCTGTTCACATTTGTTCTCTGTTTTTGTTCAAAACTCGCTGAAGACTTGATCAAAACAGAAATATTTCTTTAATTTTGATTTATCGGCAAATCAAAGTTTTTTACGTAATAATTTATATTGCAATAATCAGAAATGTAGGTTTTCATGGTTGAATTCTGAATTATTTTTTAAAGGTTCAATTATGAATCAAGTGACAGTTCATAATGAAAAAAAACCAGTACAAAAGTTCCGAGATAATAAAAGTACCGAAAAAATGTGTTGTTTTCAAATTTCAAATCGCACCGTTATGAATTATTTGAAACTCCGAAGCTCCATATAATATTGCTTATAAGAAAAATGCTGACGCAAACGTAATTAAAATTCCGAGAAAAAAGCATTATTTTTAAATTTGTCTACAAACTTCTCAGAATAGTAATTAAACAAAATCGAAAGTACATAACCTTTCTATTTATTTTTAGTAAGTTGTGTAAGGTGATCCATATTAATTGGGGTTTTTGATCATTTTTGTTCAATTTTTTGATTTTTTTCAAACTATAAAGTCTTTATTCAAACTCGCCTCATCTGAATATTAAAGTAAGTCTAGATTCTATAGACCTCTAATGTGTTGTTTTCTTGTCAGATGTGAAATTTTATTTTTCATAGTTTCGCTTACCGAATGATTATTATCATCAATTTATTCACAAACTTCTTTAAAAGACAGTAGAGACTTGAATACTTTTACTCCAGAAATCTTTTTTAATTCTCAGCCTCTGAGCCTGAACACTGTTCGATGATCAATGCTTCAAAATAATTAATAAGGGACTAATATAATTGAGTTTCAAGAAATCATTACAGTATCTGATGTTCAAAAACCAAGTTAAGATGAATTTTAGAGATCAGCGATTTCTGATCGGATTTATAAATTCAAAGAAAAACCAATCAACGAGAAAATACAAAAAGTACATTTTTCTAGCCGGAAACATTTTCTCATCAAAAACGTTTCTCTAATTCTCTAGTCACATCATTTCCCAGAAAGCGATTTATAAAAATTATAATTAATTTGATCCATGATGTTCCAAACATTTTCAAACTTGTCATATCTCTTTTGGCATGTCTAGTCTCATTTTCCCCACATTTGCACCTACTCTAATTTTGTGTGCATTTGAGCGTGTTTCTGTCATATAATATTTCTTTAGAAAAATCTCATTTTTCATAATATTTTCAGCGATTTTTCAGAGCGGAAAATGGAGGAAGTGTTGATTTGGAGTTTTCGAATATTTTATTGTATTTATTTTGTATTATCGATGTTTTTTCAACTTCTCCTTCTAGTATTAATAGTAAAAGTAAAATCAAAGTTGTTGCTGGAAATGCGTGTATTTTTAATAAACACAACAATCTTACAAATTATTGTTTGCATATTAACCACTTTTCTGCAAGCAAGGTAGGTATTACAATATATTTTAATTGAAAAAAAAACAACCATGATTATTCAGAGTTGTTCCAAATAAAAAAACTGTCAGTTTATTATGTCTAGGACCATGCAAGTATTTTGGACAGCAATTGTGCGCAATCATCTATAAGATGCACCAGGTTAACTTCAAACGGTGGAAATTGAAATTGAAACCAGTGAATTTTTTCAGATGACTCATATTGCGAGTGCAACTTCGATTCTTCTTTCATTTTTCTATAGATTCAAACTTTTGAAGACCGGAGGAATTAGAATGTCAAAAACATGTGTATATTTTGTCATCAGCTATCTAATTCCATTGATTGGTTTAATATTATCACTTATATCCGCATCAGATTTGAATGAAATAACTGCCGAACTTCAAAAACTTCATCCAACATATCAAACTTCGAACTATGCAATTGTCGGATATTCTGATGTTGAAGGACCTACTGCTGCCATAAACTCTTTATTTTATGCAATAACAATATATTTGAGTCCAGTTTTAGCTTTTTATTATCGAAAAAAAATTCTGAATTTTCTCGATCGATCAAAAAAGGAAATTCGATCAGAGAAAATAAATCAGTCAAAGAGTATGATTATGGTACGTTCATTATGGTAATTAATAGATCATTTTCGTATTTTTTTATTTTAGGGGTTGACTATCCAATCAATATTTCCACTCATATCTTATATACCAGTTTTAACATATTATGCATACTCAACTTATGGAAATGTTATCAGCAATATGCTTCTGGAATATATAGTTAGTGTGATATCAATACTGTTCACTATTGTTGATCCAGTTTTAACAATTTATTTTGTTTTACCATATCGACGTGCGGTCAAAAAATTCTGGACTGGTGAAAAACCATCACCTGGGCTCAAAATATTAGTTTCGGATACACATGAAACAGTCGGTTTACTTTTTCTTTATATATGAATATTTTTGATTATTTATACTATTTTTTTTTCAGGTCTTCACAGTCCAACGCGTAGGTGTTGATCACTTTCAACCAATCATAGAAAATTGAATATTTGAACTGAACTTTCATCACATTTACGTAGAGTACATATATAATTGAAACAAACTTGTAATTATTGTGATATTTATTGAACCGTTGAACTTCATATTTACTTGAATAAAAATTCAGATTTTTCGTCATAAAAATTTTCAAAACTTCCACGCATTTTTCTTTCTCAAACGTCATATTTACCGAAGTATAAAATCAAGTTTTCATTTTTTTTCATTTTTTGATGTTACATTTTGAACATTATTTCCATCTGACTTCGCAATCAAAAACAACAGTAGACATTTTCTAGAAATGTTAAAAATACACGTATAAAGTAGGTGTTTTGAATTGTGAACTTTCTGTTTTTTCTCTGAAATCCACCTGGAAGACCTTTAGAAATTTGTTTTTTTTTACTTTGAACATGGGAAAACAAGACACAGTTATTGTTTTTTTCTCAATATTGTATAGGAGAACCTGATGTTATAAAAATGTTTGTGAGCATTTTTTTCAAATCCCAGTATGTAAAAATTATAGAGTAACAACTATTAATTATAGAATAATTAGCTAAAGAGAATATAGTTCAGAGTGCTTCTTAGAATCTGTTTTCGGTCTATAATGATTGTTGAGTGTATGAATTCGTGGGATGAAATTAATTATGTCTTTTTTTCTTTCTTATCAAAAAAACAACTTTGTTTATTATTATAAACTCTTTGCAATTTTCAGTAAGGTGTTTTTTGCACATTTGTGTAAATTGTGAATCAGTTTTCTGAAAAATATTCTGTATCAGGGTTCGCTTTTGAGGTGTTTTCTGTGATACATATATTTCAAGAACAAAAAAATCAAACTCTATAAACTCACGAATATAATCAAATAATATCTCCGATCAAATTGAGTTCAAAAAAACATCATAAATATATCGTAAAAACTTGATTAAACTTTTTTTAGTTAACATTCTTTGACTTTTTGGTTCATAACTGCACGTTTTCGTTTTCAGAGATGACTACAGTTGAAGAATATTTGATGCTTGGATATCGAATATATTATTATTTTTACTTGGGAACTTCAATAACTCTTCAGTTGTTTCTTCTTTTTATTATCATCAATACAAAAACCAAACTTTTGGTTGAGATGAGAATTTATTTGATTAATACTTTAATACTTCAAATGATCATTTGTTCAATGGCAACATGTTTACAATCCAGGTAAAAACTCTAATGCTATATCAAATTTTGAATCAATAATCTTTTTTATTTATAGAATTGTGCCTAATAGGAATACTGTCAGTTTGCTATGTTTGGGTCCATGCAGATATTATGGAGCACAGTTCTGTCAACATATCTTTGAGCTTTTACAGGTGAGCGATTTATTTTAGATATCAAAGTCTAAATTAATTATGGAAATCGGATAACTTTTTGCAGACAGCTCATATTGCTTGCGCCACATCGTTAATTCTGGCGTTTTATTATAGATACAAACTACTAAAAATTGGAAGTGTCAAAAAGACAACAAGATATTTACATTTCTCGATAAGTTACATTGTTCCACTTCTAGCATTAGGATGTTCACAATTGGCCCCATCTGATTTAGATGTTGTTAAAGATGAAGTGATCAAATTACATCCAACATACAACGTCGAACAATATGCAATCATTGGATATTCAGGTATTTATACTGCTGGAGGTATTTTAAATCAAGTGATGTATGCGTTAGCAGTATACGCATCGCCCATAATTGCAATTGTTTATCGAAGAAAAATTCTGAATCTTTTGAATACGTCACAAGCTTCAAAATTGGAAAGAATTGATCAATCAAAAAGCATGATAAGAGTCAGTTGATTTTCTTATTTTTCAGATAATTGTACTTTTAAGCTTTTTCTTCGAAAACATGCACTATAAGTTTTCAGGGACTAACGATACAAACACTAATTCCAATTGTCGCATATATCCCAATTCTCACGTTTTACGGAATTGCAACATATGCTGATTTCAATAGTATTATAATCGAGTTTATCATCAGTCCAACAACAATCATTTACACAATGACAGATCCAATTTTAACAATTTATTATGTTCTTCCATATAGACGAGTTGTTAAGCGGTTATTCAGCAAACCGAAAACTGGTTCAAGACGCTTCAGCTTGTTCCATTCGGAAACTAACACGGTGCGTCATTGTTATTTTCGGCTGAATAAATTAATGTTCATGTTTTCAGGTGTTCACAGTTCCACATACATGATAGGAAAACAACACTGATTAATAATTACTTTTCAATTTTTAATTAATAAATGTTTTTTTTCAAACAAAAACCTATTTGAACTACTGAATGTTACATCAACATTTCAGCTGTATGTTCTCCATGTGCAAGCAACAAAAGCGTACGGAAATAATCTTGAATTCACACATATGATAGATTTTTGATAAGAAAATATCACATAGAAAACAGGTGAAAATGATCTTCAAATATTTCAGATGCATAGTTTTTCCCAACTTCCATTAAACCGATATGCTCGAGCATACTATGAAACTTCTGTTAAGAATGTTTTTCACAGTCTATTTCTCAGTTTCAATAAGTTTACAGTCTATGTTACTTTATCTAATTTTCAAATCTCCTTCGCCAACATTACGTGAAATGCGAATGTATTTATTGAATACGTTGTTTTTACAAATTCTAGCAACGTGTACAGCATCAGCAGCCCAATGCAGGTAATTTTATTGACTAGAAAAACATATTGTATCAAGTCATTTTGTACAGAATCGTTCCAAATAAGAATTCTGTAAGTTTTCTATGCTCTGGACCTTGTATGTACATCAATGATAAAGTATGCTTCCACGTTTTCAATGTTTACCAAGCTTCAAGTATTGGATGTGCAACTTCTCTCATCTTGGCATTTTATTATCGATATAGAATTTTGATTAACATTCACAAATTGAAATCAACAAAAATTTTACACTTCATAATTTGCTATGGTGTCCCAATCTCTTACATGCTTATCCAACAATTTACACCATCGGATTCGGAAAAAGTGAACTTGGAAATCAGAAAACTGCATCCTGATTACAATTTTGATAATTATACCATAATTGGTTTCTCTGATGTTTATACATTTCCCTCAATTATAATCACAGGTTTCATGCTGTTTGGAGTTTATATCACACCGATGATCGCATTTTTCTATCGACGCAAAATTCTGAGAATCTTGAGTTCTGCAGATGCAAGAGTAGTGAGAATTGAGCAATCCAAAAGTATAATTCTCGTTAGTTTTTTTTTTAAATCAACGATCAACCTTATAGTTTTCATTTTCAGGGTCTAACAATTCAAACGGTTTTACCAGCAATTTGTTATATTCCAGTAATGTCATTCTACACATATGTTACCTACTTCAATGGTAGTAGTATTTTCCTTGAATATATTTTGAGCCCACTTGGACTTATTTACACAATGGCTGATCCAATTCTAACAATGTATTTTGTTCTTCCCTATCGAAGAACAGTTATTCGATTATTGATGAGTAAATCGAAACCATCTGTAACCTTCCAATCTGAGATGTCAACAAATGTTCCCGTGTTCACAAGAAGATATAATTGAATTTTTTGTAATTTTCCTTACGAAACGAAAATTTGAGAAAATATATTTTTCTGATTGATAAATCATATATTTCTGCACAGTTAATTAAATTTGTATGCTTTGAACTTGATACAATTTAGTCACACTGAAGGCGTTTGTTTGACGAATTGAATAACAAAGTTACTTTTAACAATTAGACTTCATTCAAAAAATCATAACACCAAAACAATTTGTTCGTTTTCAGAATCGACTCCCCCCTGTCTGTACCAATATGAAAATATTTTCCTGCAATCTAATTTATGGCGGGAAATTTGTTTTTTTATTCAAGTTATTTCTATTTAAACTTGTGTACTTTTAAAATCTGTTGTTTTACGTGTTCATTTAACTAAAAATTAGTTCATGTGTAAAATATTTCTAGCATCATCATTAAGATTCACCCACTGAAAATAAAAATGAAATATTAGTCAACAACGCGAAATTTGTTGTTGAAGTATAATTTTTCAGAAGACGCATAATGATAACTAGCCTTGAAGAAAAATTGATTTTGGGACATCATATATACTTTGCAATTTATTTTATTGCTTCAATAACTATTCAAGTTGTGCTATATGTTTTTATCATAAAGTCAAAGTCTTTAATGTTCAAAGATATGCAAATGTACTTGTTGAACACATTGTTTCTTCAATTTGTTGTATGTGTTACAGTGTCATGTCTAAAGTACAGGTGATTATTTTCAAATATATCAGGTAAACAATTCGAAAAATTTCAGATTAGTTCCAAATAAAGCAACTTCTGCTCTTTTATGTTTGGGACCGTGTAAATATATTGGTCAAGCGTTCTGCAGTTTTTTGTTCAATTTAATGCAAGGTGCTCATATTGGATCTGCCACTTCACTTTTACTTACTTTTCATTACCGTTATCAACTTCTTGTTAAAGGCAGTGTTAACAAATCATCAAGGAAATATCACATCATAATAACTTATTGTGTCCCTTTATTTTTTGTGGTTCTGCAATCTATTGCTCCAACAGATTTGAATGTTGTGAAAGCTGAATTACTATTCAGATATCCTACTTATGACACTACAAATTATGAGATCATTGGGTATTCAGATAATTATAGTCTTGCTGCAATTATATATTTAATAATGTTAATGATTGGATTATATGGATCTCCTATTGTTGCATTTATTTTCAGGAAACGGATTTTGAAAATATTAAAATCAAGAGCAGCATCAAGATTGGGAAGAATTGAACAATCACAAAGTTTGATTCATGGCTTAACAATTCAAACAGTACTTCCAATTTTATTCTATTTTCCCGTCCTTATCATGTTTAGTTATTCAACATATGGAAGTGGAAATAGTATGATTCTTGAATTCCTCACAAATCCGTTTAGTTATATCTACACAATCACCGATCCAATTTTAACAATTTATTTCATTTTACCATATCGTCTAGCACTAAAAAAACTTGTCAAACGAAAGTGGGCAGATAAAAATGGCGGAGGAGTCAAAACTATTTTTCATTCTGAAACAAATACTGTAAGAGTTTTTTTGAATTCGCAAATCAATAATTATTTTTTGCAGGTTATTTTTACTACACAGATACATATGTTATAGTTTCTCCTATTTTCTGGACAAGTTTCGAACATCTGTTACATTTTCGAAAAAAAAATCTACACATGGAAGTTTCCACAAAAAATGTACTTGTTGGTGCCTCCGTCCATTTGTATATTTCTTTTTTTTTTCAACCGTACATCTGTTTGGTTGTATTTATTTTTGTTTCTTTTTTTGCTCTTTTGTGTTAATTATCATTATGTATGCTTATACACAGATAAAAGAACCGACTATAATAACTATTGAAAAACAATGAATGAGTTTTTAGAAACAATGAATAATGCGTTATTGCTAATATTTGATCATTTTTTACAGATGTTGGGTGCTAATTTCTTTTGTGTGCTTTTTGCGATTGTTGGAGCTAGGAGACTTCCAGGTCTCATTTGGTCAAAACACAACCTTGAGTAAGTTGATTGAAGGTTTTTCCAAAAGGTTTTGGATCAAGAAGAATTTTATTTTATTTTCAGTGGGCTAGTAGTAATACTCGGGGAAAAAGAAGCAAGTCTTCCTACAAAAATCTATTTTTAGCCAGCTTTCGACCATTGTTAGCAAGCTTGCTAAAAAAATTTTCATAATGGAATAAAATGTAGCAAGTTTGCGAAAAATGGTCGCAAGCTGGCTAAAAATCAGTATTTCTTGCGACCACTTCCTATTTATTTCCCAAGTATATATGTATAACAAAAAAAGAAAAATGAATTAGATCAAAAGATGCAGAAGAGCCGTTTCGACCTTTACATCAGACGCAGAGAAGTAGTCTATCAACGATTCCTTTTTGTTGGACCTTAAATATAAACCTAAACTAACCTATGCGGGAAAAGGACAATATTTCCAATCATTTCCTTTTGAAAAATCTCAACCATATGTAGTGTTACGTGATCCAAAACCACATTTGTTCTTACAGCTTTCAAAATAATGATATCATTCGGAGTGCGAAAATTGGTCAACACATGAAATTCTACTGTCCATCCTCTTATTGGTCTGAAGATTCGGATGTATTTGACGTTTACATGGTTAGTTTTTCAAGTTCATCACAAATTTAAAGAAAAACAAAAATGTATTTCTTAGGTTTCAAAATTGGAATTTGCCAATTGCATTCTGCTTGATGATTCCAAAATGATTTTGTCTTGCCGGAATGAACCAGTGAGTGAAACACAGTAGTTATAGTTCTACATAATCAAAAAAAAATAATTTAGAAATCAGTCAACATTGTTTTCCGCGAGATCAATCCAATTCCAGGTGGAGACATTTACGAGATTGGAAAAAGTTATTATTTCATGAGTAAGTGATGATACTTTTTTTTTTCAATTATAAGATTCTTATATAACTTTCAGCAACTTCAAATGGAACGTACTCTGGGTTGAAAAATATTCACTATGGATTTTGCGGGGAAAATAATATGCGATTTCAAATCGATATCACTGGCTCAATTTTACCACCACAACGAGGAAGAGGCTACAACAATAATTTCAATCTAAAAATATTTTCCAGTCAGGTTCATTACCAGAATAACATTCATTATTTTTCTGAAATTATTGAAAATGCTTCCAGTTTGGAATCATTTTCGTTTTTCTCTGTTTTTGTACTTTTTCTTATAACTTCATTATTATTAATTCTCTGATTTTCAATAATTGTACATATTTCTTATCCAAAATTGTTATCTCTGTTTTTTCCATATTATTGTTTCCTTTCAATATATGTTTTCAATAATTTACAATTACCTGTTTCTAATTTTTTTTCTTATGTTAGTTTTAAAAAATTCGAATTGTGAACCATTTGTGGCTTGATATTATACTTGTGATTTTTTTTCCATTTTTTGTGAAATTATAAATATTCTCGTTGAAAATATAATATAACCTTTATTGTACAAAAATGAATGCGAATCATTAGACTCAAGCATTTTTGAATTATTCGAAAAATTAACGTCTTCTTGTTCCGTCTTCGAAGAAAATTCCTCCATCGATGGCGCAATATTTTGGACAGATTCCCTTCTCTCCTTCTCCTCCAGCATTTCCTGGAGGTCCTGGGGGACCTGGATTTCCGTCACTTCCTGGTTGTCCTCCTGGTCCTGGTGGTCCTTTTGGTCCTGGCTCTCCTGGTCCTCCTTGTTGGCTTTCACCGTCTGGTCCTGGGGGTCCCGCTGGCCCAGGAGGCCCTGGTGCACCTGGGGCGGCTGGCTCTGGATAGCTGCTCTCTCCTGGAGCACCTGGCCCTCCAGGTGCTCCTGGGGCTCCGTCATTTCCGGCTGGGCCAGCTGGTCCTGGAGGTCCAGGCGGTCCTGCTGGAGAAGGCCCTGCTGGCGATCCTGCTGGCCCTGGTTCACCGGCTGGTCCAGGTCCTCCATCTGGTCCTGGCGGGCCTGGTGGTCCTGGTGGGCAGGGTTGACAAGGCGGCGGAGTTTTGGCTTCACATGGTGTGGCAGCTCCTTTTCCTTCAGCTCCTGGTGCACCTGGTGCTCCAGGCTTTCCTGGTTTTCCTGGTTTACCAGGGTTTCCACCAGGGCCTGGTGGTCCTGGATTACAGCATCCTGAACATCCACCACCTCCACCACCTCCACCTCCAGATGCATAACTTCCGGAATCAGCAGATGCAGCTCCACCAGAATAGGCTTGTCTGGCAGTTCTGTTTCTGGCTTGTTCTTGAACATTGCTCATCTCAGACCACATATCTTGAATTGACGACTGAAAAATGATTTATTTAAGTAATTATGCTTAAAGATTGAAAAATAAAACCTACTTTGCAGTAAATCGATTCTTTGACCAGTTGAGCTTTCGAATTTTGCACATAATTGTACACCATTGGAAGTGTCAAAACAAGCGAAACAGCTGACACAATCGAAAATGTGACAGCTGAATATGCGATAAATCGGTAAGCTTTGAGGCGAAGATCAGTAGAAGACTCCATCGTCTGATCTGATGCTTACATCTTTTTCCTTACTGTTTTTATAGTCCTTTGCATTTACATAACTAGTATATTTTATCTTGATGAATTTCAAGATTTTTAACAGATTTGACAGTTGTTTTCGGTTCGTAGATTTGAATCTATTTATTCATAATTATTTGAGATGAAAGTTTGCATAAATAGTAGTTTGAAAAGAATGTTGAAGTTTGAAAAAATTGATCTTATTGATTTGAATTATTTCTTTCAAAAGGAACACCAAAAATGTATACGTACAAACTCAGAAATCAAAATATCACACATTTTTTACCGAAAATAAAGTTGATCAGAAAAATAATATCATTTGAAGATACATGGTGCGCAATAAATACGTGGACAGCTTTAATTCAATATTGTTTTCAAAATCAGAACAGTTTTCTGTATATCGTTTTAGAATAACTCAATTAGGTACCCAAGTCAATTAAAAATATTATTTCTTAATTTGGTCGCTTCTGCGAGTTGGGGAATATTGTAGAACTATGGGGTAAAGTTCATCACGGCACGATGCCCTGTATTTATCAATATAAATTTTGATCGAAAAAAGTTGATCAAATAGTATATATTAAAGAGATTTATCAATAAACGCTTGATATTCTCTACAAAGTTTACCACAGTCTTCTACAATTTCATGTTGTCAAACATTTTCAAAATCACTCGAAAAGTATATAGAGACAAGAAATCACGTAGATAGAAACGAAGTTTTTGAAATTTTCTATATAGTTTACTACAGAAGTCTACAAATTCGTATTGATAAACCTTTTTCGGAATCACTCGCAAAATATAAATATTTCCAAATGAATGTCAAAATAAAAAAAAAACAACTTTCCAATTCTTCGAATAGTACTTTTTATTAGAAAAACTGCAATTATTATAAATGAGCGCGTGAGAGGAGAAAAAAACGTAGAGTCAGAGACCATAGTTTCTTATGAAAGTTTTAAAGTCATCATATTTATCAATACTGTATTTGAACTCGCAGATGATGATGTAACTATCCAAGCTTTTGCCGATGATCTCAAAATAATAGGTTCAGATCCCTTGCGAGTTCAAAGTGTAATTGATAAGATATGTGCATGGGCTAAGGATAATTCCATGGAATTAGCACCGGAAAAATCTTCTGTCATGTACTTCGGTAGGAAAAATAAGAGAGCAAATTACGTGGCTAACAACATCATAATACCGCACAAAGAACATGTTCGGGATCTCGGGGTAATAATTGACAATAACCTAACGTTTGAGAAAAATATTACCAGTATTGTTAATATCGCCAATCTTAGATCAAATCAAATTCTCCGTAACTTCCATTTTAGCACAATAAAACCCTACGCATTTCTCTTCAAAATGTATGTCCTCCCCATTCTAGAATATTGTAGCGAAGTTTACGACCCCTTCCTAACTAAAAATCTATCAAATAACCTAGAAAATCCATTACGTCAATTCACCCGTAAAGTCTTCAATCGTTGTAATATGCCATTTGAATCTTATGAGGATCGCCTCAAACAGATCAACATGGTTTTAACCCATACTCGTAGATCCAGAGCCAATATTATTCATCTTTTCAAAGCCCTTAATGGATTTTCTCACCAGCCAGAAACATTTGACTTCATCAGCTTCTCAACACTTCCACGTCACCCAGCCCGCCTAGTTTTAACTCAAAAATGCCACAAGTCTTTTTTCTCACATACAGTTCCCAAGTGGAACTCTTTATCGCACCTCATTGAAATGAATTCTTCAGTGCAGTCGTTCAGAATATTGATTAATGGTTTGAACGCATCGCTTTTATCATGAACCCTTACGGCCAGATTCTCGCACACTCTTTCTTATCTCTTTGTCAAAACCTCCAACTGACCAGGTCTCTTGCGGGATTTAGGTCTTTTAAAAATTTGGGAAGTTATTTTATTCACCCTATTTATTTTTCGATTTCATGTGAATTACCCCTTTTTTCTCTCTCCCTTTGATCTCACTATTTTTATGTGCCGGTGAATTTATAACATTCTAAATAAAAATTCAAATTCAAATTCAAAGAGTTTTTTCATCGAAAATTGAGCATAGAGAATATGTAGTAGTAGTATTGAACCGCGGCTTCATCTAGTAATGAATCAAACAATTTCAGTGTGAAATATATATATTTGATATGTGTTAACGTATCAAATATATAATTCAGAAATTCTCTCAGCTCATTGCAATCCAAGAAAAGATAATAAATGTACAGTTAAGTTTTTCATTCTGAAAAACCAAGCTTGATATTCATGTGAATGTCGATTTAACTAACTTATTGTGGAATTGAAACAATGTGGCAGAGGAAAAAAGAGTCAGCTAGACCCTCGTAAATATTTCGAAAATGAATGAATGTATGTGTGTGCGCGCGGTCGCGATGCGGTCGAAAAAAACAACATTTTCGAAGGAAAACGATGAAAAAAATTGCCGATATTGATTTTATTACGACCGCATCGCGACCGCGCGCACACACAGATATTCATTCATTTTCGAAATATTTACGAGGGTCTAGCTGACTCTTTTTTCCTCTGCCACATTTTTTTTAATTCCACAATATCTTAATTGTGTTAAAAATAATGTAATCCTAAAATTAAGAGAAAAACAATAGAAAATTACATGAAAACCAATTCAGCTCTTTAGTTCAAAAGTATCTGACCATGTCAAATACTTTTTAATAAAAAACAAAACCATGTTAAGTTTTTCATTCTAAAAAACCAAATTTGATATTCATATAAACGTCAGTTTAACTAACTAATCTTAATCGAATTAAAAATAGCTAACTCTAAAATTAAGAGAGAAACAATAGAAAATTACATTAAAACCAATTCAGCTCTTTAGTTCAAAAGTATCTGACCATGTCAAATACTTTTTAATAAAAAACAAAACCATGTTAAGTTTTTCATTCTAAAAAACCAAATTTGATATTCATGTAAACGTCAGTTTAACTAACTAATCTTAATCGAGGGTGAAACGCAGAACAGGCCCCCACCCATATCATTTTATGCCCCCGATTCGGAACTATGTTACAGGCCCCCGCGCGGTATTTTCAAAAAACAAAAATTTATGGAAAAAATAACGAAACAAAATTTTTTTGACCTACCCGCGAAAAAGAAAGCTGAACGTAGCAAATTTTTGTTCAGAAAAATTGGCAAAAAACTAATCATTCCGATTTTTAATTAATTTTTTTTCATTGTGGGGACCTCATCTAAGACAAATTTTTTAGGTGGGGGTCTCAACTAAGACGAATTTTTTAAGGTGGGGGTCTCAACTAAGACAATTTTTCAAAATGGGGGCCTGAACTAAGACGATTTTGGGGGCCTGAAACAGAGTTCCGAATTGGGGGCATAAAATGATATGGGTGGGGTGCTGATCTAAGATTTAACCTGAGACCGTAGATGAGGCCCCCTCACTCATTAAAATTATCTTAGATGAGGCCCCCACGGTTAGTTGAGCCCCCACTGAATAATAGACCCCCACCCAAAATGAAGACCCCAAAATATTATTTTTTCACTGGGTGGGTCCAAAGTGGGGGCTTCTCCTGGGATGTGGGGACCTGAATTGGGGTGGGGGCCTGTTCTGCGTTTTACCCCTTAATCGAATTAAAAATAGCTAACTCTAAAATTAAGAGAGAAACAATAGAAAATTACATGAAAACCAATTCAGCTCTTTAGTTCAAAAGTATCTGACCATGTCAAATACTTTTTAATAAAAAAACAAAACCATGTTAAGTTTTTCATTCTAAAAAACCAAATTTGATATTCATGTAAACGTCAGTTTAACTAACTAATCTTAATTGAATTAAAAATAGCTAACTCTAAAATTAAGAGAGAAACAATAGAAAATTACATGAAAACCAATTCAGCTCTTTAGTTCAAAAGTATCTGACCATGTCAAATACTTTTTAATAAAAAAACAAAACCATGTTAAGTTTTTCATTCTAAAAAACCAAATTTGATATTCATGTAAACGTCAGTTTAACTAACTAATCTTAATCGAATTAAAAATAGCTAACTCTAAAATTAAGAGAGAAACAATAGAAAATTACATGAAAACCAATTCAGCTCTTTAGTTCAAAAGTATCTGACCATGTCAAATACTTTTTAATAAAAAAACAAAACCATGTTAAGTTTTTCATTCTAAAAAACCAAATTTGATATTCATGTAAACGTCAGTTTAACTAACTAATCTTAATTGAATTAAAAATAGCTAACTCTAAAATTAAGAGAGAAACAATAGAAAATTACATGAAAACCAATTCAGCTCTTTAGTTCAAAAGTATCTGACCATGTCAAATACTTTTTAATAAAAAAACAAAACCATGTTAAGTTTTTCATTCTAAAAAACCAAATTTGATATTCATGTAAACGTCAGTTTAACTAACTAATCTTAATTGAATTAAAAATAGCTAATCCTAAGATTAAGAGAGAAACAATAGAAAATTACATGAAAACCAATTCAGCTCTTTAGTTCAAAAGTATCTGACCATGTCAAATACTTTTTAATAAAAAAACAAAACCATGTTAAGTTTTTCATTCTAAAAAACCAAATTTGATATTCATGTAAACGTCAGTTTAACTAACTAATCTTAATCGAATTAAAAATAGCTAACTCTAAAATTAAGAGAGAAACAATAGAAAATTACATTAAAACCAATTCAGCTCTTTAGTTCAAAAGTATCTGACCATGTCAAATACTTTTTAATAAAAAAACAAAACCATGTTAAGTTTTTCATTCTAAAAAACCAAATTTGATATTCATGTAAACGTCAGTTTAACTAACTAATCTTAATCGAATTAAAAATAGCTAACTCTAAAATTAAGAGAGAAACAATAGAAAATTACATTAAAACCAATTCAGCTCTTTAGTTCAAAAGTATCTGACCATGTCAAATACTTTTTAATAAAAAACAAAACCATGTTAAGAGACGTTATTTGTAAAAGTGAAAAAGCTGTCGGACAAAAAAAAAGTCAAAA